AGGTTTAGAACCCGAATTAGCACTTCACCAAGAAATATATAATATATTTCAATTGAACTTTATTTCGTACTTCATTGTGTCATATTCCAGTTCATATGTCATATTACTCAAAAGATCATAGAAGTAAAATATTCGAATGTGGTGTATGTCACCAATGTATACTTTATATCTTCAAAACATTTGCAGACAGGATGGTTGCTTTACTATTAATATAAAATGGATATTCAAACATATAATGTAATGTGGAAACATAATTGTCACCATCATCATCACAGCCTGTCATCGTCTATTTTGTACAATGAGGTGGAGCAGGTAATTTTTACAAGTTTCAATGTTTCCGCACAATTTGTTATTTAATCGAAAACTACTTCTTATTCTCAGATAAAATGAACCGGCGCAAGCAGTGACAATTGTCAATTATACTTCTGCAAGACATTCGTAAGAAACCTTTAATGACTGAATACGAAGTTAATGAAAAGGCGTGAACATCCTCCACTCAAAACGGTCATTTTCCATTATTAATTTTTAACGTTTTTAGCGGAGGCTTTTGTTTATTATTTTGAGTAATAGTCTAAATAGCGATTAAAAATGTGTCTTGCTTCAAACAATTATGCCTTCTTTGTGTTAACTAAGACACAATTCACGTATTTAGTCCCTCGCTTTTCTTAAACTGACGATCGGCATTAATATTGCCAATATTACACTGATATTGATAGGTTCAGATGAGATAAATGGTAGATCCCATTCACTGAACAAATGGCTAACAAATCTGTTTTGATAAAATGATTGTGTTTGGTGATTATTGGTACTAGTTCAATAAAGTTAATCAAACCAGATAAAGTACAATCTGTATGAAACCAGTGTGCAAAATCCAAAACACTGATTGGTTGGCAGGGCTCCAGCCTGGCACATTGACAAGTTGACCACATTTATTTATGTGGTGATCAACACTGACTGTATATGTTGAACTAGTTAAGAAATGAGCAATATTCTTTTAATTAATTGTCAAATTAGTGCCTTTTGACACCTCGTTCACCATGTTAAATCTCACAAATCTTTTGTTATATATAAAGGAGTATTTTGATACAGGTCTCTTGCCGGCTCGTCAAAATATAAGTACTTTCACTTTCTAGAGGCTTTTATCATCATATGATTCTAGTCTATTATACAAGTTTCTATTATAAAATTCCTATTCTACCTCACCGTATTACGTAACAAAGATACTATATGAGAGAGCTGTCAGCTGTTGGTTAATCACTTTTGGTACCTACTATTTGTATACATTTATTGAAGTCTTACTCTGCACAAAGAAATGAAAATTAACACATTTAACACGTGTCAAACAGCTAAAATTAAAATTATATACACTTAATTGACTCATATCAATTTATTCTGTTAGCCATTTGTCTGCATGTTTGAAACTTGTGATTGTTCTTTTTAATTTGGGTGATTAAACATTTGATGTCTTCTTTTTTGTATAGTTCTCCCTCTGAAAAAGTATCGTTTAAAACATCAATTGTAGCGATGTACATTTCATATACACTATTGTAATCTTCTTTACCAAAACCTTTACGTTTCCAAATATAAAATAAAATGTTGCAAACAATGAAATAATGTAAAATGCTGTTCTTATTATCGGTTACATCTTGATTCTTACTAATCATAAAATCCTTGCAATTTCTAATTGTAGCATCCTTTGTTTTTCTTCTTCTAATGATTTTAGTGAATGGTTTATTATTTTTGCATGAAAATTTTGGGCACTTACATGACTGTGTCAGGGTAGGAGCATACTACACATACTACACTTACTACGTATACTACGCTACTACACTGGGGTGGGGTCAGGCTAGGAGCATACTACACTTACTACACTTACTACGTATACTACGCTACTACGCTGGGGTAGGGTCAGGCTAGGAGCATACTACACATACTACACTTACTACGTATACTACGCTACTACGCTGGGGTAGGGTCAGGCTAGGAGCATCCTACACTTACTACACTTACTACGTATACTACGCTACTACGCTGGGGTGGGGTCAGGCTAGGAGCATACTACACTTACTACACTTACTACTTATACTACGCTACTACGCTGGGGTAGGGTCAGGCTAGGAGCATACTACACTCACTACACTTACTACGTATACTACGCTACTACGCTGCGGTAGGGTCAGGCTAGGAGCATGCTACACTTACTACACTTACTACGTAAACTACGTTACTACGCTGGGGTGGGGTCAGGCTAGGAGCATACTACACTTACTACGTATACTACGCTACTACGCTGGGGTAGGGTCAGGCTAGGAGCATACTACACTTACTACGTATACTACGCTACTACGCTGGGGTAGGGTCAGGCTAGGAGCATACTACACATACTACACTTACTACGTATACTACGCTACTACGCTGGGGTAGGGTCAGGCTTGGAGCATGCTACACTTACTACACTTACTACGTAAACTACGTTACTACGCTGGGGTGGGGTCAGGCTAGGAGCAGCATACTACACTTACTACACTTACTACGTATACTACGCTACTACGCTGGGGTAGGGGTCAGGCTAGGAGCATCCTACACTTACTACACTTACTACTTATACTACGCTACTACGCTGGGGTAGGGTCAGGGTAGGAGCATACTACACATACTACACTTACTACGTATACTACGCTACTACACTGGGGTGGGGTCAGGCTAGGAGCATACTACACTTACTACACTTACTACGTATACTACGCTACTACGCTGGGGTAGGGTCAGGCTAGGAGCATACTACACATACTACACTTACTACGTATACTACGCTACTACGCTGGGGTGGGGTCAGGCTAGGAGCATACTACACTTACTACACTTACTACTTATACTACGCTACTACGCTGGGGTGGGGTCAGGCTAGGAGCATACTACACTCACTACACTTACTACGTATACTACGCTACTACGCTGGGGTAGGGTCAGGCTAGGAGCATGCTACACTTACTACACTTACTACGTAAACTACGTTACTACGCTGGGGTGGGGTCAGGCTAGGAGCATACTACACTTACTACACTTACTACGTATACTACGCTACTACGCTGGGGTAGGGTCAGGCTAGGAGCATACTACACATACTACACTTACTACGTATACTACGCTACTACGCTGGGGTAGGGTCAGGCTAGGAGCATCCTACACTTACTACACTTACTACGTATACTACGCTACTACGCTGGGGTAGGGTCAGGGTAGGAGCATACTACATATACTACACTTACTACGTATACTACGCTACTACACTGGGGTGGGGTCAGGCTAGGAGCATACTACACTTACTACACTTACTACGTATACTACGCTACTACGCTGGGGTAGGGTCAGGCTAGGAGCATACTACACATACTACACTTACTACGTATACTACGCTACTACGCTGGGGTAGGGTCAGGCTAGGAGCATCCTACACTTACTACACTTACTACGTATACTACGCTACTACGCTGGGGTGGGGTCAGGCTAGGAGCATACTACACTTACTACACTTACTACTTATACTACGCTACTACGCTGGGGTGGGGTCAGGCTAGGAGCATACTACACTCACTACACTTACTACGTATACTACGCTACTACGCTGGGGTAGGGTCAGGCTAGGAGCATGCTACACTTACTACACTTACTACGTAAACTACGTTACTACGCTGGGGTGGGGTCAGGCTAGGAGCATACTACACTTACTACGTATACTACGCTACTACGCTGGGGTAGGGTCAGGCTAGGAGCATACTACACTTACTACGTATACTACGCTACTACGCTGGGGTAGGGTCAGGCTAGGAGCATACTACACATACTACACTTACTACGTATACTACGCTACTACGCTGGGGTAGGGTCAGGCTTGGAGCATGCTACACTTACTACACTTACTACGTAAACTACGTTACTACGCTGGGGTGGGGTCAGGCTAGGAGCAGCATACTACACTTACTACACTTACTACGTATACTACGCTACTAAGCTGGGTTGGGGTCAGGCTAGGAGCAGCATACTACACTTACTACACTTACTACGTATACTACGCTACTACGCTGGGGTAGGGGTCAGGCTAGGAGCATCCTACACTTACTACACTTACTACGTATACTACGCTACTACGCTGGGGTAGGGGTCAGGCTAGGAGCTCACTACACTTACTACACTTACTACGTATACTACGCTACTACGCTGGGGTAGGGGTCAGGCTAGGAGCATGCTACACTTACTACACTTACTACGTATACTACGCTACTACGCTGGGGTAGGGTCAGGCTAGGAGCATGCTACACTTACTACACTTACTACGTATACTACGCTACTACGCTGGGGTAGGGGTCAGGCTAGGAGCATCCTACACTTACTACACTTACTACGTATACTACGCTACTACGCTGGGGTAGGGGTCAGGCTAGGAGCACACTACACTTACTACACTTACTACGTATACTACGCTACTACGCTGGGGTAGGGGTCAGGCTAGGAGCATGCTACACTTACTACACTTACTACGTATACTACGCTACTACGCTGGGGTAGGGTCAGGCTTGGAGCATGCTACACTTACTACACTTACTACGTATACTACGCTACTACGCTGGGGTAGGGGTCAGGCTAGGAGCATCCTACACTTACTTCACTTACTACGTATACTACGCTACTACGCTGGGGTAGGGGTCAGGCTAGGAGCACACTACACATACTACGTATACTACGCTACTACGCTGGGGTGGGGTCAGGCTAGGAGCATACTCAGGCTAGGAGCACACTTCACGTACTACTCATACTACTCTATTCTGAACTTAGAGAAGAATTTTACATATGTCGTGCAACATTGGCATGAACATTTTTCCATAGGGAATTTGTGTAATTAGCGGCCATATTGGACCTAATGAGGTCGCATGAGCTTACAAAACGCTTCTTCCAAGGCATGTGCTTTTATTTACAGGTGGCGCTTGTGTATAATTGAAAAGCCAATCATATGTCAGCTTGTATTCACTCCGATACACAACATTTTGGCTTCCTAAAATATGCTAAAATATTACCTTCTTTTGCATAGAAATGTAGTATAATCAGGGATAGTTCGGCAAATATTGGTGATAAAGGTAAGTGACTAAACGTAGAAGCAATGCTACATTAGTTTTTTTACGATTGAAGTAAATCAAAAAACATTCTTTGACACCTAATAGATTTTTCAATAAAATTTGAAAATAATAACGCATGAGCTTGGAGATCGTACTTTGTGGTATTCGAAAAAGTCTGAACATCTGATCATTGTAATGTTTGAATCACAAAAAGTTATTTCAAGTCCTCTTTGATCTTCTATTGAATTCTTTTGCCGTCCTGACACTCAATATAAACATACACTTCTGTGTATTTAGTGTGACAACATCAAAGGCCAGGGTTTGGGTTTGTGTAAACCATGAGCCCATGTGAAAGAATGTGTGGCCGGGTTATGGGGTACCTTAGACTAACATGGGGTACGTAACTTTTCAACCTTTCAAACAATTCCGCTATAACATGTACTGAAATAACGTTTCTTGTGTTACGTCATGGGCTTTCATTACGTTGATTATATCTCTATCCAGCCTGGTATCATCACGTGATTCGTCACTATACTACCAATGGGATTTCTGTCTTTCTGTTTTTGTCAAAAGTGAATTTGAACCACTTGAATTTTTCAAATTGTAAACGACCCTTGGTAAATCCTGACAACGGGCCTGCTAGCTATTCATTGAATATTTATGTATAACTATGCAACTTACCTCTTTGTGTAAAAACAACAGTTATGATATTCTCGGCAGAAAAGTCGACATGCACATCATAGAAATGGAATCGTAACCTGATACTACGCCGGGTAAGATGTAAGATTATTCTTGCTAATGCGTGGAAACGAAACCATACTAAATACCTCCAGTGACATCTATATGATAGAAATCCATTCGTACTATACTGACGAAATCCCATTCGTAGTATATTGACGAACCACACGCTGAGACTGGGCTGCTCTATCAGTCTTACGCATTTGTAATACTAATGATGTGCAAATCTGAGTATACAGGCTCGTACATATGCTACACTAAGCTTACGCATTACCAACTCAGTACATGTATACTAAGCTTAGAGAACTTTCTAAACATTTTAAAACATATTCTTGGGCCTCAGCCATATGCAGCTCAGTTGAGGTAAAAATCTGAACCCTGCTAAGAACATTAGGTGCTCGGTTACCTGGCCACCCAGTTTTTTACACAAACCCCCAAGGTTTCCTTTGATATGACACATGTCAAATAGATAAGTAATCTTTCTCAGAAGATTTCAAACCATCAGAAAGACCAAGACAGTTACTTTTAATCTGAGCAAAATCTTTATCCAGTTGTCCTAAAAAGGATAGTTAATAGTTATTGCTTACCATATTCTATCGCCACTGTACTGTGACTTTACCACCCGTAGTCCAACAACATTAGACCTAGCCCAGGCCTTGTTTCTTATCTGACATGTATTATAATAGCCAATGGCCAAGAAAATTCCTAAAAATAAAGAACGCCGTCATTGAGTTTAACGACGTTGAACTATACCACCTGATGTCTTTTTATTATTGATGTAATACCTTCATTGGTCTTCACACCCAATGCTAGCTCATATGTTCATCTAGTTCAACGAGTTAAACTCAATCCGGCTTAGGGGCTGGATCAATATTTCAATGTCCGTCAAAAACGTTATTTAGTTAGGTCCCCTCCCCCTTCTTTCAAAAGTCAAAATGATGATTCCATGCGTGGTGTAAACGAGTCAAATGTTGATATGACTGCAGTGTACAGGTACAATTCGAGCATACAATATCTGCTAGTACTGCTAAGAGCTGATCTGAAAGGTCACTCCACCTTTTATTATGAGAGGTTTCAGACGTACCCTGGAGACTATCAGTAACAGTAACTTACTCGATTCTCTAGACTATTTATTGGCTAGAAGTGATTCCATCTGGACCACTGTTAACCAGTGTAAAGAAAAGTATAATTTTAACATTTATTTTAAAAACTGTCCTGTTAATATTTCAGGAATTGTTCCTATGTTTCAAATTTACCAATAAAAATGTTTATGTGTCTTGCAGATGGACACCAATGTTGACTCTGCGGTTCCAGCAGTAGCGGATCTAGGATCAAAACCACATGAGACCAGCAACACTCCTGCATTGTCAAACACACAACATTCAACAGAAAAAGTTGTAACTAATAAGGTAAATTGATTAATATCTATTATCTATAGCCCAGTTAGTGGGTAACTGGGTATGCAGTGCTATAGAGATACTATAGAGAAACTATAAAGCGAGACCATATTTACTTTTGTAAAAACATGGGCACTCACCTTAGTTTTTGGACCAGTCAAAAGTGAGTATTTCAAACAATAACAGTTAAATAGTTCTATGTAAGTTCATCTCTCTGGTTAATACGTCACATAAATGTATACATGCTGTTATATTTTGAAAAAGACTAAGGGATATTAGTCGAAAGTCTCAACAAATTAAAAATATTCTCTGAAGTAAAGAAGTTGACTTGTTTCTGAAACAGTTAAATACTTTAAAATGAATCTGATATGAACCTTTATTCAGCATCCAATCAGGAACAAGAAGATTCATGAAAACATTCTTCCAGTATGAATTTATTGTAAAGACTTAAAGATCAATAAAAAGAAAAATATTTTGATTATTCCAGATGCATTGTTCCATAGTGAAGTCTGTGGATGATATTGTGTATGATAAATGCAAGAAGTCTGGATGTTTGGCTAGCAAGGAATCTCATATCCATTGTCCACTCTGCCCAGCAAAGGAGGACACCTATCATACAGACATTGACAGTGTAAAACAACATGTCCTCGATGTACATTGGCCACAAGTTATAGAATACGAAGGTAAGCAGTAGTCCTGTGTCAGCCCCTGTAAATCCCTCTCTTTTGCTCAATTAGTGAACCTATAGGATTGACTAGATATTACAGTCAGTTGGTCCATTCGTCCATCAGTCCACCAATCCATCACCATCATTTTTTGTCTATCCATACTTTATAGTAACTATTTCATTTGTCACTGCTATTTCCATAGTGTTTGGGTTTTTGAGAAATCACCAATTTTGACACATTGTTATGTCACTACCAGGTAGTGACATTTTGTTATAGTCTCAGGGGTTTCACTAGAATTTGACACAACAGGCTAAATTTTAAAGTCCCTAAAAACAACAGGGAAATTTGTGAAAACAACTGGTGAAAATCGCCTGTTGCCTGCTGCTAACATTCTGATACTCATAGCATCTTTCTGTTTCACCTGTTCTCAGGGCTGAGAAGAAATGAGATGTCATGGATTATCATGATGGCTGCTAATGAAACCCCTGAGTCTCCAACTATTTTATGGCTGGTGTAGTGTTCAACGGTTGGTGTCTGGCGTCATTAACAGCATTCAGCATCTGTAACAAATAGCAGGTGGTGACATTTTGCATGGTAATGCCTTGTTCTTTCTGAACTAGACTTGCATCAATCATTCCATAAATGTCAAATAAAAATTTACATTTCTTTACAGGACTGTGCTATATGTTGTGTATGAAGTACTGCTATAGCAAAAAGAGGTCAGAACTTGGTTTAGGTCATTATCACTGCCCTCACTGTAATAAGATGTTCATCAAAGGACTGGAGGTGAAACACCTTGATGAGCATAAGCTTGAAGCTCTGGCTCAAGGTAGACCTGAAAAGGTGAGGTGTAAATAACAATTAATTTTGAGTTTTAGAGCATGCAAAAATTATGGATGGTTTTAAAGGCCCTGAAGTAAGTTTGAACAAACAGACACTTGTTTGGCTTAAATGTGGTCTAAAATCTTGAAATCAAGATTTTTACATGAGGAAGTTATTTTTAATTTCAAGTGCTTTTTTTTAATTTGTTTTTTCTGAAAGGCAAGTTTGGGGATCACACACATCCTAAACTATTGAAAAAATTAAGATATTGATATACGTGAAAAATGTGTTCTTTTAAGAACACCTCTGTTAGTAATATAAACATATTTTGTTAAAGAGGTTAACTGTGAAATATTATGTTTTCAGATCTTCCAAACTGTGACCACAGTTTTATCTCCAGAGTTGCTATCATATATACCCCAGGACAACCATATTATATGTGATATTCTCCAACGCAAGTTCAAGGTCACTTGCTCTCTAGCTAAAGACCAGTGGTGTGTTGTAAAGGCCTCATGGGAAGATATGACAGCATTAAATAGATATTTACTGCCATTGACACAGTCTACAAGAGATATTAAAAAGGTTTGTATCAAAAGTGAATGGTTATATTTCATGGCATTTCCAGAGTAATGACTTTATAGCATGTACTCTAAGTGTGCACAATTGTACACTAAAGTTACAACAAAGAAAATGTGATCGCTACAGTCAGATAAATTATTTCTCTACTTGTGTACAATCGCGAAATGTCCTACTACTTACATGGGCGTAGCCAGGGGGGTGTGAGTGCACCCCCCTATAACCAATAAAAATACAACCATTAGATTAAAATACTTTTTATTTGAAGCATTTAGCTCAATTTTGAAGGAAGTTGCATCATTTTTTGTGAAATTCAAAACAATTTTTTTTGGCTTTCTTATCCCCCCCTGACTCCAAACCAAATTTTTTTAGCTATCTCACCCCTTTGACTGAAAACTGGCTACGCCCCTGACTTAATAATGGATCTGGCAGAGGCTGAATTGCTTTTAAGATAATTAAGACGACTGCCTTCTCCTTGGTAAAAATAACTTGGACATTATCAATTTTGTTATCAATTTGTTTCCAATATTAACCTAAATCAAATACAGTCAGCTAATTGCCAAGATTTTTCAACATTGGTGGCAATTAATGTACATGTACTGTATATGTATGTGAATCAGTAAATATAACACAACATTTTGAATTCATATTATAGTATTTTAAATGTTAAAATACATACCTTTATTTCTGATACTAAATACATGTATTTACAGAATGTTTCTTTAATTGTTAGAATTTACTCTAAGCCTTATATATTTTACATTTTTCTAAAACATTCTTTTTCTTGTTTTAGGTAGAGAGAATCATCCATGAACTTTCTGGCAAAGATGTTCCTTCCGATTATCCTGCTAACCGACCGAGCATTATTTATCCTGCATCAGCCAATAAGGAAGTAGCTCCATCGCCAAATCAGGTTACAGCTCCAGCCAATAGTAATAATTTACTTGATAATGTTAAAGATACACATGATAATGTTAGTGACTCACATGATGATCTTAATCCTGATGAAAATTCGGAACATTATATCAAGACTATGGTCCCTTGCGTAAAATTTGAGGAAGATGGTACTAATTCTACCACAAAGAGTTCTGATGTCTCAGATTCAAGGTATAGTTTTAGGAGAAAACCAAAAGTAGTTTGGACGATGCAAGAGGAGAAGAAAATAAATGATCCTGGTTATGCAAAGTCAAAAAAGGATGATGACTATGTATACTCATTTGATACACTCAATGCAGCTGAAGAGGATGAGGAAGTTATGGATGCTGATGCACAAGTTGAATCGGTATGCCATATTGAAAATGAAAATCGTACAACAGTGGAAAATAATGAGGAAAATAACGGAGTTGAAATAATAAGTTCTGAGGCCAAAGACGGCCAACTGAGATTCATAGTTCGAGTAGAACCACCAGAGAAACCAAATAAAGTATCAAATACAACAAAGGTTAAAACCAAAACGAGAACCAAGGTTAAACCAGGCAAAACTAAAACAACTCGATTTCAATGTGAACATTGTGGTCGTAATTTTTGTAACAATTTTAAAAAGAATGTGCATTTGAAGAATGAAGTATGCACTCGTAAATTTGGTAATAAGGACCGAATGTGCCCACTTTGTAAAAAAGTATTCGATAGACCATGTCGAATGAAAGCCCATTTTGAAGCCAAAGCCTGTGAAAAGAAGACAGAATTGAGTTTGTTTTCATGTAGTGCCTGCCCATTTATATCTCAGAAAAAGTTTGCTATGGACAATCACATGGAATCTATACATAATATAATCACCCGTGAAAAGGAACATGAATTCTCATGTAAGATTTGCGATAAGCGATTCGCAACTCTATACAATCTAGCGCGTCACGAGAGGGAAATTCACGGTACGAAACCTCCAACACAAAAAATGGTAGAATGCCAAGAATGTGGAAAATGTATGTATAAGAAAAACATGAAGGAACATATGCGAACAAAACATAACCTCGATGCTGAAACCGTAGCCCCATTTGAATGCTCACAGTGCGGTAAATGCTTCACACGAAAAAGTTCACTGACAACGCATGCTCTAATGCACATTCCTAACTATAAAGCTACCCGCAGGTATCAATGTAAAGACTGTGGAAAGTCATTCCAGAAGTATACAGTTCTGATGGAGCATATGAATAAGCACATTGATGTGAGGCCATTCAAGTGTGAGCTGTGTGACAAATGCTTTTATAGCAGGTAATATTTTTTTATTTATTTTTTATTTTATTTATTTACTATGATCGTTTAACATTAATAAGTAGGCTCAGCATTAGATAAGAAGGTTTACATGTTTCTTTCGAAAAAAGCTATAATATATAATAATAAACATGTACCATATATAATGGTATAATGGTAATTCAACAATAAACAATAAAGATGGAGGAGAAAATCAAGAATCAAAGAATTTTGTGGTGAAATTGTGACAAAATGGTTCATGTCTGTATTTTTTACTCAGGTGAAGATTTTGTTGTAATGACAGGGGTTTCTTTAGAATTACAGTCAACAGGAAAAATTCATGGAATTATTTAAAGTTTTAACATAACATAGATACAGATGCAAAATTCTTCAAAATAACACGTTAGGTTATTTTGGTAAAACTAACCAGAGAATATTGCCTGTTGCCTGCTGCTAATAAAAATGTCTGTGTACTGATAAAATGTTTTTGCCCTTAATTATATCCAAAATACTCCTTGGCATATCCACTGCTCTTCTCCAAGGCTCATGTTTTCCTCCAACACAAGGTCTGGACTTATTCTTTCAATAAAACATGTTTCCATAGGAAATATTAAAGATATTTCTTTGTTCAAAATATCCCATTCTGTATATATGTGAATAATTATGTTACTACAAAATACTATTTGAAGGGGCAACAAAGACTCATGACAAATTATTAGTAATTTCCTAAATGTTTCATAGTTTCTACATTTTTTTGCTCACAACAGCACATGCCATGTCATTTTACTCTGTCCAGTCTCTATTCTTTGCTCCCACTTTATTAAGTAATTTTACACCATCCACTCTTTGCTGTCATTTTACACTCTCTATTCTTTGCTGCCACTTTAAGTCATTTTATACTCTCTTTTCTTTTCTGCCATTTTTGTCATTTTATACTCTCTTTTCTTTGCTGCCATTTCGTCATTTACACACTCTATTCTTTGCTGCCATTTTTGTCATTTTATACTCTCTTTTCTTTGCTGCCACTTTAAGTAATTTACACACTCTATTCTTTGCTGCCACTTTAAGTCATTTATATTCTCTATTCTTTGCTGCCATTTTGTCATTTTACACTCTATTCTTTGCTGCCATTTTGTCATTTTACACTCTATTTGCTGCCATTTTGTCATTTTACACTCTCTATTCTTTGCTGCTATTTTGTCATTTTATACTCTCTTTTCTTTGCTGCCACTTTAAGTCATTTTCACTCTCTATTCTTTGCTGCCACTTTAAGTCCAGAATATACATTCAAAGTTATTAACATAAAACAGAGACTTGCATGCATAGATTGGGTCAAAAGTCATGTAAGCTCCCAAATATGATATTTTGTAGGTTGTAACATTTTGTCATGTTAATTTTTTTATCACACCATCGGTGGGATATAGTCGTTATACTGGTCGTGGTCGTGGTCGTGATCATGATCTTGGTCGTGATCGTGATCGTCCCGCTTTTTGTCATCGCCGTTTAAGGAAAACTGCTCATCAGATTTTCTCAAAATTCGCAGAGATGATAGAGCATATGAAGTACTAGAGCTGATTAACTTTTGGGTGGCCATCTTGTTTTCTGGCGGCCATTTAGAAGGTTTTTCGAAAAATCTTGTCATCGCCATTTCAGGAAAACCGCTCATAGGATTTCCTTCAAATTTACACAAATGATCGAGGATATCAAGTACTAGAGCTGATTAACTTTTGGGCGGCCATCTTGTTTTCTGGCAGCCATTTTGAAGATTTTTCAAAAATCTTGTCATCGCCATTTTAGGAAAACCGCTCATCGGATTTCCTTCAAATTTACTCAAATGATAGAGGATATCAAGTACTAGAGCTAATTAACTTTTGGGCGGCCATCTTGTTTTCTTGTTCTTGAAAACAGTTTTCCTGGTTCATAGTGACTGCCTATTTGATGGTGTGATCTCGTTCACGTCCTGTGCCTTGTTTTTATGACAGAGATTCCTTCAAGCTACATGATTGGAATCATGGCATGGCAAAGTTTAACAAATCATAGAGGGTTTCCTCAAATATTTTCTTTTTATTTCAAGGAATTCCCAAGTTACAAGGTTGGCATGGCAAAGTTTAAACAAAAAGTTTTTAACAAATTACAGAGGGTTTTCTTACATAACATTACCTCTTCAGTTAATGATATATTTACTGGCAGAGGGATTGTGTCAAATATTTGTGTTATTCTTTAGAGTATCTCAGTAGGGATAGGATACTGTCTGTTAAATAGCATTAAAAATCACAGAGGTGTCTCAAACATTCTTTTTTGTTGTTTTAGGGGTGCTCTCAAAGTGCATACTCTGATTCAAAGAGGTGTTGTCTCAAACATTCTTTTTTTTTTGTTTTAGGGGTGCTCTCAAAGTGCATACTCTGATTCACTCAGGATTGGACTACAATTGTAACATCTGTGAAAAGAAGTTTAAAGTGAAACGTTATCTTGAGAGACATCTAGAATATCATCACCAAATGAATCCACCGGAGGTTCCCCTTTTTCAGTGTAATAACTGCGGCGAATTATTTTACAACAGGGAGTTGCTTTCAAAGCACCAATCTCTGGGATGTGGGAACACTGACATTGACGCTGTAGCTTGTGAGACTGAGACACTATTAGCGCTTGCTCAGATGAGCTCATCTTCTGTAGTTGTTGCATCTGGTGACGAAAACCAGAACTCATACCCTAATGTGACCAACTCTGTCGGAGAGACTGTGGCTGAAAATGTTGTTGTAACAATCACAGATGGTGATATCATAACTGCGGAAGTTGGTGATAAAAGGAGAGATGCTCTTGATCAAGAGGAAGTAATACTTAATAATCAGATTGAGGATAATAATGGTGATACTGTGACTGAACAATTCATGTGTGGTGTTTGCTCTGTTGTGTTTGAGACAATTGAAGAAGCAAATGTTCACATGGAAACGCATACTAATGACACTTCGAATGAAGAAAATACTGATCAGAATGAACTTGCAATTGAATCATCTGAGAACAATATTGAAAATACCAACGTGAGTTCCCACTATCTGACCAATCACCATTTGGGAGCTAATGGTACTATGCACATTGAAATCAAAGATGGGAATGTTACCACCAATTATAATGTATTAGATCTAGAATCTTCCACTTAATGAATTGTATTGTTGAAATATATATTTCATTGAATTTTTTTGTAATGATGTCCTTTGTAATAGGAGAGATTGCCAATTGGCTTATAAATACAGTAAAACCTGTCTTAGTGAACACCACTCTCTAGTGAGCACCTGTGTTTAGTGAACTCCACTTCAAGACACATTCTACATTGACTTTAGTATAAAAATCTCTCTGTAGTGAACATCTACTCCAGTGAACACTTTTTGTGGTTCCGTGGGTGTTCACTGTATACAGGTTTTACTGTATTTGACACTAATATTTGTTACTATATGTAAAAATATTGGGTAATCTCAACTCCATTAGTCGTCTCAACTGTAAGTCAACTCAACCCAAATCATCACAATCTTTGTTTACTGAACCCAGAATACTCAAACCTGACATGCCTGATGAAATTTAAGAAAATATTTTGTTTGAATTATTCAATGATATGTAAAAAAACAGCATTGCTAATCTCTTAATCACTGTGTTAGCAAATCCCACTGAGCAAATATATTTTATCAAATTTCTAGTCATTTTGGACATTAATATTATATGAGTAGTAGAGAAGAATTGTATTCTTTTGGTAAAGTCTACACCCATAACGTGAGATAATTTGGACTAGATATTATAATTTCTAGAACAGTCCTGTGTTCCTCAAGCATCAGCATATGAAATTTTTCATCAATTTATATTGAGTTATCAAAGATTGGATTTTCATGAAAAATGGTGGTCATTTTGAATTGAGCAACCATAATGCTCATAAGGCATATATCTATAAAGTTTGAAGGGCTTCTCTATGTCCCTACCAGACGTCGTTGCTGGGATAATATTACTATGATTAACTAAAATGTATTAAATATACATATTTTTAAAATGAACTTGTATTACTACCTAAATTATTGGGGTTGACTTGATTAAGGTTGGAAATGACATTGGGGTTGAGACGACCAAGAATTGAAAACGTCTGTTTCAAAGTATTTAAATATGATATGAATTTTTAGTCAATCTAATTCCTGAAAATGGCCATTTGGGCTTTCTTTTGAAAGTACCTTCAAAATTATGCCCATGGTGTGTATTTTATGAGAAATTGTACCTGGAATGTTAAACTACTGCATGGATCAAGTTCAGTATGCTTCTCATCTAGAATTGAGGTCAATATTTACTGCACTTCAGTTTTAAATTGCCAATTTTTGAATAAGTTGATCCAATGGCTAATTTTTGAATGCTTCAGCCCCGTAGCCAGGGGGTAGGGGTCAAACAAATCCCCCTTGGCCAAAAATCCTTTCAAAATCATAGTTTTTCACCATTCTGAGCATTTTGCAAGTGGTTTTGGGCCAAAGTTGTCAAATATGAGCCCCCTCGAATTTAGTGAAAAGTGAATTCCCCTTGGCAAAATCTAGCTACTAGACTGGCTTTTTCAGAATGAATGAAGCAAGTTGTTGAACTTGTAATCTACAAGTTCATTATTGTATTAAATGTTATTGGTTAGACCAATAGTAATCGAGTACAGTATTTCTACTTAATTTGGTGGTTGTTTTATTTTGGTGGATCCACCAAATTGTTAAAAAGTCCGCAAAATTAAGTCGCTGCCAAATTCCCCGGTAGTTGTAGTTCCATTTAAATTAGTACCACTACATTGCAATATTACAAGTCCACCAAATCAAGCAGCCGCCAAATGTTCAAAACAGCAAATCTGTCAAAAAAGTAGCACCAAATTAAGTAGAAATACAGTAAGTGAAGTTATGATTATCTTTCTGTTATGTTTCTCATTCTGTGATTGGTTGAACACAGGTCACATGACAAACTTCAGGCTCATTTTGTCAATATGATTTATTATACCATGGACTTTCATTATTAAGCACACATTGATTACAACATTGTACAAAGTGATTTTCTAAAAAGGCATGGAGACGATCTAAAAATATTTGAGGAAATGGGAAAATAAATTCGGAAGACTTTTTTTTCATATATTCAATGTAGGATTTGCTTCCTAGTAGCATTATAAGAGAGATTTCGAATCTCACTTATAGCATGTTTATTATTCCCGTTTGATTACGTCATCATATATTGTGCAGGTCTATACGTCCATAAGCGTGATTTTCTTATAGTTGTTGTCTATACATAAGAATATTACACTTATGGACATATAGACCTGCACCATAAATGATGACGTATCAAACGCTTCATAAGTTAGATTCTATATGGGAATAACAAGCATGCTAAGTGAATTGCGAAATCTCTTTATTATCAAGCATGAAACTTATAAAAGTTATTTTATTCTTGATTCATCAAACATTTTTGGAGAATATGAAAATTAATTTAAAACATCATTGTTATGTATTTAAATGACCTTGTTGACACATGATGATTGTTATGTCACCACCAAAAGTGGTGACATATTGTTATGGTCTCCGTTTTTTTGCGACGGCGGTTGGTGGTTGGCGGTTGGTGGTTGGAGGTTGGCGTCCGGCGTCTGTAACAATTTCTTACAACTTCCTATAACTTAACAAATACTGTTTAGACTGACTTCAATTTTTTTCTAAATCATCTACATGTTCTCAGAAGTTCAAATCTGACTTTAGATTTGACATTTGACCTTCAATGACCTTCTCAAGGTCAAAAAGGTCTTTTTTCAACTTGCTTCACATTGACTAAATTTTTTTTCAAAATCATCTACATGTTCTCAGAAATTCAAATCTGACTTTAGATTTGACTTTAGATTTGACATTTGACCTTCAAATCTGACTTTTGATTTGACATTTGACCTTCAATGACCTTCTCAAGGTCAAAAAAGGTCAAAAAGGTCTGTTTTTTCAACTTACTTCAAATTGACTAAATTTTTTTTTCAAAATCATCTACGTGTTCTCAGAAATTCAAATCTGACTAAAGAGTTGACATTTGACCTTCTCAAGGTCAAAAAAGGTCAAAAAGGTCTGTTTTCAACTTGCTTCAAATTGACTAAAAAAAATTTTCAAAATCATCTACGTGTTCTCAGAAATTCAAATCTGACTTTAGATTTGACTTAAGATTTGACATTTGACCTTCAATGACCTTCTCAAAGTCAAAAAAGGTCAAAAAGGTCTTTTTTCAAATTGACTAAATTTTTTTTTCAAAATCATCTACATGTTCTCAGAAATTCAAATCTGACTTTAGATTTGACATTTGACCTTCAATGACCTTCTCAAAGTCAAAAAAGGTCAAAAAGGTCTTTTTTCAACTTGCTTCAAATTGACTAAATTTTTTTTTCAAAATCATCTACATGTTCTCAGAAATTCAAATCTGACTTTAGATTTGACATTTGACCTTCAATGACCTTCTCAATGTCAAAAAGGGTCAAAAAGGTATTTTTTCATCTTGCTTCAAATTGACTAAATTTTTTTTCAAAATCATCTACATGTTCTCAGAAATTCAAATATGACTTTAGATTTGACATTTGACCTTCAATGACCTTCTCAAGGTCAAAAAAGGTCAAAAAGGTCTTTTTCAACTTGCTTCAAATTGACTAATTTTTTTTTTCAAAATCATCTACATGTTCTCAGAAATTCAAATCTGACTTTAGATTTGACATTTGACCTTTAATGACCTTCTCAAGGTCAAAAAAGGTCTGTTTTCAACTTGCTTCAAATTGACCAAATTTTTTTTTCAAAATCATCTACATCTTTTCAAAAGTTCAAATTTGACTTCACAAGTTCTCAGAAGTTCAAATCTGACTTTAGATTTGACCTTTGACCTTCAATGACCTTCTCAAGGTCAAAAGGTATTTTCCAACTTGCTTTAAATTGACCAAATTGTTTTAGGTGGTGACATTTTGTCATGTTAATGCCTTGTATTTGAATTTTACAATGGTGATCCATAAAGTAATAAATATACATTTAACAATTTAAAAGACTTTCTAACACTGTGACTGTCAAGAAAATACATGTAACTGAAAATCAGTTCTTCTAGAAAACCCAATGAACTCAAAATTCAAAATGTCATCAAAAAGAAAGAAAAGAACATATAACTTAAAGGTGCAACAATAAGTGCAGGGATCAACGATCATAGACCAGTGTCAAAATATATTTAAGTTTGATTATTTCAGTAGCCACAAAATGTTCAAAATAGCAAATCCCCCAAATAAGTAGCGCCAAATTAAGTAGAAGTACAGTATCACATTTTGTTTTAATTTTGAACCAAATTAAATCACACCATTTATTATTAGTCAGCTGATTAGAGTGTGCCTCTTGGATGACCTTCCAACCAAATGGAAATGTTTCTAATTGATTTAGCAAGCCTACATCATGCATAAGCCCAAATTTGGGAATACTTGGTTTGTCATAGATCTTATGTCATGCTGGGAGTCAATTAATGATCGTCATTCATTACATTACTGGTCCCAAGAGGCCATACGCGCACCCTTCCAAGTTGTTAAAGATCTACGATAATGAAAAGCCAAATTCATTTCATAAGTATTTCCAGAAGATGGGCTTATAGGACAGACTTGCTATACTGCTAAAGGGTCTAAAATCCAGTTCAGTTGCATGGAATCTGAATGTCATCCAAGAGACACACTAATAATGAATGATGTGTTTAAGTTATAAATGTCATGATATAGGGAGAAAACCAATAAACTCAAGGCCTGTGTTATACTTGCTAACTGTATATTGAATGCTCTTACTATGCATGAATATTTTCTCTCCCCATATCTTGACACTGTTAGTTTAACTGTCTATAACTGATACCAAAACAAACTGTAGTATATACAACTGAATTTTGTAAATTGATAAACTGTAGTACTAGTTTATACAACTGAATTTTGTAAATTGATAAAAAAGATGCAATTTTTCAATCAATTAATTTTTCAATGAAATATATATAATATAAATTGAAATCAAGAAATATGAATAATTTTTTTGTTACATTTTAATTGAGAAAGGATAGAAAAAGATATAACATTATTCTCAAGTAGCTGTGAGCTACTATTTACATGTATATGATTTCATTACCACAGTATATCTTTGACCTTGATGGTCTTATGTCTATGATGAATAATTATTGGCAGTCACTATTTGTATACTATGATATTGGCACTGTGTAGTATCATTAACCTTGATGGTCTATTGCCTACAATGAATTACAATGGATACTATTGGCAATTTGTAGTGTCCTTGACTTTGATGGTCTTATGTAGTATCATTAACCTTGATGGTCTATTGCCTACGATGAATTACAATTGATACTATTGGCAATTGTAGTGTCCTTGACTTTGATGGTCTTATGTAGTATCATTAACCTTGATGGTCTATTGCCTACGATGAATTACAATTGATACTATTGGCAATTTGTAGTGTCCTTGACTTTGATGGTATTATGTAGTATCATTAACCTTGATGGTCTATTGCCTACAATGAATTACAATTGATACTATTGGCAATTTGTAGTGTATTTGACTTTGATGGTCTTATGTCTAGATGAATAACCATTGTTACTATGATACTTGCACTGGGTAGTGTCTTTGACCTTGATGGTCTAGTGTCTAAGATGAATAACTACAAGTATTATTGTTACATCAGCACAAGGCAGTGTCCTTGACCTTGATGGTCTAATGTCCATGATGAATAAGTGTAGTGTCCTTGTTCTTGATGTACTGTTCATACAAAGTTTTAACTTCATTCTCTAAACTTGATAAGGCATCCTCTGTTGGAAATTCATAATCAATACCAAGGGGACGGCCCTTGTACTGTCGCATCATCTCATTATACAGAACATGGAGATCAAAAACCTTACATTTTTCATCATCATTAAGGTTTTCATTCTCAGAGTTGAAAGCAATGTCATCTAGAGTTGGGTCTTCCTCAATGTAGTAGTTAACCCTAATTGTGCCATCTTGGAACTCATCAACCAATTTTGATTGTTTAAGGAGGTCTATAATTAAATCCAGGGATATTTTGGTTTTCAACATGCATTGCTTGATGAACTGGTTCAAAAGCTCTGGCTTGGAGAGAATATGGCTGACCTGCTCATTGATTGGTTTACTGCTCTGAGAGCCTGTTATGTCATCTATCCATTGCTGCAAGTTGGACAAAATAATTCTACGCTGCTCTGTTGGGGCCTTCATTATAGTAGCATTATGGTGCCTCGATTTGCGTTTAAGCTGTGTCCATAGCGATTCACAGAATTCTTTTCCAGCTTTCTTTTTAAGCTCCAATTGCTGTTTCTCAGCAAGCTTAGCATATTTTTTGTCCTTTTTTGCTTTCAATTTATTAGGGGTTGTGCCCATATCACTGATAAGGGGTTCAAAAAGGTGTTTGGAAACCATCTTAACTTCTTGTTTGATGACCACTGAGCCAATATATACTTGGTCATGTTGATGACTAGTTTTCTTTTGTCTTTGTCCTTTCCTTTTTAGTTGTCGTTTCTTTTGTTGGAAAGTGGCAAAAGCTTCATGGGGGCAAGTTACGTATGTAAACCTACATGCTCCTTTAACTGCATTTTTAAATGCTTTCATGGTTTTCGGTTTTGAGCTTTGCATGGAGTGTAGTAGCAGCAATGTAGGAATTGTTTCTAGTTTCAATTCATTGGGTATTTCAGTGATGTTTTCAATTGAAACAGTTCTCACTATGTGTGGATCTAGTGTCTTCAACACTTTTGTTGTTTTGATCAATTTGACAAGTTCCTGCTCTTGTTTTTCTTTAGTATTCATACTAGCGTCGATATGGCTAGCAGTATGCTGATCGTATCGATTGGTGTATGATGCTGTTGAACTGTCAGAGTCGCAACTACTGCTGTCACTGCTACTACTACATGTACTTGTACTGGGTCTTCTCTTGTGCATCTTTCTTCGTTTATGCCTTCGTCTATGACAATCAGAGTAAGATCTTCTTCGTCGCTTATATGATCTTTCCAAGCTTCGACTTCTACTTCTTGACCCTTTACGCTTGTACGACCTTCTTCGTGATTGCTCAGGGCTTTGAGTTATACTTCTTGACCTTGAACCTCTATATTGATATGACCTTCTGTGAGACATGGGGCTTCTGCTTCTACTCCTTGATCTTGATGGTGAACTTTGATCACTTTGTGAAAATATTTCTGAATCATCCAGACTATTGCTCCTTGATCGTCTGTGATGTGACCTTGAACCAATTTGGGTGTAGAAGCGCTTCCTTTTTGGACTTATGGATCGAGATCTCGAACAATAGCGTCTATACTTTTTAGTACTTTCTCTGCCTCTAGAACGTGATCTTGACATCCTTTGTTTGTATTTATGCTTTCGTCTTCTCCCTTGTTTTTTGTATCTGTTGGTATTTTTCATTAGAGCTTTCTCTACTTTGCTTAAGTCCATGGTGGTATCTCTGATAATTGACTCCATTATGTTTTTCTTTTTTGCTGTTTTGATTGGATCTTTCTTGCATCTAGTCACATAGTTCTCCCATATTGCTCTAAAGACATTCATCATGAATTCGGATGGAAAGCTGTAAGCGAGATTTTCTTTTGATTCTCCAGTTTTAGATACATAGCCAATGGAAATTAGATTTTCAAGCACTAGTTCGATACCTCCATGCTGTGTGTTTTCATTTGTACAAATTGCAGTTAGCTTTGGTAGCCATGTTTCCTTTTTGCGATTTTTCATTCCATCTTCAGATTTTACCCAAGCTTTTAGTTTTTCGATAGATTGTTTATGCTCATCACTGTTTGTTGGAACTAAAAGTGGTATTCGGTTTTGAAATTTTGCAGTATTCATTGCATTGTTCCATATTGTTGTTGTGAGTTTATCCAGCGAAGCATAAACTTTAGTAACTGTTTTAGTTTTTATCACTGGTATATTTCCAGAAATACTTAGTAGAACATCCAGTGCTTCTAGAGGATCGATGAATGCTATAATGTCAGTCACTGGAACCAAAATATTCTTCAATGCAGCTAAATTCTTTGGGCATGATTTCTCAACTGTTTCTAAAATGTTCACTGCCCTTGAAACAATTGTGTTGTATTGTTCATGCCTTTTCGTATCTCGTACAGTTCTAGCTACTGACATTTCAAGAGTATTAACACGAATCGTTGAACGTTTGTTTTATACTGTATGATTACGTTCTACTGACGTTTATAAACTTTATATTGTTCAAAATTGAATGACAACACCATTTTTGGGTAGATTGTTTACTTCCGGATTTTATAAGTTTATCACATGTCATAATTTGACCAATCAGAGAAGACTTCACAAAATTCTGCCTCAAATATTTGGACCAATCAGAGATCAGGACACGAAATTTAAATCTCGCCATTTTCAAATATTTGACCGAGCAAGTGTTTAATTTAGGCTCCGACAAAGACGGATTTTAGCAGTATCTCCATCGGTAATGTATATGTTTTAATGCTCATCATAGTAAACACAATATATGTTATATTTATTGATTTGTTTAACGTTTTGATCTTTGTTATTCCGTCGGAAAATGAGTCTCAAAACAACTCACGTTTCAACTTTCAGATTTTTTTGTGAAGTCTTTCTTCCTTTCCTGTGTGATTTATTATGATTAGGTTTTATCAGCACTGCAGACAAAGGGCAGCAAATGAGAACTATTCTAGCAGGTGCTCGTTGTCAGATCAAAAAAAGTTAAATTCAAAGTATACAGTTGCAATAATTTTTTTGATTTTGAATGGTTCAATTTTGAAGCCTAAAAGAAAATTGTCTCGCAAAGGGCAAGTTTCCCTCCACGCAGTTCTCATGGAATATCAGTACACAAAGCATTTACCCTTTGCTCATTTGACTTTGCTTATGACAGTTTAATCTGAACTCAACAAGAGCTTGTCGCAGCAAGGGGGATGGTTTTCTCTCTATGGGCATTCCATATACAATCATTGTTTACGGTATTGACAACATGAAACATTAGACATTTTATGTTTCTCTCTTCTCGTGGATTGGTTGAGAAAATATCATTCTTGCAGTTTCTTTGAATTGATTCCTGAATTATCTACATGTGATATGATGTAACATTGCAATGTCATGACTAGCACAGTAGTTAGTCAAAGCAACTGTCGGGGTATTTGTTTTTAAGAGGAAACAGACATATTATAATTGATCAACAGATACACAATGAATTTGCTATTTTATTCCAAGTATAAATATAAAGATATGATGGCTCCAAAGACTTAATAGTCGACATACTCTCAAAATGCAAACCTATTTATAATTTTTAATTAGAATTTAAATGGAAAGGGTTATGTGCAGTATGGCTAGTGATTTTACACATTCATATCTTTAACCATGAATACTTTCTGGGCATAAATACAATGGTTTTTATTAAAACAATATGTTTTCTTTTAAGTACCCATGATGATAAAAATGTCATTCGAACAATTCGAAAAATTATGAATAGGGACCCCATGTCAACATTTTTTTTTCAAAATGTTGAACTTATTTACTCAAAAGAGGATCTTCTTTTTCTGGTTTTTATTGCATGAAAAAATTATTCAACAAGGGGTCTAAAACTTCTTCAAAAATCAAAAGTAGAATGGTATTGAAGGTCTGGTTTTGAAGGTATCAATTTTCGATGACCAAAATTATGCTGAAAACAATGGATGGCACAAGTTTTCCCCATGGGGAAATAACAAGGGATATGTGGTTTTTAACTTAAATGGGTTTCAGAAATTGTAAATATAGTGTAAAAGAAACGTTCGATATGTTTATACTGAGAAAAACAAGATCCTCTTTTAAGAAAATGAGCCTAACGTTTTTAAAAAAGTGCTGAGGTGGGGTCCTAAGTAGTAATCCATCTTTTTTCAGTGAGTAAGATTTATATTTTACTATCATGGGGAGAAAACCTATTGTTTAATAAAATTCACTGTATTTATGGGCAGAAAGTACTCATGGTGAAAGATGAATACTGAATACGCTTATTTTGTGGTATGAGGACTGTCAAGTCAAATTGAGACATCATACTCCCACAAAGTCATAACTCTACCTGCAAGGGATAGGGAATGAGAACAATTCTAGGAGGTGCTCAATCTCATGGTCAGATGAAAAATAGTTACATTATAAAGCTACATATGCTATAATATTTGAGGGAGAATATAATCAATATATATTTCAAATTGCATTGAATTGACAATAAACATATTTGCCTCTAGCTGCTCAACTAGACCCTAGAAAAGATACCATCACTAAATGTTTATGGATTGTTGTAAATTGATATCAATCCTTGTCCACAATCATGGCATCAATATTCCAGGTTATGGGATTGTCAAATTCAGTTGAAATTTTTTTTGACTTACTTTTGGTGAAATAAATAATAATATGTCAGTGTGTCATAATTACTCAAATGTCAAATTTGGATTTAAAACGTCATGTTTTAAGTAATTATTGATCCCCTTTTGGCTCACACAGTGAGCCTATGTGATCGACCAGGTTTTCGTCCGTCCGTTGGTCTGTCCGTCCATCCGTCTGTCAACATTGGCCGCACAAATTAAAACTGCTATTCGGATTGAGTCATATCCACATTCATTTTATGCATATCCATAATGCCTAATGCTGATTTTGACGTCAAAAAGTCGAATTTTCTGTAAATACTAGACACTTTGTTGAAGTAGAACTTTCAAATAACTTGTAGTAGTTGCTGTATATGCAACTTATGTCCTCTGAAGATTTAAAAGCTTTTGGAATTACAGTTTTTGGTGTTTACTCTATAAGACAAAAAGTAGGACTTGGTCATTTTCAAGAAACTTTCTTATGTATAAAGTCAATGGCAGGTTTTGTAATTGACAAGTTTCTCAAAGTTTGCCTTATACTTGATCATTTCTTGCAATGAATTACATCATAACTAGATTTAAGCATTCCCTACATATTGCTCAATATATGTGAGCATCAAATTTTTACCGTTTTTGAGATATTTGACGTAAAAAAACAGTAAAAATAAGTTATTTTTCAACTCGCTTCAATTTGACCAATTTTTTTTTGAAAATCATCTACAAGTTACCAGGAGTTCAAATCTGACATTAGTTTTAGGATTTGACTTTTACTTGACCTTCAGTGACCTTTGAAAGGTCAAAAAAGTTGATTTTTCAAATTGATTTTTGGATGTAAATTTTGGTCAGCTTAATCACAAAAGAGTCCCTTACTGAGCTCTTAATAAGTAAAATTTTCAAAGTCAAAGGTCATCAAACTAGGTCACACAACTGTGCTGTCTTAAGTTTCTCAAACTTCGAGACTACAAATCCAAATCAATATTTGTGTTTGAAAGTCAAGATATACATTCCTCTGAAGGTTCCAAACTGTGTGAGCACAGGACCGTGGGTCTTATTTTTATGTAATATCAATAGGATCTAGTGGGTACTTTAGTTAAAAGCTGTTCACCTCTAAAATCTAAATTGTTTATCATTGTTTCTTCAGGAGTTAGCTAAAAGATGACGGATAAAGAGACCAGAGTCCCATTGCGCCCTGTGCAGGAGGGTCAGATCAAGACTGCTTCTTCAACATATGAAAAGCCTGCATCTACAACTTCTGAAAAACCTGCAACTGAAAAATCTACAACTGAAAAAGATACCACATCTGACATGTAAGTAAAAAATCAATTATATTGGTGTAACGCTTATCACAGTCATGAATTGGCTTTGAAAACACATAGAATTATTTTAACCATTTTATCTTTGAACTTTCCCAGATGTGAGATATATCCAATAAGTATGATGTTAGATCTGTCTACTTTAATTCTCCATATCATATCAGCTGGAATCCAGTGAGCATATTAATCAAACCATCAATGTAGATCATTAAATAGACATTTCCTTTATCTCAGTTCAATACAAAATAGATTAAGCTATAATGACATCTTGTTCCATTGTGTGTATATCCTACTGTCCTTATGGCCTGTGGCTATATATAAAGATGTAGTAAAACCTGCCATATCTGTAATAGGGTGGTCCAAAATATGGCGAAAAACCAACTTTCTTTTGGATCATCTTCCTCATTTGACTTACTGTTGTCCATGACCTAAAACACCTGCACACCAAATTTTGAGACCCAAATCCCACTGGAAATTTACCCACGCTTCGACTGAAAAATTCGGTTATTTCATGATTTTTTGCTATTTTCGATAAATTGCCATCTCCTTTTTCCTGGTATAAAATGTTTCTATTTTTTCATAATAAACATTTTTGTAGGACTCTTTATTACTTAATAATACTAGGAGCCCAAACACCAAATTTTGAGACCCAAATCCCATGTGAAATTTACCCATGCTTTGACTGAAAAATTGTGATTTTTACAGTTTTGTCCGATTTTCAATAGATTACATCTCCATTTTCCTGGTATAATATGTTTCTATTTTTTCATAATAAATATTTTTGGATGACTCTTTATTACTTCATAATACTAGGAACCCATACACCAAATTTTGAGACCCAAATCCCATGGGAAATTTACCCATGGTTTGACTGAAAAATTGTGATTTTCACATTTTTTCCGATTTTCAATAAATTGCTGTCTCCATTTTCCTGGTACGATATGTTTTTATAATAAACATTTTTGAGGACTCTTTATTACTTCATAATACTAAAAACCCATACACCAAATATCCACCAAATTTTGAGACCCAAATCCAATGAGAACGTTACCCATGCTTTGACTGAAAACTGGTGCTTATGATAGCTTATGATGTCTGTTTTAGGGGCATAATATGTTAATAAACATTATGGTAATTCCTTCTTAATCCAAAGAAACACCTAAATATCAAGACTTTAAGTCTTATTGAAAGGCGACAAATTCAGTAGTTTGGGGAAAATTTAGGATCTTTTACTTGTACATTTATATACTGTGGTTAATATTAAGAAGTGATGACTCGACAGCAACTCAAATGCCTTGAAGATTTGGTTTGTTGGTGTCAGTAGGGATACATCACAGGACTTTGTTTGGATTTGTGTGAGATGTCATATTCTTTCTCACATCTTTGCAGGGTAAGGTCAAATATCAAATCTGATTTTCTTTGGAGAAATTTTTTTTTGATTGATCAATGTATCAATGGCATGGTCTCTGTTGTAACCAGTAAGCCTGTACCAAATCTTCAAGGGATTCGAGCTTCCACTGAGCTTTGTCATTTCTCTGAAAATGTTCATGCCCTGAAAGTACACAATGTAGAAGATAGGAAGAGCAATGAGAAACACTAAGGTAATTCTGTATGTTCAGAAATTTTAAGTGGAGTCCAATGTTATTTCTGGAACTCATTCCATACTTGGTCAGCTCTTTCAATTTTACACTGAGTTCAAATATGTATTTAGATTATTAGTTGATGGTTAGTAATTTTCTATAATGTACTATGTGCTATGTTTATACACTGTTTGTGCATCTGAATGGAATGAGTTATGTGTTCCTGAAAAAACACGGGGCTCCAATTAGGAAGCCATTAAAACTGAAAATAAGGAATTGCCTTAAAGTACTATATAACCATCTTTCACGATGTAACGTATGTAAGGCCAGACAGGATAATTAAGACAACGTGTAATACAATTTATTACAAATTGCACATCACACAACGATGATATGGTGCTCTAAACGACAAAAATCAAAAGTATATGATCAAAGCAAACATGAATTTCCCATGGGGTTCAGGTCTAAACATTTGGTACATATTAAATGTATGTGTTCCTAGTATTAAGAACGTATTAATGTCCTCCTAAAATGTTTAAAAACTAAATATAAGATTAATGTTGATCTATTGAAAATAGGAGAAAATTCGCAGAAAATCACAAATTTCTGGTTGAAGCATGAATTAATTTCTCATGGGGCCAGGGTCTCAAAATTTGGTGCATATTTGGGGTATGGGTTCCTCGTATTATGAAGTAATAAAGAGTCCTCCCAAAACATTTATTATAAAAAATAGAAACATATAATACCAGGAAAATAGAGATGTATTGTATTGTATATGGAATAACCCAATTTTTCAGTCGAAGCGTGGGTAAATTTCCCATGGGATTTGGGTCTCAAAATTTGATGTATGGGTTCCTAAGTATTATGAAGTAATAAAGAGTCATCCAAAAATATTTATTATGAAAAGACATCTACCATTTTATACCAGGAAAATGGAGATAGCAATTTATCGAAAATAGCAAAAAATCATGAAATAACCGAATTTTTCAGTCGAAGCGTGGGTAAATTTCCCATGGGATTTGGGTCTCAACATTTGGTGTATGGGTTCCTAGAATTATGAAGTAATAAAGAGTGCTACAAAAATGTTTATTATGAAAAAATAGAAACATATTATACCAGGAAAAGGGAGATGACAATTTATCGAAAATAGCAAAAAATCATGAAATAACCGAATTTTTCAGTCGAAGCGTGGGTAAATTTCCCATGGGATTTGGGTCTCAAAATTTGGTGTGCAGGTGTTTTAGGTCATGGACAACAGTAAGTGAAATGAGGAAGATGATCTGAAACAAAGTTGGTTTTTCGCCATATTTTGGACCACCCTAATCTGTAAACCTCTTATTTGAAGACCTCTCAATCTAACTCTTTTTTTGGTCCCAGACTACAGATCTACAGATTTTACATAAATGTTAATACTTCTTGCCAATCTGAACACTTTGGGCTGGTCCCTGGTTTGGATTAGACAGGTTTTTACCTTTATAAATGAATTTTGAATTGTTTTGTTTACAGGAAAAGGTGGACTCTTGAGAACTTTGACATAGGAAGACCGCTAGGTAAAGGCAAGTTTGGCAATGTGTATCTGGCCAGGGAGAAAAGGAGCAAATTCATAGTTGCACTCAAGGTAATACTACAGTACAACCTATATATCTAATTTGAACACCCCACAATGTGAATGCTTCTTTTGGTCCCATATCACAGAATCATTATTAAGAATTCATAGGTCAGTCTGTTTAATTACAAGTTAATATCTTTCCAAGGATCTCCCCCAGCATTAAATCAAGTGACACACCCACTTGAACTAGCTAACTTGAAATTCCAAAGAGGCTTGCCTCAACCTGAAATGAAATAATTTTTGTATGAATTATAAAATTGATATTTTGTCTCACTTAAGAAAAAATCTTTAGCAGAACAAGAGGAGGGAAAACCCAGAATTCAGTGATGACCCTTAGATCTTAATCTAAACCTGAACCTGGTTTGTTGTGTTCTCTCATTGCCATAAACAGCACAAAAATAGTCTGAATAATTGGGTTTATGAGTGGCATGTTTGTATTGTAGGTGCTGTTTAAGTCTCAGCTTCAGAAGGCACAGGTTGAACATCAGCTGAGGAGAGAGATTGAAATACAGTCACATCTCAGGTAACAGTTTTCATAAAAAAGAAACTCGCCAAAACTCTCAAAAGTGAATACTGGTTCAGTGCTTGTAACTGGTTCAGTATTTGTAAACTATACTTCAGCTTTATACCAAATATGTTTTATTAATCACATCATTTGTATATTCTTGGACATATGACGTTTCATTGACGAGCCAGTGAACATATCAGCACAACAGCTGTTCGTGGCCAAATTCATATTCAGTCAAATTCAAAGTGACAACATGTCACTAGGTTGAAATGAAATTATAATCGCAATTCATCTTGATTGTAGACATCAACACATTTTACGGCTCTATGGTTATTTCTATGACAACACTAGAGTCTACCTCATCCTGGAATACGCTCCCAGGGGTGAGCTCTACAAAGAACTACAGAAATGCAACAGATTTGAGGAAAAGCGCACTGCAACAGTAAGAAACATTTTGACATGTTTATATAAAACTATCTAAACAAACTATATTCCTGAAACCTTAAATCGCTCATCTAGTAAGCAATGGTTCCATCGTGGCCCATTGATGAATCTTGGTCTTAATAACCCACTCACAGCCTACTATGAGACCTGGCCTTTCATTTAGTGGATATTTTCTGTTTTCAGTATATACACCAACTAGCCTCAGCACTACAGTATTGCCATAGCAAGAAGGTTATTCACAGAGACATCAAACCAGAGAACCTTCTACTTGGTCTACGTGGTGAACTAAAAATAGCTGACTTTGGATGGTCAGTCCATGCCCCTTCTTCGAGGTTAGTAGTTAAGATTTCTTAATTAGAATGATTCAACTTCAGATACAGGGTGTTGAATCCTAATTTGCATGTAATTTTCAGATTTTCAACATTTAGCAGCTTATTCTAATGTGGGGATATCACTAATTCATCATCAATTAGATACTGTATTTTAGACTACTTCAATCCATGGTGTGATCTACATTGACATTTAGTTGCATACACCATATTGTTTCATGTAACTCCATGATATATTATCTTCATAAACCAGATGTGCTACCATTTGTGTTGCTCTCCTCGACCAGAGATGGTCTCATTGTTTCACACACTGCATGATATATTTTCTCCTTTTCCAGGCGTGCTACACTATGTGGTACCCTTGACTACCTCCCCCCAGAGATGATTGAAGGAAAAATGCACGATGAGAAGATTGATCTTTGGAGTCTTGGAGTTCTCTGCTACGAGTTTCTTGTTGGCAAACCTCCTTTTGAAGCCGATGGTCACAGTGAGACATACAGACGCATTTCTAAAGTTGACCTCAGATTTCCCAGTTACGTCGCAGAAGGAGCTAGAGACCTTATCACAAAAGTATGTCCAATTTAGTGTTTTCAATATCAGAAACTGATATTTATAGATACCTGATTCCACGGGGTGCCATCGAATAATTTTGGCAACGTACCGGAGAACGACATTTTACTAAGAAATGGCAATAATTTAGCACAATATATTTTTAACTAGAGTTCTATTTTGATTTTGACAAAAGTAAGTATTCCATGCAATAACTATTTCATTCATGAGTTTGTAGGAATTCTGTTGGAACCCAGTTCTGATCAAGTACGAAGTTATTGAAATCGGCGCAGACGGACTTTACTCCGAAAGATGGTTTTTCGATTATAACTTTTCACAACATTTAAGTATAGACTTTTGAAAAAAGTACAGAATAGTCCTTATACTTTTGAATAATTCTGTTATTTCTGATTCACACGACTCTGATTTGTTTAATTAAAAAAAAAGTTTTAAAAATATTACTTAGGAACGTAACCGGAGCTGGGAACGTAACCGGAGCAGATCAGTTGAATTATTTAATAAAAAAAATTAAAATATATGATTTGTAACATGGTCATTTTCACATTGTTTATATTTATACTTTTCATATTGACCAATCCCCATCCATGTCATTTTAACAGGTCCCTTCATTACTTTACACCAGTGTTTCAAATATTTAATTCCAATGTTTTCAATTCTTTTGTATACTTTCTACTTTATCTTCCTTTATTTAAAGCAATTTTTAGCTTTTCATGGTGTGATTGTCTCGTACTGTTTTTGTATTCCATATAATAGCATTCACTCACATGTAGCTGAGTTTGGGTGTTGGCCCAGCCTCAGTAGTTGCTTAGAGGTAGATGATAATGTAGATTGTACAGAGAACGTTTGAAGTTTATTTGAAATAGACTATTTTATATATTTTAACTTTAGTTATCTGTTACTTTTATTTGCCACCCACGGGCCTTACACTCGCCCCGTTACAGATTTAAAGCACATACAAATTTAAAAACATACGGGATTGTTCGAATGCGTATTTATTACATTTTATTTAAAGAAAACAATTTATCCATTGTGAAAAATTAAATTTGGTATTTACCATGCATAAGTGCACTTACCTTAGAAAGGCTATCAAACATAGAACAATCATTGTATGGAGAATGAAGTGATTAAATGTAGTAAGCAAATAATTCCATTTGATTTCACCCATTGTATTTGTTCAGCGAACTATTAGAACCCACTCTGTTAGACTAATTTCTAATTAATTTCTAATTTATACTAATTGCCATGCATTGATTTTCCTGTAAGTGAAGGGTAATAAATGCTCATTTTAACATTCATATGTGTTTGTAAATAATATATATGCTTTAAATCATATATTGGTCTTTAAATTATATAATTCAACTGATCTGCTCCGGTTACGTTCCCAGCTCCGGTTACGTTCCTAAGTAATATTTTTAAAACTTTTTTTTTAATTAAACAAATCAGAGTCGTGTGAATCAGAAATAACAGAATTATTCAATAGTATAAGGACTATTCTGTACTTTTTTCAAAAGTCTATACTTAAATGTTGTAAAAAGTTATAATCGAAAAACCATCTTTCGGAGTAAAGTCCGACTGCGCCGATTTCAATAACTTCGTACTTGATCAGAACTGGGTTCCAACAGAATTCCTTCAAACTCATGAATGAAATAGCCATTGCATGGAATACTTACTTTTGTCAAAATCAAAGTAGAACTCGAGTTAAAAAATATATTGTGCTAAATTATTGCCATTTCTTAGTAAAATGTCGTTCTCCGGTACGTTGCCAAAATTATTCGATGGTACCCCGTGGATTCACACTAAACTACTTCTTTCCAAGTAAATCGGAAAACATGTATGTATTATATATTCTTTGTTGTTGAGGTTAGTTATATGTATTACATGTACTCTGCATTGTAAATGTTACAAAGATGCATAAATTAAACCAGTAATGTTATATTTCCAGTTATTGCGTCATGACCCAGCAAAGAGACTACCACTAGAGGGTGTATTAGTACATCCATGGATCCAATCAAATTGCAGTAATTATGCCCCACCTTCATCATAGCGGAGGATGTGTACATAGACAGAGAACAGTTGTAAATACATCAGTGTGAGTCACACCCTGGAGCAGTAGCAATCGATGGATTACAAAACAGTTATGCAATGCTGATATCAAGAAATAATCCATTCATTGAACTAAGAGGAACCGTTTCAAAGAACAGAAATATTCAGGATAATATGCCATATGAAACGTATATTACAGTACTGTGTTATATTCCTTGTGAATAGACCTCTAAGACAGAAGAGGAACTTAATAATTATGTGTCAAACAAAACTGTACAGTGACCGATACTTGCTTGGGTCAACAGTCCAAAGTACCAGGGGGTCATTAACAGAAACTTCATAAAGTTACGAATTCGTAAATCAATTGTTGTTACCATGGATATAATGATGTCACAGTTAGAAAACAATGGGCTTTACGAATTCGTAACTTTATGAAGTTTCTGTTAATGGCCCCCAGGATTCTACATCGGACGTGCATTCTCCCTTCTTTGTGGTATTTTCCATGTGAGAAAAACATGAGAGGAGTATGCACAAATGTGCCTGAATCCTGGACTAAAATGTTGACATCATTTGAGAAATATCTACTCTAGAAAATTGTTAGACTTTGATACTTTCATAATTACTACAATAACAATGTTTCAACTATAATTTGTAAAATGTAAATGATGTCGAATGAAAGATGTGTAAATGTGATCTTGAATGAAAGATGTGTAAATGTGATCTTGAATGAAAGATGTGTAAATGTGATCTTGAGTGTTGAGTAAGACAAAGTGTTAAATGATCTATATGTGCATGATTAAATTATATGCCGTATCTGTATTTCAGATCTACCATTTATTGTTTATTCTATGTATCTCGAGAGACAATTTAACCTCAAAGAGTTTGTACATTTTGACATAATAAACACTGTCTCATTTTGTACAATCTTAGAAATCATTTGGATTTTCTCTGTTGTAATTTTGCATTGTAGGAGAAATCTGGAGCTTAATTCATCCTGAGATAAAATCTAGAGCTAGATTCACCCTCAGATAGTTCTGGAGCTAGATTTGCCCTCAGATAAATCTGGAGCTAGATTTGCACTCAGATAAATCTGGAGCTAGATTCGCCATCAGATAAATCTGGAGCTAGATTCACCCTAAGTAAATCTGAAGCTAGATGCATCCTGAGAAAATCTGGAGCTAGATTCATCCTGAGATAATCTTCAAATGTTTTTGAGGTAGATTTAATGTGCCTCGAGTGGTGGAATCAGTGGATAAATCCAATGTAAATGAATAATCTGAAAAATACTCCAATAATCTCAATATTTGTTTTCATCAAGGTCGTAATTCTATGTAATTAATTAAATGTAGCTGTAATGGTATGATGTAGTCCTATTATAATCAGTGTCTGAATTGGCATACAGCCATGTAAATTTTTATTTTTATGTCACCTCCAAGAGTGGTGGCATATGTAATACTCTCCAACTATTTTGGTGGACAGTGTGAGGCATCTGTAACAGATGCCAGGTGATGACATTTTGCATGTAAATGACTTGTTTATGACATCAATTCCTGGGATTCTCAATGGAATGATTTTCAATATTTCAATGTGCTGATTGTACATTTTACATTTATAACTTTTGATTGAGAATCAATCATTTATTCTCAGGATTGAATTGTCTGAGTCTTTAGCTTCATGAAATTAATATTGATAAATATAACTGCCTGTACATTTTATTTATCAGCATTGGATTTTTCTAAATAATAAATGTTATATTAAACTGCAAATATCTAAAGCTTATGTTGTCATGTGTCAAACATTTTTTCCAATCAAATAATTAGAACAGCTTTGTAATGAAGGGATGTTACTTGTTAGGCCTAGCTCATCTCTCTCTAAATATGATATCTGTAACAATCTTTAAATTTAATTTTATCGTACTATCAGTTATGATCAAGTGCACCTCATTCAAGTTAATATTGCCCCTGTGGAAATAAATTTTGTTGAATGAATTAGTTTTATATTTTCAAATAATTGTCATTTGATTTCGTTGTGGATAACTAGGTTAATTATAATCACTGAACTGCTCAGTATGTATATAATTTCTCATAAGTATCTAATGACCGTCATTCAACAGACTCACATATGTAAAGGAATTGTATGATGGTGAACAAGTACTTGCATACGTTTTCCATGAGATATGTTATATTTTTACAAACCCTTCAATTCCGGGTTAAAGTTCTGGTTTCACGTAATTTTTCAAGTACGCATATATCGTTGATATGGTGACAACACAAACACCACGAATGTATTCTATATCGTACCAAAACAACGTAGAAATATAATTATATTTAAAACATACGTTTTTCGTTATGATCGATGTTATTAATTCATTAACTGGAATTTCAATAAATTAACAGATTTTGTTTAAACGAAGCATAAAGTATTCAAATAAATACCAATTTTACGTTTGTAAGCCTCATTGTTTGTAATAACTAAGCCATGTTCATTCAAGCAAAATATTACAACAAATATTACATTTTTGACTAGTGTTGACACCTGAGCAGTGTGGCCTCATCGGTTAGGGGGCTAGGTTGTGGTCGAGCGTCCCGAGGGATACGGAGGTCCCACGTTCGAGTCGCAGGTACGGCGTTCTAGATCATAGTTCTACAGGACACTCGGTCCGAAGGTCCAACCGGTTGCCGGCCCTTGGCTTGGGCGGGTTCTCTGGCCACTCTTGCCGGAGACAGATTGTGAGACTGTAGGTTGGTTCCTCCACTGACGGGCTATAGGAGACGCCGGGAGTCATACAGTATGGTAGCGAGCCCCCACCAAGGGCAGTAGTGGAGCGACACGAATCGGTCCCAGTATGGTTGCCTTGCAACTGAAGAGACTCGAGGAAATCATGCCATTCGCAGTGACCCAGAAAAGACTTTTGTTCCTTGATTCAACCACCATAACTTATATTTATTTATTAAATACAAATAAACGTTTTATGTTATATTAATGGGTAAACTTATGTAAAACTGTAATAATAGTAAATAATTATGTACCTAAATAAATAAATGATTTACCAACGAGGTTTTTATTGGTGTTTTAAACATGTGATGTCAATTGTGTACATCTCCTTTAGTTAGACCTAGTACTAAACCCAGGAACGGGCTCGTAGTTGGAAGCAATTGGGCACCGATGCACGTGCTCAAACAATTTATGAAAGTGACCAAGTGCCCATCTTCGGTTAAAGTATGGGACTCCAGGGGGAGGGTGGGAGGTGAAAAACCAATTTAATCTTAGTTTCACTCATATTTCTGTTTGGATTTTATATCATTCAGTAGTGAAATACCACATAATAACACATTCAAAGAGAGATGCCAACTGTTTCCAATGTGGAAACTTTCACTATTACAGTATCTATCTAAAATCGCAATTGTGAAGATTTAATTGTTATTCAGATTCGTTATGAGTAGATGTATACTGTATAGGTACTTCAATTTTTTTCTTTTCAATCATAGAATGGAAGTGACGTTAAACATTAAACAATGTATAGTACTTCGTATGGCCTAAGCAAATATACCCGAAATAGGCAATTTTCAAACATTTTATTCACAACTATTTCTCATAAGTTCTTTTAAAAGCAATACTCCTCAGTCTGTATACAAAGGGTTAATTATCAACCTTTCAAATATTAGAGTTTTCACATACAACTTTAAGGAATTGAAATAGATCCAACAACAAACATCAAATCTACATTACAAAATTACATTTATTTAAGATGTTCTGTACATAGGAAACATTCTAGCATTCCGTATGGACCATGGACTTGGTAATTATTAAGTAAAGGAATGATAATGTGCTTTGTTGAGTATTACTGGCAGGAAAAGGTTTCTTAATCGGAGTCCTCCACGCCGAACCCCAAAATATGGAATAATTAAGAGGTGAAAATTTAAAGGTGCAACAATTAGTGCAGAGGCCATTCAGCGATCATGGACCAGTGTCAAAACATATTTAAGTTTGGATATTTCATCAAGGCTAACATATATTTTTATTATCTCCAAAGAAACCCCCTGGATGAACATTTTTTTCAGCTGATATTCCTCTTGAAACGTGGTGGATCTTAAAAATCTATTAGTGGGAATCCCTTTATAGAAGTTTTGAACTGAATTTACACTTCTTAATGCTGAAATTGATAGTTTATTCATACATTTTTCGAATTTTCTCTCTACAGGCCTTGTTACCCCTTTAAGGACTTTCATTTTTAAATACTTTGGTTGAGGCCTAATCTATCGTTATAAACAGAATGTACCCTCACAAAGGTGTTGGTTTTAAAATGAAAACATAGTATACACAGTATACATAAACTTACTGACAAATGGACACTTAAGGATTGAAATAGTCCATTAGCCTTATACATATACTGCAGTATAAGCATTTCCATTTCGCACAATATATCATACATTTCTTTGTGATATAATTTAACACGCCAATGATACAATGCAATATTGATTACAGAGACAACATTGTGGTTTGAACATATACATATACAACTCTTTTATCTTGACCTTTCAAGAGGACTTCTTATTTTCCAAATGTTCAGATTTGGTTGACTGATTCCAACTATTTCATGTCTTAATGTCATTTGCCTTCAGGTGAACTTTTTTTATTTTTGAGTCTAGGTAAAAATGTTTCAATTATCAGCAGGGTTTTTCAAGGCAGCCACTTTACATTCCCACCTTTTTAAATTCCTTGTAATTTCATCAACAGACCCATCCAATGGATTTGAATATCAATGATTCTGCAGCCATCTACAAATGACAGGTCTTGTTGAAATTTTCAAAATTCCATTGAAATCAGTAAATTTCAAGAAGATTTGATAGGTCTCTCGGGAAATGCTTTGCAATATTTACAAGACTTGAGAAAAAGTGGCTTATAATACAATCAGAATTTTGTTCTTGTTTATGGAAGATCTAACGCCTCTTTTTCTTAGATGGTGTATCACGATGTCCTCCGCCACTTCCATGTTTTCTCTTCTCTCCTCGATCTTTCGACGGAGATTTATGAGACGAGGATTTGTGGGAGGATGATTTATGAGATGAGGATTTGTGCGAGGATTTATGTGGAGACTTGTGCTTAGAGCTACTGTGTTTTGATGAGGAGTGTCGGTGTTTTGGTTGAACATGTTTGTTGTGACGCTCCCGACGGAATTTATCCTCTTCTTCCAATTCAACACCTTTGTCAGCTGAAAAAGTACCAAATTGCCGTTAATCTAAATGTACATCAATGCCATAACAGAGAAGAAAAGAAGAGGATGGATGATCACTGGAAGAGGGAGCACTATATGCTATAGGTTTCTTTTGTCTTGTATTAATAATAAGTGAATTGAGAAGACAGGTGGCTTAAGTAATGAGAGGATGACATCACTGGCTTAGTCCACTACGTCCTAATGATGATGATGATGTGATATACGAAGACAAAAGGTAGGTAGTTAGTTTTGTCTGATGGGAAGGGGATAACAATTACAAATTGAAATATCAGATGCGACTTTTTCAAGATTGTTACCAAAAATGATGAAGTTTGTCTTTAAACTTCTTTAAAATGTAAGGGTATATATCAAACACTCCTTAAAACTTTTCAAACTGCATCTTGGGCACCCACCCTTTCTGGCTTCCTCCTCTAACTCATCCCAATCTTTCCCACTCTCTTCACTTGAGCCGAGATCCTCTGAGCCATCTTCACTGTCTTCCTCATCTGACCAATTAGATTCTTCACTGTCATAGGAATCCTCGGATGATGCATCTTCATCCTCTGATAAATCACTTGGTGCGTACGAGTCTTCCTCCGATTCCTCATCTACCTCAGCCTGAAATGTTTATGTAAAATTGAAACCAAAATGTTGAGCTCAGCATGAATTTGACTGAAATATGTATAATTTCACCAACACAATTGAAGTGTCAAAACTGGATGCTCAGTAACTTTGAGTGACTATAATCCCTTGATTACTCAGATAAACACCAATTCACTTATCAAGAAATACCATTCAATGTCTATGCAAAGAAAGTAAGCAATGTTTTGGAGGATATGCTTCAAACTTTTTGTATAAATTATTCATTTAGTATTTGCACTTGTGATACAAATTGATATTTTTGTACTCTCAGAAGAATGATAAGATATTGAAGTTTAATAATATGTGTGATTGAGTTGGTTTTTCAGACATTACAATTTTCAATATTTTCTAACTCTAGAATTGGAGACTATTTGCATTTAAAAATAAGATCATACTGCCTCCCTACAGATAAGAAATGAAACATACATCACTCTCGGGATCCAAGAAGCTCCAGCCACCACTGTCAAAGAAGCCCTCAGGATCATCAACAATGGTCTTCATGATCTTGGTCCAGTTCAAACTCTGTACACCCTCCGTGTAGTGAATGTCACATGAGCTGAAATTTGAAAGGGGTCTTGATAGAAAAAGTATGGATATTATTACATTCACTGTAGTATACAGGCCCGTATCCAATGGGTTCAGGGGGTGTGAGCGAACCCTGCCCTGGCCAAAATTCTTTCAAAATCATGCAGTTTTTACCATTTTGAGCAATTTTCAAGTAAAAAATTTGGGCTAAGATAGTCAAATCTGCAACCTCTCAGATTTATTTTAAAAAGTGAAATAAATAAAGGAAATATAATTTTTAAAAAAAGTGAACACCCCTTGACAAAGTTGACTTCTGACCTTATATGTTGATTCAAAAACAAGACATAATTATCTTTTTGAAGTTCTTCATTACCTCAAATACTTCAACTAAACCCCATCCAATATTCAACGAGATCACTTACTTTAGCCATTCCTTGACATGGTCCAACATTTGCATGGGGACTGAGTTAATCATGGCCGTCTTCTTGGCATAGTCTCTGAACACAATTACAATGTCGAAGTTCTTCAAGTGGAACGAGACACGCTCAAAGTGAACCAATTCAACTGCATCTAAGCTGATCACAAACACAGGCTGCAATTTAAAAAATTAAGCACATCATTTAATGTTTTTTTAATGAATTTTATTTCAGTAGTGTTTACATTGAATGTGTTTATGTTTACATTGTTTGTATTTACATTTTATACTGTTCACGTAATGTAAAATACATTTAATGTTTATATTTTTGGACTGACAAAGACAGTAACGAGTAATTGTGCGGGGAGTTAATAAGTCGAGTAACATCACATAAAACGAACTCACCCATTCGGTTAAATTCACAAGACATCCACTTGTAGGCTGTAGTAACACTGTACTCCTATATGGGGCACCATGGAATCCAAGGTCCCTAAATGGAGTATCGAATTCAACGTCCTGTCGTGTGATGGTTTCAACTTTCTCCGTAAAACTTTTAAATGCTGATTTTAATTTGTGCCTCAGCTCTCTCTCAGCCTGGAAAACATAAGATCATTTTCAAATTTGTCATGTGTCATTCACACTAAATATCAAAATATCAGAACAGTGTACCTATGTCTTTATCTAAACACGCCCTTTTAGGCCTGTAGCCACGGGGGATTCAAGGCCAAAAAATCGTCACTTTTCACTTGATTTTGGGTTAAACTGTCAATTTCGAACCCCTTTAAACTACTTGGCAAAAGCTGGCTACTGGCTTGCCCTTTTCTCTCAATTTTAAAGTAAGTATCCGATTTTTTGTAAATATATAATAATCACAAAGAATAATTTTCCAGTCTCCTTTTCATAAGTGTTTGCCGCTTGACTAAAATTTTACTAAAATTCCCGTTTACCTGTTCAGCACGCAGGTCATCTCTGTCATGCATGTAGCGATGTTTGCCAAGATCTGTTGTGAGTTCACCAACTTCTGTGTAAAACTGAACATCCCAATGTTTCTTTTTGCCAAACAGTATAGCATTCTGAAATACAAGTTTATCAAAGATTGAAGTTTTTTTCTAATCAATATTATTGTCAAAGTACTAACCAGAATGTGAATTTAATAAGTCTCCAATCTTAGTACTAATTTCAGCCTTTTGTATCAAGAATCAAGATGCACTTTAAAACACATAATAGGTCACATGATAACATCCAACCAATCAAATAAGGTGGATATGGTCACGTGACCTATCTGCACTAATTTTTTGATCTGATCTGATATGACACTTTATAAACTTAACAGCAGATGAAGAATGAGTTATCTAGTCAAATATGCACAACCTCTGGAGAAAGTTTCTGATCATGAATACGAATAAGTGAAATAGTCACATGACCACATGATCATGTGAACGATCTGTACAATAGCAGTTGAAGCTTGAAATGCCTCATCAAATAAATTCAAATGCACAGCCTCTCTAGAAATTGTCAGATCATGGGTAAAAATTAGTGAAATGGTTCAGTTTGCCAGACTAACCTTGAGATGGAAGTGAAGGAGAATGATCATTTCACTGTCGCATGGTTGGAAAAATGCATGCTTGATGTTATTGTACAAGATGTCAACCTTGTCACCACGCACTGATGTAAACCGGAAACCTGAAATATGAAAATGCTAGTTAATTTACTTTTCACACTTTATTTAAATAGTTTTCCAAACTTTTTCAATATAGTTTCTTTCTAATAATGAGCATCTTCACTTTAGATAATGAAAAAAAATTCATCAAAATGATACGGGGAAGAGTAAATTTCAGTTGCATTATTAATCAGGCATTAACATGCAAAATGTCACAACCTGCCATTTGTTACAGATGCTGAAGGCCAAATGCCTCAGACCGTCCACAAAAATTGGAGACTAGAACAATATGTCACCACTTAAGGTGGTGACAGAATTAATCACCTTTTGAGACACATCAATATATAAGTAAGAGAAAATACCAGCAAGTTGTCCTACCATTTGTATGTGCCTCCAGGGAGCCTGATATCCTCTTTGAAACAATATTAGGTCTTATATAGAGGTCCTTCAGCTTTGGGTTACCTCTGTTTGGATTGATCACCAGAGTGTCTTGTTTTACTATGCCCTGGATAGAGAACACTTAATACATGGTTATTTTGAAAATATTGATGTTCTAAAACTATTAACAAATCTTATTCGATCCTGGAAATAAGCTCTCTTTATAGTATTCATCAATATTTAGATTTCATCCATTGTATTTGTTGTTTAGATATTTACATATAATATCTGTCTTTATCCCATACTTAGTAGTGTTGTAGGTAAATAACATGCGGGAATACAATCGATATCTGAGGTGAGTGGGTGATATATATATCTCCCACTGAGGTGAGATCCCTCGGGTAGATATATTGTATTTCCCTCAGATATACCCTGTATCAAAAACCTCCCATTTAATAACCTCTATATTCTTTTTCTCAACTGAGCTCTGATGTGATTTCATTGGTTGCAATGTTCCATATGCTATTATAATGGGATTTTAACCATCTGAGTTCAAGGCAATACAACAAACTGTGAAAGGGCTCCAGGTGTTCTCATGACATACCTCTTTCTCACGCTCTTCAGCTTCCCGAGTCTTAAACTTTTTCTGCACTTCTTTGATGAGTCTGAATGCTGTATTGAGATTGGATGACGGTGCGGAGATTTCTCCGGGCTCTTTAGTGTTGGAGCTACGGTAAGTGCTGGAAATACAAATTATGTCATAATTTGGATAACAAGCATTAACATGCAAAATGTCACCACCTGCTATTTGTTACACATATATGAACAGCAAAGTATTGAGAGTGGAATAAGCAAGGAATAATGTAGACATGCAAGAATCCTAAATATCATTTGAAAAAATGAGAAATGCTTCGAATATCAAAAAGAAAAGCCAAGCATTAATGTGACAAAATGTCACCACCTGGAATGGTATTACAAAAGTGTAACAATATGTACAAACACAGACTTCCACCAAAAGTTGTGGCTTAAACAATATGTAACTACTGTACTGTGTTTGTGACAAGAAAGTAAAATGGTTAAACATCCTACAGATATAATTCATTCATTAAAGGCTTCTTAATACTTACATTTCTTTAACAAAGGTGGCATCAGGGTCGGGGTACTGGTTGCCCTCATTACGTCCCATAGAACCCCCAGGGTGGAAAAAGTTAATACGTAGGTATGTGTAGTCACCTTCTACAGACTGACTGATATTCTGAAACACAGACATTCGACAATACATTATTTCTTAAACTTTAAAAGCCAAAATTCCGACAAAAATCAGGATCGATTTCAATATTTAGGAGTATTAGGCTGTATTTAATTGTGTGGTTACAGTGGTTACACTACTTACCTTAATTGTGGCTATATGGAATGGTGTTGCAACTCCAAACATGGGTAAGATTATAGTCTCATATTTTCTGTCAACGTAGATCTGTAATTCACGCACTTCAGACTCTCTTGGGAACTGACCCTGGCCTTTGTATGATATACTCGTCTTTTTGTTTCTGGAACAATTGTTTCATTTATATTTAATCCATCAAGATCAGATTTTGAATAAAATAGAAAATTAGTAATAATCTTATGTTTTGGGTCTAATTTTCAGAAATCCAACACATTTCTGTAACAACTAGATTATTAGAATGACTGAAATTTTCAAATAAATGGAACATTAAGATAATCACATGAGGCAACTTTAGCCCTTCAATGTTAAAAAATTATACAATGATTTTAATGAAATCTCACTACTTACTTTTTCTCATCTTTACTCCCTTTCATGCCTCGAATTCTCGCGAGTGCATCCTCATTTATTTTATTTCTCAATTCTTTTTGGTGGTTAATTCGTTTTTCTTCAGTTGACTTCTCATCTCTTAGTTTTGATTCGAGGACGGCACCACGTGCGCCACGTCCCAGGATTTCTGGGCCCTGGTTTGTGTCGACATCTTCCTCTTCTTCTTCATCCTCCTCTTCGTCATCATCCTGAACAAGAAGATGTATTGCATAAAATATTACCACACTGTAAAGCATTTTCTACATGCAGTTTCTAGGATCTGATTCTGAATGTTTTTTATATTCTACTAGCCACAGATGTTCATGCTAATAAAAAAGTTCTTTAAATTTACTTTAATGTATTATATATCAGTAACTCACCTTGAGGAATATGCCGACGTGCTTCACTTGTTTCTTGGAGGCTGTTAGTATAGTACAAGGTGACCCCTGGAAGTAAAGCGGTGTTTAAATAAAATTTATTAACAAGGCATTAACATGCAATTTGTTACATACGCTGTAACAGATGCTCAACATCATCAACAAAAAGTTGGAGACTATAATGTATCACCACTTCTGGTGGTGACATAACAAATTACTCGGTGACTCAACTAAAAAGGTACTCAAACGACTGAACAAATAATAAAGAGCTCAAGTGACTCAACTAATAAGGTGCTCAAGAGACTTTACCAAAAAAGTACTCAAGTAACTCAACCAAAAAAGTACTTAAGTGACTCAACTTATAAGGTACTCAAGTGACTCAATCAAAAAAGTACTCAAGTAACTCAACCAAAAAGTACTCAAGTAACTCAACTAATCAGGTACTCAAGTGACTCAACCAAAAAGTACTCAAGTGACTCAACCAAAAAGTACTAAAGTGACACATCTAATAAGGTACTCAAGTGACTCAACCAAAAAAGTACTCAAGTGACTCAACCAAAAAGTACTAAAGTGACTCAACTAATAAGGTACTCAAGTGGCTTAACTAATTGATACTCACATCATTCACCATGACAGTGTCACCAATAAAGAGAGCATATTTCTTGCCATCTTTGTCTTTAGTGCTGGAGTTAGTGAGATCTGAGAATCCTACATTCACATTAAACACCATTCCTTTCTTAGCAGGGGCCATGGTCTTCTGAGAAATCAACAGTGAGCCTTCTCGGAATTCTATACCCATGGCAAATCTGGAAATAATTATTTGGTTTTTAATTTATTTCATCAGCTAAGCTTGTTTTCGCGAATAACAGCTGTCGGCTACAAGGTTAACCTCCCATTTTATGGGCAACTCATTTAAATATGAATAGTACCTGCCACTATTCCATTCATATTTAAATGAGTTGGTCATAAAATTGTAGGTTAATCTGGTAGCTGACAGCCGAAAGTTGCATTAGCGAATACAAGCTTAGTTATTTGAACTGCAAGGCTACACCTATGAACTGTAAAGATGATATAAAGATTCACCAAGAGAAGGATTAAAAATTTAGGTTGAAACAATAAAAGCAAACAATCAATATTTGAAAACCAGTCTTAGTTCACTGCACATTGAGCTCTGCAGAATAAACTGAATAGAACCCTGCATTCTGCCTAGTAGGCCAGTATGTCTCATTAAGGATGCAGTACCGGGTCGGTTTTCACGTCTGTTTGCGCAGGTTTGACTTCCGGTTTGAGAAAGCTAGCTCCCAAGAACATCATTTTCGCATTTAGTCTTATTCAAAAATTATAGTTTATTTCGATAATGGTGTTTCCAGAAAATAATTAAATTGCAAACATTTTATCAAGCATATTTTATCCCTTTCACTTTTATGGGAAAACTTGTTCTTGAGTCGCAATTAGTGGATACGAAAACCAGGGTTCGGAAGGTGCCCGCTCTATTGAAAACTCAAAAAAGTAAAAAGATTCATTTTGGGTGGCTAAAATATTTTTTTTATTTTGTAATTACCAGATGGTCAATCCTCTTCATATTGCACTTGGATGATGATAACATCATAGTGATACATTGTAAAAAATATGAGCAAAGTCTAATGTCTGGAACTTTTTCTACGCTGACCTGGTACTGCATCCTTAAGTGTTTATTTTAGTGTTTATTTTAGTGTTTGTTTTTGAGTGTAGCACATTCAATTTTGATATATTACTCACCCTACATTTTTGGTCATTTTCTCTACAAATTCTTTCTTTTTTTCCTTCACCACATTTACTGCTGCATTGTAGACATCACACAGCTTTACACCTAAGAACGTATAAAACATGCAAAATGTGACTACCTGCCATTCGTTACAGATGCTGACCACAAAATGCTGAACATCAGCCACCATCCAAAATAAGAACGTAAGGCTTTAGACCAAAAATAAATTAATTAGGTTAAGAACTCTTTTATGGAGCTCCTCAATGCTAGATTGCATGTGCTTAAGGTGGTCCTTAGTGGACAATTTTTCGTCCTAAATGAGCATGTTAGTGTGTAAATCTACATATAACTGCCTCTTTGAGGAATATTTGAAGTATTTTGGGGTTTCCTTAAACAGTTACATATTTTTGGGTCTAAACAACTAAAAGTTTCTAATTTCATACCATGTTGTAATTTTTCCAAGATGGCCTCTTCTACACTGAGAAGAAGGTTGTAGTTTGCCTGCATTTCATCTGTGGGGTCCACCATCAATGTGCGTACTATGTTGGAGCAGTAGGACTTATAACGGACACCCATTGCACACGTGATAGCACCAAAATGTAGCGGATTCTTGTCACTACAAAACAAGTACATAAATGTACACAAATGTAGGCTCATAACGAGACACTAAATCAACAAAATGTCTATATAAAATAAGCACAATAAAGGAGCAGGGAAAGTATCGCAACAGACTTTTGATAATTTTGACAGTTGATAATTTTTTTGTGAGTAGTTTCTGGCTGTAAAAAGTAAATGCTTGGGAAAGGCGAATCTATGATCTTCAAGAAAAGTTCAAAGAATAGTTTCCAGATCAATTGGATTATCTTATAATCCATGTTTAATCCACCCATCAACAAGCTTTTTCAAAATACATTCGTCATTTTCACCATCGTCCCTCATTTTTTTTACAATTTTTCATGCAAAGTTACATTGTACTTGAACACATGTTTCATCAAGTAAAATATGTAAGGAACTCCATGAAGTTTATTTTTGAGTTTTTTTTGAAAAAATGAACCTCTTAAAATGCATGTTTACAAAAATAATTTAGGAGTGATGTAAAAGATGGCAATGTTTTTCAATAATAACATGCATAGGTGGGTGAATTACTCATGTGTGTTGTGTTTTAATCCTGCATTCACTGACTGAGTTAGCCTATTGAAAAATCATAGAGATTAATAATACAAACAGTAATACTATGAATACTTCTACTTCAAGCTCAAATAGCGCTTTCAGGGTCCTGTGTTGAAATACTAGATCACCTTATGTGCATGAATTTTCAAGAGAAACCATCAGTGCAAGCAATTAAATGAAAGCATCATCCGAACATCACTTGAAAAGTACTAAAGTGGTGAAAAATTGCAGGATGTTGACAGAAAATGTGCCTAGGTCTAGAGGGTCGTCTCTCAACCCCCTTCCTCCCCCTCCCTGGTCACGGGACTAATACATGTGATATGGCAAAGTCCAATTCATAGATTAAGTTTCCCTTGCAGTCTTGTTGGCATTTTTATTAGAGTTCATGTTTTGTTTATGTTAATGGGTGAGTGGAAGACCCTTGGGTGGGAATCAAATATAAAATGTTTTCTAAAATATATATTTGAAATACTTTGTGTATGTACAGTCACAAACTCTAGGCAACATTAACTAGTAATGGGGCAACACCCCAACTCAACTGAGTGAATGTGTAAACCATATAAGGAACAAAAAACATTACATAAAACAAACTCAGCATGCAAACATGTAAAACTGGCATGGCAAAACAATAGATAGTGAAACTGAATAATAAAAGCACATACGACTAGAAAACAAGGGATTAAGGACCTGTTAAAATGACATGAATGGGGATTGGTCAATATCAATAGTAGAAATATGAAAAATGTGAAAATTTTACATTTAGTATTGATCATGAACATTAGAGAGGTTAAGTACACAGGCTCGTAGGCAGGTAGAGGGGGAGAGATAAAGGGAGCTGCTGCTCCCCCAAGAGATTCTTTCAAAATGATGCAGTTTCTCACCAATCTGAGCACTTCGCATGATTTTTTAGCCGAAACTGTCAAAAAGTTCATCCCTAGGCAAAAGCTTTGCCCTTGGTAGAACTGCTCCTACCCCTTGGTAAAAGCTGGCTACAGACTGTGTAAAACACTTGTGTGAGAACTTGAACATGAACGAGTACTGTTATGACCCCCAGTATTGTTGTCCATCTCTCAACTGGCTTAACTGGGGACCATTACATCAATTGGCAGTATATCAATCAGGCAAAAAGAGGCCAGTGATGTGAAAATAGTCAATAGCACGGTGTTATAGCATGACGGTTACGCCACCTCTGAAAATGAGGTTGGACAGCTACGTTCACTGATTTATCCAATAAAATGGCCGCGATGGAAGAGAAAACTAAGGTTGGCGCATTATTTTCTACTTCTGTGTATCAATGAAAGGATGAACGATTTATGTACAATGTAAGAATCGCATTCGGTGATACTTTCAGTAATGTATATTTTGAACGTAGCCTTTGCAAATTGATGCCCGGGGATAACATGAAATAAGAGAAAAACTGTCGAGTTTGAAATTCAAAACTACACAAAAATTTAGTAATTTGTTTATTTTTGTTTTAGTTGTTAGGTCTACATTGCCTAAAAACCTTGTGGTATATAGATGTAACCTTCATACGATCATACAAAGCCAATTGAGCATTGGAAACCACCTAATATGTTCTACTCAAGCCATAATAATGTATTTTTTGAATTTGCAGTAGTTATACACAGTTTACTTATACTTACAGTTAATATTTTGAGTGGCTCATGTACTGAGACAACACGAGAATGGATCAAAACTTATAAACTTTGATATCTCAGTCGGTAGGTTTACAGATTACATTCTGTTTCTTGTAGACCACCTGGCAGATTTGACCCAGTCTTTATAACCATCCATATATACGTCACTGAATGGAACTAGTTTAAAAGGAAATCTTATCTGTGAATATTGCCTACAGGCGAGAAAGAGGACATGCTGCCTTTCCCATCCGCCATTTTTTGTTATCGTTACCGCAAAATTTTGCAAATCGCCTTGACGTAACCGTCATGCTATAACACCGTGAATAGGGGACCATAAGTTTACACATTCCATGTGTACGTTCATCAAAATAGTGCGATCTTAACCTCCCTAATAACTGAAATTGTTGACTCAACCAATAGAATCATTCTATGTTTGTTTATATTTGTTCACATTAATATGGAAGAAAATCGGACATTTTGCTAAAAAGATGTTATTGTAAATCTTAGAAATAATGATAAAGGTAGTATACACCACACACTCAATGGTATTGATTGTGGTTTTCAGAGACTCTCAATAGGGACTTTAAGCTTGCAATGTTTTTCACAACCTAAATGTGAATGGAAAATATTTAGCGATGCATTTGTATGGGCGATTGGTCATAGGTTGGCGTTTCGATTTTATATGCAAGCTTAATCTCCCTAATGTTAACATTAAGGTAAGAGTGTATGTTACTCATAACATTTTCTTAGGATAACATTTCTTGAATTGATGAATATGCAAAAATTATTCTTAGCATATCATCCTTCATTTCATTATTTGAATAATCAATCTGGAGATAAACTCAAATAAGGAAGTGTGTTATAACACATCATCATATAGAAACATGTTCAATGTTTTTTCAGAAGCTGGATCAAAATATTTGTCTTACTAAAATTATTGGCAAAGGTATGATGTACTAAATTCTTGTACTGTATTTATGATTTTAATAGCACTGTACCTCGTGAATCATTACTGATAAACAAGATACAGAAAACCTGTTCAAAGTAAATGCTATAATAAGGCATCATAGAAATTATCATAAAGAGAGGTATTTAGAATTTCTTAGCAACTTACACACACACAGAGGTTTAACTGCACTCAAACATTAAACAGTCAACTTGACAGGTATTCAGAATTTTTGGGGAAATGCTGCGGTTATGCTCCATTGATTAAACAGGGGATCAAACAGCAGGGGATCTAAAACAAGTCCAACCATTCATTTATGAAAACATTTTGAACTAACATTATGGCACACTAATGACATCTTATATGAGTGTGCTGTACTAAAAGCATAGCCCCATTGGATCCCCTTATATTGGATTATCATAATCCTAATCCACGAGGAGTTCCTTATATATTTTAAGTGATGAAACATGTGTTCGAGTACAATGTAACTTTGCATGAAAATTGTAAAAAAAAATGAGGGACGATGGTGAAAATGACGATTGTATTTTGAAAAAAAGCTTGTTGATGGGTGGATTAAACATGGCTTATGAGACGATCCAATTGATCTTGAAACCATTCTTTAAATTTTTCTTAAAGATTATGCATTGGCCTTGCATATGCATTCATTTTTGTACAGCCAGAAACTACTAGAAAAAAATTATTTACTGTCAAAAATCTGTTGCGATACTTTCCCTCGCTCTTTTATCATGTTTTGATGACATTTCCAATGAGATTAAGCAAATGTCATTGTGAAGATAGCAACTGCAAAATGTCATCACCGGACATTTGGTACATACACCAACCACCAAACATTTTTCCACAAAAAATTGGGGACCACAACAATATGTCAATTCTTGTGGTGTTGAAATAAAAATGTAACTGCTTACTTATGGGAGAGGGAGTCAGACCTTATAACTTACCTCACAACACTAAACTTGAGACTATAGTTGCCCCCACTCTGTATTATAGCGGGGAAACACATGTCCAGTTGCTTCATATCAACTCCTGAGACATACTTCTTGTTCTGCAAGGCCTCTTCACATCCATCTGCGAGTTTGGCATGCTTCACTTTCTGAAAAAACATCAAAAATTACTTTTTAAGAACAATTGGGTTGCTAGGGTTTCAGGACAAGAGTATCAATTTCTAATGGTTTATGAACCACCATATGCGATTACTTGTATGTGCTAGTCTTGGGCAAAACTAAAAATTATTCCAGATCACCTACAAGTATTTTTTCATTCTTGGTGTTCTTTGCAATCCTAAAAAAAATTCATAGTTCACAGAGTTAGTCTTCAAAATTTGATGAAAAAGATAGAAGCACAGAAAACATAACTGGGAGTTCATAGCTGGGATGATAAAGTAATTGGTGAAAAATACTAATATGGAAGTGAAGACCATATAAGCTTTAACCATTTAAAGATATGTTAATTGGTATTAATAATGATGAAAATTCATGCAGTACCCTGTCTGCGTCAATTGTGTCCATAATCTGTGCCTGAAGGTATTTCTTGAAGACTTCAATGGTCACTCCACATGCTTTCTTGATTGTGTTTATTTCAGGCTCTTCCTTGGGTGCCATTATATAGGCAAGAGGGGAGGTGACATCAACCTGTAACATTTAAAGGTTTTATACATATAATCTCAGACATTTCTCAGGTATAAGACAGTACACGCAGTATAAGGTGGTAGAAGTCCTACATCAGCCATTATATAGGCAAGAGGGGAGGTTTTGGATTTTGGACAACATAACGTACTGAATGGCTAATTATTTGTATGTATTTTTCAATTAATCTTTTTACATCCGATTTCTCGTATATAAGGCAGTATAAGCAGTAGAAGGTGGTACAAGACACACAACAGGCAGGGCTTGAGCTAAGCTCTACTTTTTTTCTGCTGGTCACACACAGATCGCCATTTTCAATTTATCAGATGGTCCATATAAAACTTCCTGGTCAAATGACAAGTACTTCTCAAAAAGTTACTGGTCCGTATGAAAATTTGCCTCTGGAGATATATCTTCACATGAAGATTCGGAGGTTCAACTATGAATTCTGGAGTACACTAACTATACCCCCACTTTGCCACACCTTGTTTTTACTACTATACCCCCTCTTTGCCACATCTTGTTTTTACTACTATACCCCCTCTTTGCCACATCTTGTCTTTACTACTTTACCCCCTCTTTGCCACACCTTGTTTTTACTACTATACCCCCTTTTGCCACACCTTGTTTTTACTACTATACCCCCTCTTTGCCACACCTTGTTTTTACTACTATACCCCCTCTTTGCCACACCTTGTTTCTACTACTATACCCCCTCTTTGCCACACCTTGTTTTTACTACTATACCCTCTCTTTGACACACCTTGTTTTTACTACTATACCCTCTCTTTGCAACACCTTGTTTTTACTACTATATCCCCTTTTTCCCACACCTTGTTTTTACGATTACGCAACACTGGCTTACCTTTTCTAAGTTTTCACTATCTAGTGTCTTTCTCCATGATTCCATGAAGTCCCCTGGGAATTTATCTTTCGCAAAATGTCCATACGTTTTACCCTACAACAGAGTAAAGAAATGACTGGCATTTTTACAAAAAATTTCATGGACAAACATGTCTATTTGTAGCATATCCTAAACATATATCTAAGATCTGACAAAGAACCTATCTATTCAGAAATGAGAATATCTTTACTTTAAAAAAATTATATTAAAATAAAAACAATATTCTTACATTTTTACTCTTCTGTATGGCTTCAATGAGTTTCTTAAAGTTTGATTTGTCTTTGTCAGCTTTGTCCCTTGTAAGCAATTTAACCTGAAAGATAAGATAAAAATTGTAAATATAAAATCAACAAATAAAAATGCATTTAAATCAACCTGTTAAACAGTTTAACAAAAAATACAACTGCCAATCCACCCCGGTGTCCACTAAGCTGACAACAATATTGTACCTTTTTGATGATAAAATGTAAATACAAGATATGCATGAGAAAACAAGTTGTCTGTTTATTGTCATGTAACTAATGTTTTTTTGTTTAATATCAAATGTATATCATTTTTCGTATAAAATCTATGTTAATACTTGAAATTGCACCAATACAGGTTTTCTCCATTATGTTTTTCCCCAAGTTTGTGTAAAATTCTCATTTTCACAATTCAAATCAAAATTGGTCAAAATTTCCAGATTTTTCATTATTTTCTCATTTTCAAGTGGGCGCAGATATCATTTCATGTGGGTGCTAGCCTATTTTCAAAACCTCAAGTGGGTCAGTACTCAGTATAAGACAAACCTGTGGGATCCCCTCATCATTCTCTTTGCCACTTTCCACCTGCTTTAGGAATTCAATCTTCTTCTTACTGGCTAGGAAATATATTGTGTTCTCACAAAGCACCATAATGGTATCTGGGAGCTCATATCCGAACAGCCATGTCTGGAAATACATGTTTAGTGTAAAATTAATTTCTTCTGTGAGAATGTTGATTTGCCTTATTCTTATTAACAAACTGACATTCTTTACAAATAAAAATGCCATTTACCGCCTCTCCTTGTAACAAAAATAACAACAACAAAAAATTATACTCATAGCTCTAGATTTATGTATTTACTTATGTAGCTTATATATTCATGCAATAGTTGAAGATTCATGTATTTACCTGTATAGCTGTAGATTTAGAATAGACCACCTCTTCATCTTGACCTACAGCCACCACCATTGAGTCCATCTTTGCCAGGGGCTCATCTCCTGATGCTTTCTGTAATATATACATGTACACTTAGTGTAAAACTAATGTGTATTGAAATCTTGGGGATTTAAAACATTGTTAATGTAGGATCTATTCTACAGTATGTGGCAAATCTGGAAAATCTGACAATCAAGGCAATTTCATCTTGATGTGTCGCATAAATCTTTCATTCCTTGGCTTCACAAATCTAGAATTCTCCCTTTGCGTCGTCTGTGAACAACACTCATTCTACAAGAGGATGATTTTGTGAAGTACAGTTAGCAAATGTGCCTCTTGAGAAAAATTTGAGGATATCTGAGGAATATTTTAAGAAATGAAATCAGATTCTGATGATTTTCTTTGTGATTATTGCTTCTAGATTGCCTTGATAGAAGGTGGACGTTTTTCATTGAATCTCTGGAATCCCTTAGAGAGAAACATAGGAAGAGTAATAGTAGGTCAGTATGTACATTCTAATTTTTTATTCTGTGAACCAGTTTATATGGTAAAAATAACGAAATAATGAAATGTTACCATGTGTCTACTTAGCAGTTTGTTCTATGTCATCCATCCTGCTAGGTTACATTGTGGAACTCCGCCAAATAAAAAATTAGAATGTAGAAAGATATTTCCGTAAACTATTACTTTTCCATGGACCTATGCTAAGCACTACAACCATAGATACACTGTAATTGAGATGAGAACAGTGACATGACATTAGATCTACATGTAGCCCCTTGTGAAAGACTGGAAGTAATAAAGGATATAACCAACCAACCAATAACAACTAAAATTTGGATTTAGCACACTGATGAGAAAATCACCAGTAGAGATCAGATGTTCATTCCGATCTGGTTCGGCTGGGATATGGCTAGCTTTAGCCTATGCTGCTTTGGGCCAAATAAAGGTTACCAATGAACAAGAAAACAAAAAAAATCAGAAATCAAAAAATGTGGTGATGTTTTGAAGTGATTCAAAAAGCTTTATCTTCCACTAATTTAAATATGAATTATGACATACCTTCCATGAACTGTAAAGCCTCTTCATGCGGCGATTAAACGCATCTCTGTCTACGTTTAAACTCATTTTGTCGGCTTTTTCAGCAAAAATGTGCTGATGTCGACTTCAAAATGACAAAATGGCGGGAGTTAAAATGTGACGTCATATAAGCAAATATTTGTTACAACAATTTCGATTGGCTTAAAAATCCAATATGGCAGTCTGTGTCTCAGTAATTGCAAAAGAGGTAGATATTTTCCTTAATAGCCGTTAAATCAAGTGTCACACACATCTATTATTTGGCGTTGTGTATCATCAATACATATAGAACATTTTTGCTAAATTCATAGAAACCCGATACATTAGATTCCGCAAATTTAATGGGGAATCCTTTCTAAAATTCCATTTACTTCCGGGTTATGTACATTTGAATAGAAACATACATGTAAGTTTGAAATAATTATTTGGTGCAAAGATTAGTGTGATTACTCCAGAAAAATACCTAATCATAAACCACTTTATAAAGTAATCTGGATAACGATTGGCACTAACAGCAGTATTTGGAGATTCACCTAAAAACAACTCCCACAAAATATGTACTGTATAAAAGTGGAACCTGTACAGTCAGATTCATAATTCCATACACAACTTTGAATCTAAAAATAAGCAATCAAAAGACCAAATTACAACAATATATGAAAAATAAAAACATATGTACAAGACCTAACTTTTGTATATTTTGGTTAGTTTTGAATATTGACAGGTGGCCTCTTATATTTTGATATGTTATTTCTCTGACATGTTATTTTCGAAAAAATTAACATGGCTGAAACTCCCTAAACTACATAAGTCCACAGCTTAGCAGCACATTATACATAACTATCAGAAATATACAAAAGTTAGGTCTTGTACATACACGTATGTTTTTATTTTTTATACGCTGTTGCAACATGGTCCTTTGCTTATTTTTTAGATTCAAAGTTCTCAATGGAATTTTGAAACGGACTTCAGACTATAATGTACATCATGTACATGTTATAGATAAGACTGTACTGTCTCTCAGTCAGTCAGCACCTAAATTATATTATAGGTATATGCATGGGCTCTACCATCTGATAGAGCCCGTGGTATATGATAGGTGGTGACTGATCATAAAATGGTGACATAAAATAATCAATTAAAACATCTGTTTACTTTCAGAACTATCCGTTGTTTATCAAGACAATACCAACAGAAAATGAATTGAAATTCTACTACACGGTCCATACGTCCCTTGATGTTGTTGAGGAGAAAGTGTCAGCTGTAGGAAAGACTGCCAATGACCTGAGAGAACTTTATCTTGGACTATTATACCCAACTGAAGATTATAAAGTGTATCCTTTTCCTAGACTATGGTATACATAATAGTACATATCCAAGGATAGTGGGAAGTTCTCCCTATAAGTTGATTATATAGTTATACACTTGATCCTTGTACATATCATACATATATATTTTTCTCTTCAAATTTTGGAAAATCAGATCAAATCAGGGCTCTCGCCAGGCTTTTAGACTGTGGCACAGCACCACACTCTATTTAGCTTCATCCACAACCTATTGGCAAATCATGACTGTTTCTACAGTCTAAACTTGACTGAATATACAATAAAAGCATGTAAAAATATTTCCTGGTGAGAGCCCTGCAAATTTTGTGATGATCAGATGATTGATACTAGGTGCACATGCACATTACTTGTATGTGTAAAATCAATACTGGTATTTCCATAATACAGAAAAGGAGATTATCCAAACACCACATTCAATGACACTGTGATTGTCCCCTCTTTGGCTCAGTGTGAGCTATTAGCATAGTTATTCCATTGGATAATCAGATACATTCACCCCAGGCCCGTAGCCAGAATTTTTCAAGGGGGGGTTCACTTTTCCCAAAAATTCTAGGGGGGGGGTTCACTTTGGCATATTTGGCCAAAAATCACACAAAAAATGGCCAGAATGGTGAAAAACTGCATGATTTTGAAAGAAATTTTGGCCAGGGGGGGGAGGTTCGCCCGAACCCTCCGAACCCCCCTGGCTACGGGCCTGCACCAACTGCACAAAACACAAACTACTGCTCCTGGTATTGGATTTGCCCCCTGTACCACTCAAGTACATTCCGTTTGTTAACACAGAAGACCTGCACACTTTCTGGAGGTCCAGTGGTTAAGATAAAGACCCAAATGGTGCAATTATTGAAAAGTGTATTTTTCTTAACTCTCTTTTAGATATGGATATGTTACTAATACTAAAATAAAGTTTGTTATTGTAGTAGAAACATCAAACACCTCACTAAGGGACAATGAAATAAGAAGTGTAAGTATGTTACTGTAGTTCCAAAGGGTTGAGGAATAAAATCAGTGTACACCAAAGGGCAGGGGTAAACAATGATTGCATTTGTGAAAATTCAAGTGAACAAAATTCAGTAAACCATCAATGGGGACTTAACCACAACTTAACAAACTGTGATTTCGATGAATGTCAAGATGCGGATGCAAATCAGAAAGCAAATCAGTAACAATCTAATTCCATTATATGGGGATGGATTAACCATAACTAAATTAGCTTTGTTTTTCCTCTTAAGAAGTAGAATCTACACATTGATCTCATTGGTAGTTTGATCTGAAAACAGATAATCAAAATCAATGTTGTTAACCATTTAACATTTTAACAGGCAACATGTTAAAACCTGATAGATAATGGAACTAGCAAAGCCACTACAAGTGTACAATGTATGTGTATTTATAAAATAAATTCTATGAATAAAAAAATAATAATGGAATCATAATCTATGCTATGTGAAATTTCATTTGCTTTTTCAGATGTTCCGGAAACTTCACAATGCTTATGTAGATATGCTGTGCAATCCCTTTTATACTCCAGGTGAAAACATCACCTCTAAGTAAGTACAAAGTTAATATACATACATAGTTCAACAAGTTAAACCCAATACCACGGCTTTTATTTATTAATCTGAATGTTCTTGTTCCCACCATTATATTTTTTGCACCAAGGGCCGAATAGGCATGGATGTTAAACCTAGGGCGGGCCACAAGATATGTCAGATAAGAAATAAGGCCCAGACTAGGTTTAACTTGTTGAACTAATATATACAGTGAAACCTGTCTTAGTGAACACCTCTCTTTAGTGAACACATGTGTCTGATGAACATCCATTCTCAGCACATACTCCACCGACTTCTGTATAAAATTGTCTTTGTGGTGAACACCTACTTACACGAACACATTCAACCTTGCTATTGCTATTGATATTGATAAAAGATAGAGTTGAGTTCCAGTTATATAAATCCATTTTAAACATTTAAATTAAAAAAAGTCATCTTTAATTTAAATGAGTTGGAATATGGTGTCATATTATAAATATGTATTTCGTAAGTTGGCTTTTGTTTCAAATAATACTCATACCATATATTATTTTTCAGGGCTTTTGAAAGAATAGTTAATTCTATGATGCTTCAAGACTGAGATAAACAACATACTATTAAACAGACATAGCCACTTTAGAAGAACATGCATAGTGAATACAGTTCATCCTACAAATCAAATACTAAATGGACACTAGTAATCTGCAACATTTTGAAACATCCTATTTGAATTGAACATTAAGTCTGAGCATTCCATAAAGTCAGTTTTGTCATCGCAGCCAACTTTATTTTGTATAAAATGTAAATATGTAATAAATTATATCATGTATAAATATATATGAATTTTGGTGGTAATACCAGAATGCCTGTCACATTTGATACGCCAACGATACAGCAGCCATAGCTCCCCAAAATCGAGAGAAATGTGCAGCGTGAAATATAGGGACAAGCAGTACAATGTAGATTTTCGATAGCGATTTGTGAAGTTACCGCCGCCATGTGCTCACTGTAGAGCAAATGTGAGTCCTGGTTTATTTCTGTCAATTGACCATTTACTGCAAAAACAGTCTACTACTGTCAATTCAGTATTTCCTGTGAAACCTCTAGTCTATTTCAGTCAATTCAGTATTTACTGTAAATCTCTTAGTCTATTACTGTCAATTCAGAACTGTAAAACCCCAAGTCTATTACTGTCAATTCAGTACTGTAAAACTCTTAGTGTATTACTGTCAATTCAGTACTGTAAAACCCTTAGTGTATTACTGTCAATTCAGTACTGTAAAACCCTTAGTGTATTACTGTCAATTCAGTACTGTAAAACCCTTAGTGTATTACTGTCAATTCAGTACTGTAAAACCACTTGTCTATTACTGTCAATTCAGTACTGTAAAACCGCTTGTCTATTTCAGTCAATTCAATATTTACTGTAAATCTCTTAGTCTATTACTGTCAATTCAGTACTGTAAAACCCCAAGTCTATTACTGTCAATTCAGTACTGTAAAACCCTTAGTGTATTACTGTCAATTCAGTACTGTAAAACCCCAAGTCTATTACTGTCAATTCAGTACTGTAAAACCCTTAGTGTATTACTGTCAATTCAGTACTGTAAAACCCTTAGTGTATTACTGTCAATTCAGTACCGTAAAACCCCTAGTCTATTACTGTCAATTCAGTACTGTAAAACCACTTGTCTATTACTGTCAATTCAGTACTGTAAAACCACTTGTCTATTACTGTCAATTCAGTACTGTAAAACCAGTTGTCTATTAATGTCAATTCAGTATTTACTGTAAGTCACCAAACTACTGGGGAATAGAATCAAACAGGAAGAATCATATCTCATTTATTAGGATTTATTTACTGTATTTCTCTATACTTTTACATTCATATACAGTACTGTATACCCTGCTATACTGGAATATACACCGACACATAAATACTACAAGTACATGTACATATTGAATACCACTTACTTACTTCATGTTAAAGGATCAGATCAGGGAGTATTGAATAGAAATTATCTTGATAAAGTAGCATGGTCTGAACAAGTAACATGATAATGATAGACTTTATCAACATAATGCCTCCTCAAAACTCATGTTAAATAATAACTCAAATAGGGCTATTTTAAATGGGTGAAATCACTCTGTTGATTGAACCTGTAGGAGATGAAAAGTTCAATATCTACATTTACGATTTACAAGGTTGGATCGATTACCACAAATTCTTGCAATATATAGGAGAGCCTTGAAAATCATAGAATATACATTTCCAGTAATTCCTGACCTCTCTCGGTGAGCCTTTTCAGGTAACAATGTTTACAAAGAAAATAATAGTAGATTTCTGTTAATTTGTGCATTATAAGGGAATCTTACTGGATTAGTCTACTCTACTGACCCATGTAGCCAATCCTGTATATTTATACTATTTTAGACTCGCGTCTCAGTAGATATTGAAAAATGGGAAATCTTTGCACCAAAACAAGACTTTTTTAATGGGTTCATAACAACGTTTCTTCATGATTCATCCACAGCTCATTGAATTCCATTTGCCTCATGGCTCATAGTTACTGCCAATATTTTAGAACTATGGGATAATATGGTTTAAAAATTGTTGCAATGATCATTTAGCATTTGTTTCACAAACCATAGTTCAGACATTCAATAAAAAAAATAGGTTTTATAAACCTTTAGTCCAAATTCAATTACATTTCATCTTAGTAATATTTGCACATCTGATTTGCATACTAAAATAGGAGGAACGATATATCTGACAGTGCTGAATATTGGATATACATGTATTACATGTTGCTTATGTACATATAAAAGATGATTTTCATTGTTATTGCTATATACAGTGAATGACTGTCTGAACACAGAAATCTGCTAACCAAGGTTGAACAGAGAATGTGTCCATCAATTCCGTAACTGCTGATCAGAAATGATTTGTGTTTTAAGTACTGTTTTAAGAGAGATATTTCAAAATACCTTTTTTCAAAACTGAGATATTTTAGTGAATCCTTCTTTCAAAGCTGAACTATTTCAGTGAATGATAACATAGGCTTGAAACTTCTGGAGTTACTTATGTTTTCAGAAGTTTTTTAAATCAGAACTTTTTCAAGGTCCTTCTTTGAAAACTTTAGACTCTATGAATGACACCTGAGGTTTAATACTTCCAAATTTTTTTTAATCTCTTTAAGTACTTTTTTTTAAATAAGACCTTATCAAGATCTTCATTCAAAACCAAAACCTGCTAGGTTTGATACTTAAATAGATACCCTTACTGCAAGCACAACAGGCAATAACTTCACAAGAAGAGGTAATATAACAATTTTTCAGAAAAAAATTGGAAAAATCATTGTATTACCAGTTCAACAATAATTCTCCCAAACTGTTTCATAGAATTTTTAATTTTTTATATTTTTTCAACCTCTGAGATCACTTTGTAAAACAATCATTATTAACATCATTATAATACTACATGTATCTTTTGATTTCATCGCTGTGAATGTGCAACTTTGTTGTCTAGTTCTCCATAAATGTTAAGGTTGTTGCCATGTCAACAAACTGAATTGATAGTAACTATGGTAACAACTTACATATACAGTATACAATCAAACATTTTCAACATCATAAGAGAACTATTGATACTTTTGTCACGACAGCCGAGTGGTGCACCATGGCAACACGCAAAACAATGGTTCCCATAACAATACAGTGATTCACTTTGTAAACAATGATTTACCATGCCAACATTGTGGTTCATAAGAACATGAGAAATTGATGCCAAAGGAAGCATGATACATTTTCAAAGTATAAAGTAAAATATTTTGCATTGATATAAATTGTAGGGCTTTAAATAAAGGCCTTTATTACAAACGTCATGATCCTTCAGGGTATCTTATCATAAACTTTTGGTATTATAAATGCTCAATAATACATTTATAGTTACAAGTCTATAAAGCATAGTGACAAAAGAGAACACAATAATAACTTAAGACAAGACATATGCTGCAAGCAAGATATGATCGTAATGCAAGAGAAATATGATCTTAAATGATCTTATGCAAGAGAAATATGATCTTGAACGATCTTCTGCAAGAGATGGCGAGATCAAAACAATTAAAATAATACAAATAAAAGTATATGAGTCGCAAATTGTATCCTCCACATATCAAAATCATGATTTTCACAAACTTCATTGGAAGGCACATTGAAACCACAAGTACCACAAGTTACATGTAACAAATTAGTAGGTTATAACTTGGATCCAATGTGAGTCCATAAAATTAATATGTAGAGCTTTTGCTGTGTAAAATACTGATTTATATGATTGTTGTCAAAAAATATCAGAAGTACATTAATGTACATCAACATGAGTATACACCAATATGAGTGTGCACCAACATGAGTGTACATCAACATGAGTGTACACTTCAACATGAGAGTACCAATATGAGTGTACATCAACATGAGTGTACACTTCAACATGAGAGTACCAATATGAGTGCCCACCAACATGGGTGTACATCAACATGAGTGTACACTTCAACATGAGAGTACCAATATGAGTGTACATCAACATGAGTGTACACTTCAACATGAGAGTACCAATATGAGTGCCCACCAACATGGGTGTACATCAACATGAGTGTACACTTCAACATGAGAGTACCAATATGAGTGTACATCAACATGAGTGTACACTTCAACATGAGAGTACCAATATGAGTGCCCACCAACATGGGTGTACATCAACATGAGTGTACACTTCAACATGAGAGTACCAACATGAGTGTACATCAACATGAGTGTACACTACCATGAGTGTGCAACAACATGAGTGTACACTACAATGAGTGTGCACCAACATGAGTGTACATCAACATGAGTGTACACTACCATGAGTGTGCAACAACATGAGTGTACACTACAATGAGTGTGCACCAACATGAGTGTACATCAATATGAGTGTACACTACCATGAGTGTGCACCACCACGATTGTACATCAACATGAGTGTACACTTCAACATGAGAGTGTCAATATGAGTGTACAAATGAGAGTACAGCAACACGAGTATACAAAACTTTCATAATTCTTAGATACTATAAAAGCCACACAAAGGAATATAATAGCACAAAGCTGTGCCAAATCATTAAATAACTTAATCTATGATTTCTCAATAATAAAATATAATATTCCAACTTTTAATATTAACTTATTCAACAAATAAAAGATGAATGCCAAATGACACTGGACCCATTCATACCTATTTTAAATAGAAGTAACTTACAAAAATATAATTTCATAATCTGTTGTGAAACCATTTTCAATTCATGATACTAATTCAATTCTAAGTATTGTCATCAATTTAATACACAATTTTTCACATTTAAAGTACTGTTCAGAAATAATTTTAGACATTTTACGACTAAAATGACGTACTCTAAAACACTGCCAAAATATACAAAGTGCCAAATAGTTTAATAATATTAACACTAAAATACTACACTTCTGAGTTTACAAACTATTTTCCTATTTCAGCCACACAGTTCACAATTCAGCCACATAAATCACACTGAAGCCGCACATTTCTAGCCACATATTCTCCCATTTTCTTTACAATGTCATTATAATTTCCACAATCAATAATATTTGAGTATGGAGGTTTCATAATGTCCACCGTTGTCAGTTTAAAATACAAAATCTTCATCTGCCATGTCCATTGCCCATGTAAACTTATCACGCTGAGTCTTATTGTAGATTTTCTCAACTGGCACATCCCATTTCTTGCACCTGGAAAATCAAAAACATGCTTTTTATGGGAAAACAGAGATAGTTTTTATTTTGTTTTACATAATAGTAGATACATACTTCATGATTAAGTGTCATAAAAATTAAGATGGTTACATAAACACTGTTCCATTTCATCCCTCGTTATATTGCCATATTTCATCTTTCTCTTTTGCACAAAGTGTAACTACATTATTTTGCTGGTAAAGGGAAGGGGGATTGAGGGGGTACTCTTATCTTTAAACATTCTCTTATAGTGTAACATTCTCTTCTAGTGTAAAATTCTCTTCTAGTGTAACATTCTCTTCTAGTGTAACATTCATGTAAACTTACCAGGCTATGGAGATTCTTGGATCCAGGTAGTTTAATTTGGAGGTGCCTAAAGCTATTTCCTTATTCTCATCCTATATAAAATAAAACAAAACAAATAAAATCTATGAAGCTGCCACTGAGAGAGCAATCATATAAAGCTATTTACTTACTCTCATCATATATAATTGCATAAAACAAGTACATATCGTACATGTAGTTGTACATTTACAGTTAAAAATTTCCAACGTTTGATAATTATTTCCAAACCAAAGTAATTCTTAACAAGGCATTAACTAGCAAAATGTCACTATCTGCATTTGTTACAGACATCGAAAACCGACTGCCAGATGCCTTATATACCATCCATAGAAAAGTGGGAGACTATAACAAGAAGTCAACACTTGTGGTGACATAATAATATGTTATCCAAAGAGATAAATGACTTGAATTTTCACTTGTCACTTTAATATTCCCCTATTTTAAAGTAGTTAGAAGGCATGTGTGTAAGACTGATTCATACAAACAAATTATTTCTATTGGGTATGTACCTTGTCTGTAAGGGCCACATTCAGCTTGTCAAGCTGTTCTTCCAATCGCTCCTGCTGTTTCTTCTTACGCTCATAAGCACTGAAAAATGACAACATAATTTTCAATAAATACAGCATGGAATGCACATTATTACATCATTTTCAAGCTTGCAGTTGAAGTATGATTGGTCAAAACCTAATCATATGTATTCATATCATATTATGAAAGTAATAGAGTATGCACTGTATACCATACAATTTACATATAACGAAAACATGAACAGTATAATACATGCATTATAGTAACTTGGAGAGTTCTTGCATGCCTGTTCCTTTCAAATTCCACCGAAACTTGTATTCGTAGTCATGCCCTACTTTTATTTATGAATTAAAACTACTACTCACTTCCTGGCCTTATCAGATCCTGTAGCTTTGTATTCAGCTTTGACAGCCTTCAGTTCTTTTTTACAAGTCTTGATTGCCTTCTTCTTGTCATCAATCTACAACCATAGTTATACATTGTGTTACCATGCCAACTTTAGATACCATGACTACCGAACAATTGTTGTGCAACAGGAACAAATGCAAAAATTTATAAATATGAAACTAATTTCAGATAAAATCCTTGGGATAAAAAAAATAATTCATCGGATTAAATAAGAAAATTGGTTTATCATACGCAAGTGCCCCATGCAGTACTCAAAACCAACGATATTCTCACATATATTGTGTATTTTTATAATTATATATCAATATACAGATTCTGTGAACACTTTATTTTCTAAAATGGGATAAAACATTTTTATTTTTCAATTCTTACTTTGACTTGCATGTTCTCCATCTGTTTGTCAAAGTTCTTTGGTGCAGCACGTTGATGGTTACACAAGATAGCAACAGCACGATTGGCTCGATTGTATGATAAAAGTTTAGCCGCTACTGTGTCTTCCTCTGAAAAGTAAAGGATACCAAAGGTTACAAATGACAAGAGAATGTTACATTCTGTATGAAACATAATTGCTAAGATGCAATTTGCAACATTAGTGCAATTTGCAATTTATAAGTGCAATTTGCAATGTAAGTGCAATTTGCAATATGAGTGCAATTTGCTATGAATGCAATTTGCAACAAAAGTGCAATTTGCAATATAAGTGCAATTTGTAACATAAGTGCAATTTGCTTTGTTTTTTTCATTGTTCATCAAATCTGAGTGAAATTGTTATTTTCATAAACATATCCTGATTATGTAGTCACCAAATTTCTCTCCTAAACACATTATAAATTGATCATATCTGTTGGTTAAACATTAAACTTACCATTGGTTAATAGTTGTAGCTGTTCACTTAGAGTCTTTGAGGCATTATATGTCCTGAATACTTTGGCTGTAAGACCATCCATGAGGCCTTGTAAATGTTTGTTGAGAGTGGCAGTCTATAAAACAAAATGGTAAACATGTAAAATAATATACGTAGCTTGTAAAGAACATTCAACTTACATCATACTATTAATCATCACAAATATGCCCTTCATGACAACAAATGTGCATCCCATGACATCATGTTATCATAAATAAACCCTCCATGACCATTGACATCATATTTATCACAAACATACCTCTCATGACATCATGTTATTGTCGCAAATATGCCCTTCATGACATCATATTATCACAACATATCCCATTATCTATCCTAACATGACATTTCAATTACCCTCGATGACATTATATTTATCACAAACATACCACTCATGACATCATGTTATTGTCGCAAATATGCCCTTCATGACATCATATTACAACAACATATCTCATTATCCCTCATGACATTACAACTTCATGTACTCACATTAAGTCTGTCAAAGAGATCATCCTCAGGTGACTTGTTATCCATAAACAACCCTCCGTGACATCATATTTATCACAAACATTCCTCTCATGATATCATATTATTGTCACAAATATGCCCTTCATGACATCATATTATAACAACATATCTCATTATCCCTCATGACATTACAACTTCATGTACTCACATTAAGTCTGTCAAAGAGATCATCCTCAGGTGACTTGTTATCCATAAACAACCCTCCGTGACATCATATTTATCACAAACATTCCTCTCATGATATCATATTATTGTCACAAATATGCCCTTCATGACATCATATTATAACAACATATCTCATTATCCCTCATGACATTACAACTTCATGTACTCACATTTAGTCTGTCAAAGAGATCATCCTCAGGTGACTTGTTATCCATAAATAACATGAGGTTCTTGTACACGCGTTTCTCCACAGGTACACTATTATTATACCGAATGGAATCTTTTCCCAGGAAGTCAAACTCCACGACATAATCTTTGCCATCCTTTTCTTCGTGTAATGTGATGTGTTCAACACGCAATGAGCAGCAACCAACAGTATCAGCGGACTCTCCTTCATCTTTCTCATTGCCAGCTCTTAAAGCAAGCTGGAAGTAAATCAGGACGTTTCACCAATGAAATATTTTTAACTTTAAAGACCCAATGAAAAAGGAACAGTTTTGGGTGGTTGTTGAGTATAGGAATAAGTAGTCTGGAGGTCAGTGTAAGAAGCTTCCGTTAAGTAAGAATTTCTTCTCTTAGAATGCCATCATGAATGGTATCCATGGTTACCATTAGCTTCTAGTAATAATGACAATATGACTATTTAATTAACATGGACCTTTTAAAAGCCTTATCATAAAACCCACCCGAATTGGCACCTCAGTCAATGTGGGGATATTGGAATAGTATGATATTTTGTAAAATTACCTTGTCAATGAAGTACATAGCAACAGCTCGTTGTCGAATCCTCATCTCCTTACTCTTCCAGTCCATCTGGTATTGGGCCCTAATTTTATCAGCACACTTGTGCAGTTTACGTGCAGTTTCATACTTCTGCCAATCTTTCTGGCCTACAATAAAGAAAATCATAACATATATTATGATGTTAAGGCATTAACACGCTAAATGTCACCACCTATCATTTGTTACAGATGCTAAACAGCATGCTAGATACCGTCACAAAAAATGGAGACATATGGGGATATAAAAATCATCACATGTTTCAACTGAAAATTTTAATCCCAGATTGATTTAATTTGACCAATATCTTGGAGGAGTTGATCAATCATTATCCGCGTTTGCGTACCTTTGAGTTTAGAACTTGCGTTCAACATGACATATTTAGTAGAATTTTGGATGTTCTCAGTCCAGCTGGCCAACCATGATACAGAGTTGTCATGTCTGATCTCCTTCCATTTCTGACCTGGTGGAGGAGCCGGCACTTCAGCATCTCTACAAGTAACAACAAGGCATTAACATGACAAAATATCACCAGATAGTCAGAAGTCAGATTTGAATTTCTGAGAACTCTGTGAATGATTTTGAAAAAATGGTCAATTTGAAACAAATTTTTTGACCCTGAGAAGGTTATTGAAGGTGAAATCTAAAATCTAAAGTCAGAGTTGAACTTCTGAGAACTTGAAGATGATTTCAAAAAAAAATTGGTCAATTTGAAGCAAGTTGAAAAAAGACCTTTTTGACCTTCAGCATCTCTACAAGTAACGGTAACAAATGCAATGCCTCAATCTGATGTCAGTTTCAATTCTCTCCAAAATATTGAATTTTTTACTTTTCTGGCAGTTCAAATAACGAACTAAGAATAGCAACGGGATGCCTCCTTACAATGTTTTTCTTTTTCCAGCTATTCTGCTAATGTGCCATATCAAAACATGGCTGCATCTATGGAGAATTTTGTCATTGTGTCACTAAATTTAAAATTGGTACAATCAGCTCAACATATCAACAGTTTGAATCAGTGCGATGTGTTCACATCCTTCTTCAAAGGACTTCATTTATGCTTAAATTCAGGAAAGAAGTGAAATAACCTTGGACCAAGGATGAATTACTTAGTTATACTAAGCTAAACTTATCATATAGAGAGGTGACAGTTGTTCATGTCTGATTCAATCTTCAATCAAAGACTACAAACACTTACTTGCTACAGTTGATTATGACGTCCCTAGCCAAAACACGTCTCTTGTGCATCCCCATTTTAGGATGGTCCCCTCGCCCACGGAACAGTCCTGGGGGCTCTATACGGAAGTTGCCGATCTTTTCCTTGTGCCCATCCATTGTACAGAAGCCATATTCCTCCTGTATGGCTGCATTCTGTTCCTTGATGACCTGAATGAATGAAAAGAATAAGGTAAAGTGCATAGAAAGGAATCTTCAGGCAGGCCATGTGGCCACAAGAAACATGGTGAACCACTCCTAAGTTTCTTTTATGATAAAAGAAGCCGTTCATCTGATTATATTTCATATCAAAAGGAGATACTTCTGCCTGGTTATGATGAAAATGAGGTATGATTTGAGAAAACATATTTTGTTAAGTATCCAAATACTGCCAGGCAAATGAATATTGATTTTCATACTTTTATTTGATGGACATTATTTTCTCCCCTTTTTGTTTGATGATTCTATCCATTTCTTCTCTATTCTCCATCTCAATTCTAAATCATAGCAACCTTGAGATATTTTTCCAAAATGCTATAGTAATAATGATCATTAACATGCAAAATGTCACCACCAACTACCGGATGCCAAACAACAGGGTCCAAACATCATCCACAAAAAGGTTGGAGCCTATAACAATATGACATCACTTGTGGTGGTGACATAAAATAATTATTTATCCATACCTTCTTTTCTTCCTTGGACATAGCTTTGCGCTTCTCAGATTGCTCCTTAAAATGTGCAAGGATTTGTCTGAAGTCACACTTTGTAAGATCAGTGATGGTTTCTTTTTCCTCTTTAGTCATTACCTAAAAGACATACAATTTTAGATATTCAATTATGATTTCGGATTTTCCTTTCTATTGCACAACCAGAACAACGGCAACGCCAAAGCGTAGCGAATCCCATCGAACAGCCATGGATGGCATTTTTACAAACAAAGTATATAGCAAAAATGGCAGCCATTTTTCAAAATGGCCGTCTTCTACCAAAAGTGTCATTAGACCATGTGCCATGCTTATAGTATTCACATACCAAATATGAACAAAATCGCTCTACTACTTTTCAAGTTATAGTAAAATAAGTTAAAATGGCGGCCATTTTTCAAAATGGCCACCTTCTACCAAAAGTGCCATTAGACAGTGTGCCGTGCTTATAGTATTCACATACCAAATATGAACAAAATCGCTTCACTACTTTTCGAGTTATAGTAAAATACGTTAAAATGGCGGCCATTTTTCAAATTTTTTTTCAAAATGGCCGCCTTCTACCAAAAGTGTCATAGGACAATGGCCGCCTTCTACCAAAAGTGTCATAGGACAGTGTGTCATGCTTATAGTATTCACATACCAAATATGAACAAAATCGCTCCACTACTTTTCGAGTTATAGTAAAATATGTTAAAATGGTGGCCATTTTTCAAAATGGCGGCCATTTTTCAAAATGGCCGCCTTCTACCAAAAGTGTCTTTAAGCAGTGTGCAATGTTTATAGTATTCACATACCAAATATGAACAAAAACGCTCCAGTACTTTTCAAGTTACAGCAAAAATCGTAAAATAACGAGTAAAGGCCGCCATTTTTCAAGATGGCTGCCATGTGCTTCTTTAATATCTACATTTCTAGCTTTATTAATGTCCTATATAATTTTTTTACATCTCAAACATATTGCTATTACAGTTTTACATATTGCACCTAAATTACTGTAAATTCGGCACTAAAATGGCCGCCATTTTGAAAATCGGCTTTCGAGCAGAACTTCTACCCCCATAGGGTATATGTGTACAAAATATGAACAAAATCGGGCCAACGGTATTTGAGTTGTTGCCCGGACGGACGGACGTACGTACAGACGGACGGACGTACGTACAGACGGACGGACGGACAGAGGCGTTCCCTATATCCCTCCGAACTTCGTTCGATGGGATAATAAAAACACTGTATATCTAATATCTATAAATAATTACTTTGATCTCATTAACATCTGAAATCTCAAATGAAAGTTATCTATCTAGGATATTTTCTCAACTGCATGAAAACTTCATGTTTTATGTCTTCAAAGACGACTGAATGGTTTGACACTATTGTCAATAAAAGAAATATATACAGAGAGAAACATTGCCAGAATATTCCTTACTATAAAATCTCATAAGTCCATTTTAAATCATAGCATCATAATACAAGAATTTAACGAGAAACTGAGTTTCCAATGTACTAAGTCTGCTGCATGTTAAATTTGTGTAAATTAGTTCTCAAATGACCAGTTCAGGTGGGACAACATTCAAATTGATTTTGTTTTCATTTCAATTTTTGACCATATGATTTATTTTGTCAGAGTAATACATACCTTTCTCCAATCTTTCATGAAGTTCTTGTTAAACACTTCCTTAGTAGTGTAGTCATGGTCCAACATGCGCCCATAGAAAGTTGCAACTTCTTCAGTTTCTGGAGTTAGCTTCATTGCTTTGCCGTTGTATTTAAACTCGACATGGTCAGGCAGTGGTTCGTATTCAGGTGCAAATAATACACCTTTGTGCTCCAAGAAATGCCATTTTGTACCATCATCTTGGTGATCTTCTTCCCACCTATTTATATGAAGTAATACGATAAATATTTAATATCTCAAAATAGTTTTAAAAGGACAAGGTGCAATTTTTGGCAAATATCCCTATGGTCAAAATGAATCATTCGTAGGTGTAACATGAAGAATAAAATGTCATATAATACTTCGGAAAATATAAAAGTGCTCGGACACACATAAGCTGAGATAGGGATCATTTCGTTCAGTAAGGTTGTATTGACTTACATGGGGCTGTGCACCATTGACTTAACATGAGGATATCAGCAGATCCTAATAGAGGCCATTGGTTTCCATTGATTATCACAGAAATACCCAAAATACACTATGACCTGAATCGATTGCAAACTTAATAATTTCACAATACGACACAAATGGTTTATCTCATCAAATGTGCAAATATGAAGTTTGCAATCGATTCAGGTCATACTTAAAATTAAAAGATTGTACATTTTTTCATCATTTTTTCCCCTACAAAATGGCTATAGAAAAATGCTCCAAAAATAACTTTTACACTTATCAAATATCATACAAGTTTGTAAAACCAAAGATTATACTATTATATTTCATTATGTAGTAACATATTTGGATAAGATGCAGGGATGCGTAGGATGTAAATGGATTTTGACAGACACAAAAATACTTCCTGGTTTGGAATCTATGCCTCTACACTTCATGATTGAATTATGACCCTAATAAGTGGCCTATACATCAATACAGTGCTGAATATAGGTCAACAAGATACTAGTGTGCATATAAATGTAATAATTGAAGCAGAATACTCATTTTGAAAAATCAGATGAATTATTTTTTTCCCATGGGGAGATCCCAATGGAGGGTGTATAAGGTCCTTTAACATCATTGGTACCTGTTACACAGCAGCTGGAGGGTTAAATTGTTTTGGTAACAAGCTATTTAAAACAAAAAGCTTCATAACAGGAGTTTGTGCTGTAACACCCCCTAAATTACACCTATCGTCAGTTATTTTGCAATATTTTGTGAATGAATAAATGCAATGGGAAACAATGCAATTAAGTTGCTCACCATTTCCAACGCTCTCCTTCCTCCTCTTGCTTCTTGCCTTTCTTCCCTTTGGTGGGTGCCTTCGTGGGTGACTTCGTTGGTGTCTTGGTAGGTGTCTTTGAGGGCTTCTTCACTGGAGGGGACATTGGTTCCTTCTTCACCTTGACCTCTTTTTTCTTTTTCTGCAATTTAGAGTTTGGTATTACAGGGTGAGCCAAAAAAGATAACCCAAACAAATGTATGTTAATAACTCAGTCATTCAGCATGGGTTTAAAGTCATATCTGGCAAAATTAAACCAAGTTCAATGTTCTTTCATTCTACCAAGTGTCATCAGTATATCCCCAATGGTCATGATGTTATGTACACCCTGTATCATTATTAAACAGAACCATATCAATACAGTACACTGAACATTTAATCATAACGTGTAATCCCCAATTTTAATTGTTTTGGACATAACAATCTCTCTACAGTTCATCTTCAATGTACTGTGAATTCCAATTCTCAACTGAGTACCCTGTTGCTTTTATTAATTCTTGAGAGCTCATGTGAATACCAAAAGCCAATGTCTTTCAGTATCTAATTACATACCACATCTGCAATTAAGATTCATAAGAGATAATATGCTGTAATAGTTTATGAAATACTATTTATGATCCAGTTTTCTCCCCAGGATTTTTTTCAAGTGGGTGCAAAATTCTTATTTTCAAAATTCAATCCAAAATTGGTCAAATTGTGCCCATTTTACATGATTTTTCTCATTTTCAAGTGGGTGCAAATGAAATCTCAGGTGGGTGCAAGTCTGATTTTAAAATCTCAGGTGGGTGTTGCGCCCACTTGCTTTATTGTCGGAGAGATCACTGTGATCAGTAAGAATTGTAGACTTACCACAGGAGTGTACTCATCTTCACTATCAGAATCTGCCTTGCGTTTCTTAACCTTTTCTTGCTTGAATTTCTTAGGAGGTGGTGCCCTGAAAGAAATAATTTAAATAAAATAGAAACTGGGTATTGCTAACAAATTTAAACATAACATAAGATATATGCAGATTTTACCAGAAAATCATTCTTTCACTCTGCCTATAGCACTGTGGGTAAATATAACACATTTGAAAATGTTACTTTGAAATTGGTAAATCTGTACGAATGTGAGACCCCCATATCATGTATTAACTGACCTGGCAGAGAGTGGTGTATCGTCATCGTCATCTTCTTCCTCGGAGTCTTCCTTGTAACGCTTCTCCTGCTTCACTCTGGTTGGGGATCTCACTGGAGGCTCAACTGCTCTGGCACCCTGGCAAAGATATTAATAAGAACTACTTTCAATGCAGAAAATTGAATAATTACTGTTCAATTAAACAAGAATGATTCTTGAACTTTAAGAATTGTAAATCAGATCAGAACTGAGAATCAGAATAGAGTAATGACACCCATTTACTAGAATCTATGCATAATAGTCAATTTTATTTTAGTATTCTTGGATTTAGATTCTTTAGATTTGGCATGATGTTAATTGTTGCAATTGTGCTATAATGACAGTCAACAGAAAGCTTAAAACAAACAACTATTCTAACTACTTATTCTATTTACCATCAGAATTCTCCAAAATGAAGTAATATATATACATTATTGTTTTAAAATGATGCAATATAAAGACAAATGACTTATATGAAATATAAATATTTATGTGTTTTGGAGTTGTCTCAGATCACTAGATATTCATACAGTTAAATCTATCTCGTAAGTGATGTATAGATGGCACAAGTGCATAGGTGAGTTAATTTATATAGACCATGTGATAAGGAAGAAATGTCACGTGACTACATTTGGCGGGAATCAGTTTGTGAACTCATAGCATGGAAAGCCCACCAGCCTCCCCAGCACCAACCAAAGTAATGAACAGGTTAATGTACTGCAACTAAAGTAAGTAAAAACATATATAAAATATATTGTCTATTGTAATATATATCTTTGCGATAGGGACCCCTTCGATATAAGAATATAGTATTAAATTGAGATAGATTAACTAATGTTTCTGTAAGAATTATGTTGAAATCATGTAAACCCAATAATTGATATAACATATTGGGTTAAAGTAGTGATCAAGCGACTCCAAACCGCACACAACTCAAATAAATATAAAATATTTCAAGTATTCTTAATCAAGATAAACACTTCTAAACACCAGAAAGCTTACCAAATATATTGGTGTTACTTCATTTAGTAAAGCAATCAGTTTTTCAAAAAATATCTGATTTTTAACAGAACCATTTAACATGTCTATCTGAACATCTCTTTAATTCAAACACCTCTCAATGTGAACACTTTTTCTCGGTCCCAATTTTGTAACCTACTATTAACTCACATGTTAAAAAACTTGAAATATGAACAACTTAACCGAACACTTTTGGCTGGTTCCATTGGTGTTTGGATAAGACTGGTATAACTGTTATATAACATACCAAAGGTACATCATCATCACTATCTGGGGCCTCTTCCTTGACCTCAACTGGCTCAGACTTCACCACTGGCTCAATCTTCACTTCTGTCTTAACCTTCTCCGATGAACTGAAAGAAACAATAAAATTTGATTTTTAAATAACTTTGAGGTTGAATGAGACCTCATTTAATCCTTGCAAATGCTGAACAGAGGTATATATTCTCAATGTATTTAAAATGCTCTCTGATTTTGTGTTCAGGTGACCTAGAATTGGAATTTAAACCAAATCATAAAATATCAAATAAACTGAAATAAAATCATATTTTTGATTGAAAATGTTTTCAACTACCGAGTGAAATTGAGGCCTAGCACCTTATTTTGATAAAAACACTGTGTACTGTATCATGGGCTTTCAACTAGAGAAAGCCCATGACTGTATGAATATAATTTAACAGTGATATTTAAATGTTAAAAAATGAAACCAATATAATGAATACTGAACCCCACCTGGATTTGTGTGATGAGCTACTTTTTGGTCTATCAGAGCTGCTACTAGACTTGTGACTTGAACTGCTGCTCGACTTATGTTTATCAGAACTGCTCCCACTGCTCGACTTGTGTGAACCACTACTGCTCGACTTATGTGAGCTACTACTGCTGCTCGACTTGTGTTTATCAGAACTGCTTCCACTGCCTGACTTATGAGAGCTGCTGGATCTGAATTAAAAAAAAGTTAAAAATATTATAAATAGTGGCCACTTTGTTTATGAATTTTATTTTGTTGAATTATAATCACATTTTTTGTATAAAGTACAGTGTATATTCAAATACCTATGCTTGTCATGGCTGCTACTCTTGTGTGAGCTGCTAGAACGATGCTTATCAGAACTGCTACTTTTATGCTTATCCGATCTGTGTTTGTCCGAACTGCCACTTGAGCGATGTTTGTCCGAACTGCTACTTGAGCGATGTTTGTCGGAGCTGCTACTAGAGCGATGTTTGTCCGAACTGCTACTCGATTTGTGCTTATCAGAATGGCTACTTTTGTGGGAGCTGCTTGAGCGATGTTTGTCTGAACTGCTACTTGACTTAGGCTTGTCAGAACCGCTGCTTACACCATTGGACAACCCATTTTCAACAGGCTTTTTGAACAAAGGCTCGCCTAAATAAAATAAACAAATAGGTCGTTTTCTCTTATATGATGACCAAGTATATACAGACAGTTAAGCACAATGACAAAGTCTGATTTGGTAAAGTCACGGTTTGAGCGCAATCAAAAAGTTCACTGTTTCAAAAGCACAATCTGAACTGCACAATCACAGGTCAACAATTGCTGCAGTTATTTACGTTATTGCAATAAACCATAATAGTAATAAAGTGACAAAATAAAAAGTCGTGACAAAATTTTGTGAATCATCAATCAGCACAGCTTGCACATTATCCCGTTCCAGGACTATAGTCCTGTACGGAGCCCATACATTTGCCTGTACGATTACAACTTGGGAGAATTATCTACGCCCCTTCCACTTAAGAAACCTACCTCAATGCATTCTACAACTCAAAATGTAACTTCTAATATATTGGAACCGCCGATTGTCTGGGTTAGTTGGCAGAACGAGGTCTTTTTGTTTCTTATGGCTCTTTTGGTCGAAGTTCGATTAAGATGGCGGTTATAACGGAATTTCCCGAACTCTTCCGTAATAGCACGAACTTGGTTTTTCGTTACGTCACTTCCGTGTAAAATGGATTTGTTTCGGGTAAGAGGGAATTTCGAAAATTTCGGACAATATTTTCAATATTTACTGCCATGTCGACATCCTATGCTCTTAACTGTATACCGAATGGTTAAACAATGTTTCTTACCGGAAACAAATCCATTTTACATGGAAGTGAAGTAACGAAAAACCAAGTTCGTGCTATTACGGAAGAGTTCGGGAAATTCCGTTATAACCGCCATCTTAATCGAACTTCGACCAAAAGAGCCATAAGAAACAAAAATACCTCGTTCTGCCAACTAACCCAGACAATCGGCGGTTCCAATATATTAGAAGTTACATTTTGAGTTGTAGAATGCATTGAGGTAGGTTTCTTAAGTGGAAGGGGCGTAGATAATTCTCCCAAGTTGTAATCGTACAGGCAAATGTATTGGCTCCGTACAGGACTATAGTCCGGGAACAGGATAACTTGCACAAACAAAGAAATTGTGTTTTTTGAAGTCATTTTACTCTGACAAATAATCAATGAAAAATGTACATGAACCTTGAAATCTTGAGTTAAGTGTATAATTTACCAATTGAACAAAATTTGATTTTTTTCATTCATTTTGTAATGAGATATCATAGTTTAATATTGGAGAAAATTTTGAAATATTCTGCTTCCCGACAGAAGAGTGCACTTACCTGACCCCTCGTTTTCTACAGATCTCACCGGCTAAAAACAGAAAACAGGACACGATCTCAGCATTTATACCTCTCAATTTTATATTATTACTTACACATTAAGTTATAGGTACATATATACAATGGACATTACCCCAGTGGAGCCATTTATCAAATAAAATATTTCAGAGCTCGGGACTCTGAAATTTTCAGCCATTTTGTTCAGCATTTTGGAAAATTGTAGAATTTCAAATTGAGTTTACGAGAAAAATAATGAATGTTTTCACACAAATTGTATTATAATTTATAGCTGTAGTATATACTTAAAAGTAAGAATGTTTACCTCGGATGATTGAACCGTTGAATCGCCACTATCACCGTTCATATTTCTGGACTTAGTCGCAAACGTGTAAAATGGCGCACGACAAAGAATTTTACAAGTTCGAATTGTAACGTCTGCGCATGCGCCATGAACTGTTATAAAAGGTCAATCAGCTGTTTAGAAAACACATTCTCAGCACAATTCATTACACATACCAACACATGATTGATTTATAAAATCAATCCACTTGCCCATTGAACAAAGGAGAATATTGTCTCCTAGGGAATACTGTCTTAGATTCATATACTGGTTCACCTACCTCAGTTTAATTGACCCAGAATGTATGACTATAAGTAAGCCAAATTACATGTAGGTCAAAATGTAAATATATGGTCATCTTAATCAGGATAATAAAATCAATTTTACACCAGAACAATAAGGTTCCTGGTCAGTGGTCATCTCAACACCAAGTCAATTCAACCCAGTAAAACTCAAGCGCAAGTCAACTCAACCCAGTGAAACTCAATCCAAGTCAACTCAACCCCTGTAAAACTCAACCCCAAGTCAACTCAATCCCTGTTAAACTCAACTCCAAATATGTTTACCCAAGTGACAAAAAACTGACAACAATTCAATTTCTTTTACACAGTGATCCACAGCATGGATTCTAGGATTACCAGAAATTATCCTAGATAAGCAGTATTAAGCACACTACGGGATGCACACTTTGACTGATGTTGTGTAATTGTTGTGCTCCATTGTATATGGGCTGTGTATTATCAGTTATGGATAAATGTTCAATTTGCTATAAACTTTACCTGGTGACAGGGTGAAAGTACTTCCAATGAGAAGTGGTTGTGGTTCACAACTCAGAAGAAAGGGGGCGTCCGGTTCAGATGTAGTATGTGCACACAGTACACCAATACTTAAGAATAATATACTTTCTATATATTAGATGAATAAAGCTTACATAATAGATGCCGCCCTTGTTTGTCTTTGATTTGCTTGGGCCAAACTTCCATTGACTTTAATGCTAGAAACTTGCAATAGTCACTTAATTTCATAATTTATCAAAAATAGGTAGAACTGTCTGAAACTCGAATGGCATACTATTGGATGACCCAGTCAATGTACATATTTTGATTAAACATGAAAATGTTGGTTGTCATACAAATAAACCAAGGTTTTGAAGAATTTTAGCATTGCACCAATGGAGTTTCTTTTAAATGTCATGGAAAATGATTTAAATGACATAACTGTGTAAATCAAAGCTATTATTGGAGAAAACTTTTGACTGAATTCAAATATGCTATTAAATAAAAGTAAGTCATTAGAGGTAAAAAGTGCGAATTTGCGAGCCTTTAAAGCTATTTAGAAACTCCCGAGGTAAAATCCAAGTTTCCCTATCCCTGTCCATGTTTTTAAAACTTTCTTAATCAACAGTATGATTTTGGGACATGAGCGCATCATATGGAGTATGGCCCAATACATGAATAAATAGAAAGTATTGAAAACATAAAAAAATCACAAATATGTTCATGTAGATTTGTACATATAGGAATATAAATAATCTGTGTCAAATTCCAAGTTCCATGTACATTGTTGTATCTATCTTCGAATAAACAAGATAGAAAGGTGCATTTTATATTGTGTATATGAAAGAAAGGTGCATTTTATATCATGTATACTTTTTATAAATTTGATCATTTACTACTTTCCTACAAAAGGAGAAACCTTGAAAATCATGATAGGATTTAAATCAATAATGTTAGGACTTGTACTTTATCTAGCATCTTAAATTTTCTAGACAGTAAAACCTGTAAAGTGGAACACCTCTCTAAGTAGAACCCCTCCATAAGTGAAACACTTTTTAATGTCCAATTTCTAATAAAGTTAATTTAAAACGAACCTCTTAAGTGGAACACCTCCCTATTGAATCACTATTTTGATGTATTAAAGGCCACATATACAGGTTTTACTGTATACTGTTTTACTTACATCCTATATCCTTTATTGTGACACTTAACATTAAAACATAAAACAATAATTCTATTTAATTACAAATAATTTTATTGTAAGGTTCAAGATAGAATCCAAATGTACACCTGTACATATAACTGGTATAAGATTGCACTGATATACAAAACATAATGGTTATTGTCACTTTTAGATAATAATTTTTATATATTGTATTGACTATTGAGAGTCATTATTCAATGTATGAGCTTGAAATGATGAAATCAGGACAAGTCATTCAAGAGTTCGGCTACATAATACCATTTTTACACACAAATGAAAACTGTCAAATAAAAAAATAGAATCCTTTTAGAGAAATCATAACAAATGAAATTGTTTTGAAATCATTTGATTTTTGCCAACAAGGGCAAATTACAGGAAAAGGCTTCATTTCGTTTTGGCAAACCTGACCTCCCTAATACATGTGTCTCACGTATCAGAAAAATGTACAATTAGCCCTGAATGTGAACACCTCTCTCTGAAAATGTAAGAATCTCTAGATGTGATTATCTCAGAATAATTGAAGGTGTTTTAGAGAGGAGAAAAATTTCTCAGGAACCAGTCATTTTCCATATCAAGAATCAGTCATTTTCAATATCAAGAATTTCATTGGGTGGGATCAGTCATTCTGTACAGGAAATGATATTTAGTACATGTACTGAGATCAGCTATTCACCCAAGTACCCCAGACTAAGGACTTGCCATACTGCATCAGATAGTTATAATAGACACCAGTCATTTTTAGTTGAATATCAGGTAGCTTCCGAAGCAGCATTAGCTTCATCATAAGTCCTTTTCCTAGATTCTTGAGGCTGAGTTTCTGATTTTGAATCATCTTCACTTTGTTTTTGAAAAGCGAATGCAAGGTATACAGTGGCTGCTTCCCATTCAGACTGAGATAAAGTCCCCTGCAATTAACAAATAGACATAAACTTAATATTAACATGCACAACAGAGATAGAGAACCTTATGAAATGTTAATGCAAGGTACAATTCAAGTAGTAGCTTCTTTCAATCAGACAAAGGATCGTAAAATTAACAGATCACTAGTATTCAAATTCATAATACACAATGAGGTCTAAGCAGCAGTTCAATGGATAAAGCAAATTTCAGTACAGGGCATTCTCAATAGAATATGCCTACTAAATTCCCAATTCAATTCTCGTAACTGTGGATAAAATGACGTCATAGTATAGAACAATAAACTTTTTGAATTCTTAATTTTACAAAGTTTCTGTTAATGGTCCCCTTGGTAAGCTATAGCAGATGATTAAAAAGTGTAACAATTTGTTAAAGACAACAGCCAGTATGGTGACACGAAACACTGGTCACAATGAAAACAAGGCCATTAACATGCAAAATGTCACAACCTCCCATTTGTTACAAACACCTACCGCCAAAAGTGATCTGCCAAACCACCAACCACAAAACACCGTCCACAAAAAAGCCCGGTACGCTGGGTACGCACAGGCGTACCAGATGGTTGCAAATTCGCTCCAAATACAACCAAATTTCAAAATTTTCCCAGACCCAGACCCCCTAAATGCTCGTTTTTTGGTTCACTCAACTCTTGTTCCCGTGGTGGTGGCGTACTACTTAGAAAAATAGCGCTACGCCCATGGTGGTGACATAAAAATTGTCACTATAACAATATAAAATAAAACCACTTGATGGTAGAGGTACAACAACAATGTACACACCACTTTGAATTTACGCCTGTCATTATTAGAGTCTTTCTCAGCTTGTATCTGATCGACTTTGTTTTGTGCTGCAGTATAGGAACCTGGAACATCTTTACCCATCAGGTCCACATCGTCATCAGCTGGATACGGCTACAATCAGTCAATAAAATAGTGGTCAAGTCTTAATATGCAAAATATGGAGAACTTGATATTTCAAAATATAACACAGTAAAACCTGAATATAGTGAACACATATGGAGCCACCCAAGTGTTCAAGTGTTCACTGTAGTTAGGTTTTCACAAAAGGGGATTTTATACAGGTCTCAATGTAAAATGTGTCTTGAAGTGGTGTTCACTAGAGAGAGGTGTTCACTTAGACAGGTTTTACTGTAGTGGTACTGGTATGGATTAAACAGACAGGCATTTTGTTAAAACTAAACTGTATGGAGTGATGCTCAATTTTCTATTACAGTATCTACAGTACATGTATTAACAAACTATCAACTATAATATTATGTTGGCCTATATAATAATAAATCAAGACATACAGTGATAAATATCACACCTGAAATTCAAAATGTCACATTGGAAATTACCCAGCATGCACAAAACCTAATCATATCTTGGTAATATTCTGTTCTTGCATCTGTAAGGTTCCTCAGAAGAATATTTTTTCTGCTATCTTGATTCTGAAGAGCCCTATGAGGCATTGCCACTTGCATCACGATTGATGATTTGCGATCACTGGATAAATTCTATCTTGTAGTGACGACACAATTAGGCCACACTGCTATAGCTTTTTGATTTTGAGAGGTTATCTTCTGTATTTCGTACTTTATTGATTTATTTTTCACGAAAGTGTTTGATTTGACTTGATCAACATTCATTCTAAGCACATGCCAAGTCTAAGATCTTACTGACATGATTAAGATAGCGGTTAAGCGACCCATGGTTTTCATAAAAGAAACAATAACATTTTTAGCTCAAAACTGCCACGTGTCCGCCATTTCGTCTCTCCATCATGTCTAATATCATTTCTATATGACGTCACACCAATAAGACGAAATACATGACAACAGTATCCATAAACAAAATACCTGAATCTGATCGCAAAAGGTCAATTACCCATCACATTTACCCATAGTCCAATATGGAGTCTAGGTGAACTACCTACTTACCTCTAAAGCTTGCATTCGACCAATAAGAGCTCTTCCATCTTGAGTCGTGATATGTTCTTTGAAATATTCCTCAAAACCTTTTTTCTCAACTAGTTTAAGATTATATTTCATTGCAAGTCTGAAAGCAAAATGATTATAGATAAGATCAAGAAAAATTGGATAGGGACCAAAATTGGGGCGATAAACCAAAGTGAAAATCTGCATGAGTGTATTTACAAATTAAACACACGTGAAGATATATAAATGAAGCAGTGAAAAACATATATATCTGTTTAAAATGAAAAAAACTATGAATAAAGAGCTTATGAAGTTGTTTCAGAAAGAAACTATATATTGAGCTACATGTAGCTCAATATATCATCATTTATTTGTGATAAAATGAATATAACATTTTTTTCATAGATGTCTCCTAATGTCACTGGAGTGGCTTTTCATTCTTAAAGCCACTTCTTTGTTAGTACAGACTTTATTTGAGAAAGGTTGGCCTCCCTGATTTTTTCCTAAATGTAAAGATACAGTTTTAATATTGCAAGTCTCTAAATAAATCTATTATTTCGGTCCACATTTGAATTTGTTTCTTTTGAGCTGTACATCACTATACTTACTTTTCTAATAATGGAATGTAGACCAAGAATTCAGGGCAATCGACAACACCTTCCAAATGAAAGTTGTATTTCTCCCCAAATAAGCCTAGATGTTCCTTGTCATTGTTCTCAAACTCTATACTATAAACTTCATTCCCAAACTTTGTTCCTTCTGCATTCTTCAGTCTACGCCTGTAAAATAAATTATATATTGTCTTGGCCTTATTGTAATAGAAGGGAATAGGGATGGCTTAATGGAAGATTTTACAAAAGTCTGCAGTTTTAAAATCTGCACATTTTCTTTTAGTCTTGCTTCAAGACCCTGAAGCCCCCCCCCTCCCCTTATCTACTTTATCAATGACTGTTGTTAACTTTCTTTTCATTACACCCTTTTAACAGTTTTCTTGTTGAAAGAGTAGACACACTGTAGTGTTCTCCCAAAAAAAACTTTTCAACTGGGAGCAATTTTTCAAGTCTGAAAAAATCAGTGCTCATGATATCTCCAAGTGGGTGCTTACTTCAATCATTTTGCAAATCAGAAGTTGGAGTGCAGGGTGCCAACTGGGGGGGGGGGGGGCCTTTGGTATCAAGTAGCCCCCCCCCCCGGTAAAAGTGACATGGGGAGATCACTGCACTGGACACTGTTTCATTTGTCATATTTAAACACATATCAAAACCTACATAATAACTATGAAGAAACCCTACACTATTTCAGCACTGTTTGGAGTAGTTCCTATAAAGTAACCCCCTGGTCTTAGGCACTCCCCTGCATTACGCAACATCATATCTGCCTGTGCATAGCTCTCAAAGCAGTAATGGAAGGCAAACTGGCAGCTCACAAGGTCAAACTGGGTCTCTGGATCTTTGTACTTGCTCTTCAGGCGTTCCTTAAAATGCAAAAATAATATTTACTAATATCAAAACTTAAATTTGCTCCCCCACCCTTGTTTATTCATATTCAATGCAGAAATGCAATAAAAACAGTTAAATTTCATGAAAAAATAATCACTAATCACACTTTTTTGTAAAGATCAGAAGTAAATTGGTACCAATATAACCTCAAGAGACTGGTACTTTTTATTAAGTCAGGAAGATTACGATGGCATCGTAATACACTTTGCGAATCTCATGTTGAACATTCATAATATACAATTGGCAATATTGATTTATTTCCATAGAAAAATATAAATATAACATACACATGTTGCAGCTTTGCAAATAACATTATAAACCACAATTGAGTTTGTAAAAGGAAAGTTGGCCATAAATCTCATACTCCTAAGCAGGTGTCCAGAATCACATGATCTAATTATACGTCGATGACTTACATGATTGCTGTCGCAAATCAAATTGCGAGTTCTTAATCGGGGAAATGCTAACTACTTGTAGCAGGGGGTAAAAAGAAAGAAGATATTCTGGATTTTGAAGCCCTGTGATCGGAGGATGATAAATCTGGATAGATTCTGGATTGATACATTTAACGATTGGCATTAAGCAGAACGCAGTTGGCAGAAAGTCTGAATTTATACAGTTATTCAGTCAAAAAGTATTACCATACCTTTGTACAGTCTGCAACTATGAACTCTGCTTGAAAAGATTTCTGTTGGAACTTCTCTCTACCACCTCTATCCCCCATGTCCTTAAAACGAGATTCAGCCTGCTCTACAGATGTCTCTGCAATATCTGAAAAATATTTTGTAATTGAAAATCTGAAAAATGTTTCCTAATAGATAATCAGTTTCCTAGTCCTAGTCAACTAGTGTATGCCTTTGGTGACCAGTACAAAAAAACAATGGTATGGTTAAGTTGGCAAAACAAAAATCAAATCTCATCTCTAGACTTTAGATTAAATTTGATTTTGTTATTATGGCATTTGTGTAATGGTGATCTTTTAAAAATATTTATTCAAGAAAATAAATTTCAGATGTTTGTTTATACATACCAGCACAGATCAATTTATCTATTCTGCCCTTTTTCCATTTTAGAAGATCACCACCCTTCCCTGATCCTAGATCCAGTACAGAGATTTCACATCTTTCACCTTTGTTTGATCGAATCTTTTGTAAATAGTCACCTAAAAAGGACAATATTAAGTTCCATTTCACATCTTATGAGAATCCTGCAATTTGTTAGGGAATTGACAAGGTTTAGGTCCATAGCCAGCTTTTGCCAAGGTGGGTCAGTTTTTAGAAGATTCCAGAGAGGTTCAAAATTGGCAATTTTGGTCTAAAATCACTATAAAGGTGCTAACATGGTGAAAAAATGATTTTGAAAGAATGTTCAGAACCCTCCAAACCCATTTGGCTTCGGGCCTGAGGTTGTTAATATTGTGATTACAATATTAACTGCTGTAATAATTTTCAAAGTCTAACTCATCAGACCAACACTTGTGCTCATGAAGTAATAAGATAAAATGAACTAGGATATCACTATTGTTGAAAATGTTCCAAAATTGATTGTCCTGCCAGAAGCAAAGAAACTGTTTTGCATTTGGTTGACAACCTGAAAATCACGTCATTCTGAATCATTTAAGAAACTTGTGAAAAATATAAACAATTTGTGGTCAAAATAGAAATACTGGAGAAAACTATGTCTACTATCAAGATTTCCCTACCTATTAACATACTCTTCGTCCAGTTATTGAAGTTACGTAGATAAAAGATTCTGCTTTGAGTTCTGGCATCCAGTCCAGCCTCTTGTAGCTTGTTATAATGCTGAGCTACAGTTTTGCCTACATCTGCTTCAGCCTCACCCTGCAATATTCAAAGGGAGTATCTCAGATAAGAAGAAACATTCTGCATTGTATCAAATCTTGTGGAGGGGTTGGGCTAAACTAATGGTCTAATAGACTAATAGTCATGAATGGCAAAGTTACACAATGGGTTAGTAGATTCTAGAAACTGCCAGCCAGGCAATATAACTTAATTATTGTACCAAATTGCTCATTTTGGACTCTTTTTGCAAAGGGGTCATAGCCACTACAACCTGTAAATATGTTACATTGATTTTAATAAAAAGATAAATTAAAACAAATTATCACTAGAAGTCAGTGCTCACTGGCTGATATATAAATGGTATGTATTTTATCTTTTATGTATTCTATATATCATCTTTGTTCCTTCTGGATTAGATCATATATAAGTTCATCCTCACCTGGTCCTTAGACCCACTCTGCACTGCATTTGTGGCATCTGCAGAAAAAAACATGATAATTAATTAATCTTAATTTATTGGACTTAACCCAAAAAAGTATATTCCAAGAAACTGCAAAAGCCTAATAATCTCATTTGAAAAGATAAACAAGTAGTTTAACAGTATGTTCATAAAAATGTTAAAAGGAAATAAGATTACAGTGGAATGTATAAAAATAGATTTATCATCTATTCTAATATGATATGTGGCCTCAGAATAGCTACATGTAGAACAATTGATTTACTGGTCTATATTGGAGTATGTATGACCGCTAAAATTCATAAATGCAAATAGTTGCGTTTCTTGTCTGTTTATCATATTAGAATCTCATAGAATATAGAATCTTAACAAAGACCTTGATTTTATGATTTATGTCAAATATATGACCTCAAATCTTCTCCTTATTGTAGATATTGCTTTAAGGTTATTCTTTCCAAACAACATTTTTGAAGAAATGCTATAGCTGCACATGTTATTTTCTGGTACATAATTAAATATGAAGGCATGTGTGTATTTCCTTGCTTTTTTCAGGAAAGTATCATTACATTGTCTTCTCTAAGTATACTTAGTAAGTGGTCCATGGAAATCCAGTGTTATTGAGAAACTTGGAGTAGAAATTTGGAAAATTGAAAAGGTGGCCATTTTGGAGTTGCCATTGACTTGTTACCAGATTTGCTAAAAGAAGACATTGCAAGGATGCTTTCCTAAAAAACCAAGGAAATACACACAAGCCTTCACACTTTATTTTGTACCAGAAAATAACAGGTATAGGAATTTTTTTCAAAAATGTTGTTTAGAAAGAATAACCTTAAATCAGAATCCCAGAATTTACATCACTAGTCTGATGTCAAACAGAGGTGTCAAGTGTCCCGCGAATGGCGGGATTATCCCGCTAATTAAATCAAAATTTGGCTAATTCGCGGGCCACGCAATGTCCCGCGAAATCCCGCAAATGTCGGCTTTGACCTCCGCGAATTTCCAAAATTATAACAATTCCCGAGGCTAAATAATTGTGATTATCTTGTGATATAAGAAGCTAAGTTTTTGCGCTTTTGAGGAGTAAAGTTTACCTAATTTGAAAAGTGGTGCCAAACTCCCAGAGCATCAGATCATCGAACACTTATAAAGAGCATATAGTCCATCTATAAAACTGTGATTTTGATCCAAATAACACCATAGTTGGTTTCTCAAGTACCTAGTATGCCGTTATAGTGGTATCAAAATAAAGAGGAAGAGTGCAATTTTCATAGGTGCAATAATCAGTGCAGAGGGGTCATTCAACGATCATGGACCAGTGTCAAAATATATTTAAGTTTGGATATTTCATCAAGACTAACATCTATTTTTATTATCTACAAAGAAACGCCCTAGATAAACATTATTTTAGCTGATATTCCTCTTGAAACATGGTGGGTCTTAAAAATATAAAAGTGGAAGTCCCCTTTTTGAAGCTTTGAACTGAATTTACACTTCTTAATGCTGAAATTGATAATTTATCCATACATTTTAAGAAAATAGGTATGTCAAAGAAGATGTTAAACCAAATGTTGCCTTGATAGCTCAGAAAAAATGAAAAAACTTTCCTATTTTCTCTACAATCCTTATTGCCCCTTTGATTACGAAAATATAGGGATGTATGGAATAGTTCCAACGTTGGCCTTTTTACTACGCGTGTCACGGCCTTCATCTCAGAACTAAGAGAACTGATAAAAAACCTGACTCCCCTATATGAATAGGTACATTTTAATATATAACACTATGGGGGGGGTGGTAAATGTTTCACAGTTGGTCACGAACGCCATAAGTGCAAAGTATTGTTCGGAATTTTTGAATATCGTGTTGGATTACGGTACTCACACAGTAATCCACCGTATTTTTTTTGATTTTTAATAGTTTAATAATATTTCTATACGTATTTTGTGGAATTGTGTTGACGTTTACTAAAGTTAAGTGCATTATATTTGATAAATCAGTATCTGAAAGTTTGATTTGAGTACTTTTAATTTACAGTAAGCCCCAATCACGCAAATCCCTTGAATGTCCTGCGACATCCCGCAATTTTAGGTGGATGTCCCGCAAAATCCCACGACTATAGGACACTTTGTCCAAAAAATCTGTCCCTCTGTCCCGCAATTAGCATGTTTGTCCCTCGAATGGTCCCGGGAAATCCCGCGAATTTGATCAAAATTTGACCCTATTAGCGCAATCACGCAAATGCCTTAAATGTCCCGCGAAATCCGGCGAATTTAGGTGGATGTCCCGCAAAATCCCGCGAATTTTTGGCACTGGGTCTAAAAAATCTGTCCCGCTAGAGAAACTTTGGGGGTTGACAGTACTGTGTCATATTTCCAGAATGAAACATCTTCAATTTTGACGTAACTGTTTCTATCACTGTTAACCAAAATATATCTGCTATAAAGGGCTCATTAATCTAGATGACAATGTTTCTGTAAATCAAAATGCAGGATTGCTAAAAGTTCACTTGTGATCAGGAAGGTGCAGAATAACAAGGTAATCCGAATATGAATTGCCACATGGATTTCTGAATTGGCTGCACAATCCTCCCTTTAAATGTTTGAAATTGTATTTTGGAAGTGTTTCATCTTGGAGAAATATTACAAAGCTACTGATTCTACTCAAATGATCTGGAGAAGTCGAATAAATACTGGGCGATAATAGAGTTTCTTTGTAAGCGTTGAAATTAAAACCTTTTTATTCCCTTGTCAGACATGGGTATCATGCCAAACAATAGCTCTAAACTGATAAATGATACATAGAATTATATAATGTTTTCACAATAGATCCTAATATGAGGTAAATCTTCGATAAAAAGCCTTAGAATCACAAAATATATCTACTGACCGGGTTCAGCCATGTCGTAAATGAATAAGACAAAATTATTAACGACATTAGAGCTAGCGCTGGTTATTCTTCTAATGTAGACAACCACAAGTACATATTCAAAATAAATCATCAGATGATAAATACATACATGTTTATTGTTCAAAGAGAATGTAATAAGAGAGTTTTGATAAGACATTGGTATATAAGACAAAACCACTTTCCGGCAAGCATGAAAATAAAATAAAATTCCGAAAATATTTTCAGTAGTTTTATTAGAATAACTATGGCATTATCTCGAATCTGGTGTCCCAAAGGTGTTAGAAATAGCCTTCAAACACCAGTTGTTGTGTGGAAGCAAATGACATACCAAGGTGAGCAATGAAAACTGACGAAAATGTCCCCGAAATTTCTGGAAGCAATTCCCAATTTTCATTTGTCATTGACACATGATATCATCATCATCATTTGTGTACACGATTAATCTAATTCTGACTGTTATATCGCGGGATTTAAATATCACCAGTTTCTTCATGTATAACCCCTGTCACCATAGATTGTGGTACTTGATTTTCTTTTTATTACCATAAATGTGGGGTTGATTTCTAAAGTCACCCCCACAACTACTTGTGTATTGAAATCTTGCTGTTGAAAATAAACTGGATTATTGGTTTTTAGATAAAATTCAACTTTTTGTCAACTACTGACACCGTTTTTTAGTAGCAAGATTTTACACACATCGACAAATAGTTGTGGGGTGTTTAGAAAAGTCAACAACACATTTAGGGTAGGCTCGGCCACTAGCCTCCACCTTCATTTTGTATCACTTCACCTACATGTATACAATCAGGAATATAGTAATCTGGGAATTTAGAAGCAATCGCCCCTATCAAGATTCCATCTACATTATGTTTACAATTAACTGTCTATAGATCTAATGAGATGTCCAGGAGGAGATGTGTTGAACATACATGACTAGATCACACAAACTAACTCCTCTGAATGAGCTGTGAGACCCATTTGAGTACATGCATGGAGGTACATACTCTGGAGACCGAACAGTGAAATAACGTCTTTTCATTGTCTGATATGGGGAATTCCTTGCTTGACCTACATTAGATGTGTGTTTTGGTTCTGATAGGGGATTCCAATATGGTGCCATATAGCAACAGTGAAAAGCCTGGATGATTGACCCTCTTGCTCCAGAGTCTGATAGCTTTTCCGGAGTCTGAAGAGTTTTTTACCAAGTCTAATTTTTCATTTTTGTCACATTATTTGTGATAAAACTCCTGAGAAAATATATAAAACTAGAAACAAACAAGGAATAGGAGGTCAGAAACCTTTTAGAAATGTATATTGTGATTTAATAGGAAGATGATTTTAAGTAGTATTTTGAAAAGTATAATAATAGGATATCTCTGATCTCACATGGGGGAGGAGTAGTCGCGATACCACAAAAAATATAAACATCTTTAATATATGCTTCAAATATTTAATTGTTCTGCTTACATGCATTTTCAGTATGTAAGCAGAGCACATCAAACTCGTCAATTAATTCTGTCTTTCTTTATTTCAGTTGAGCCAATCTTACCTCATAGCCAGATCTTATGTGTGCAGAGAACATTTGAACATCAGAGCAGAGACAGGCATCAATTCTCATGTTATTCAACCATTTCAACACACGACTCATGGACCAGAACCAACCATCCAGCATTTAGATACTTTTCAACAACTTATCCCGCCTTTGTTGATCAAAAATCAACAGCCAGCAAGGACTCAGATATAACTGAAAAAGTAATAGAAGCCAACGAGAGCAAAGAAATTGAAGAAGCTGAAAAACCGCCCGGATTATTTAAAAGATTTAAATTAGCCTACAAGGAGTATGGGAAGGTGCTAATAGGAGTACACTTAGTCACGTCTGCCGTTTGGTTTGGATCGTTCTTTTATTTAGCGCAAGGGTGAGTTAATGACATAATGAAATAATGAGTAAAACCAGTCTAAGTGGAACACTTTGGTACCTCTGAAAAGTGTTCTAATTGGGAGGTTGTTTTACTTATAGAGGTTCATTCAACATTAAGTCAGATGGTCTTGGGACTCTGAAAAGTGTTCCACCACTAACAAAGGTGTTCCACTTCTAGAGGTGTTCCACTTTACAGTTTCATTGTATCAGGTTTTACTTCAAAAATATGAATACCATCTTTTAAAGTCGGGCCTCTCTCCGAAACGCAACCTTAGGTTGTTCCCGGGGTCCCTGGTAATATTTTGTGCTTTAATCAGAAAATATACAATAATGAACAAATGGAGCAAAAACTGTGAAGAAATACTCACGATAAAGATGTTAGTCTGACGATTGTTCATTCAATTGCTCATAGGTTCGCCGGTAAACAAATTTTTTCGAAGATTTCTAAATTTAGAATGTCACGTGACTTACTAAAAAGAAGTTTAAATAAAGCCGCTTAAATTACATTCACACATAACCATTGCCACGGTGGTACAGTGGCAGAGTGCTTGCCTCTCACTTTGACGGTCCGGGTTCGAATTTCGGCATCGTCTCTTTTTTATTTTTTAAATTAATGATGCTTTGATTTTACGCTTAAAAAATGTTTATATCTACGTCAAATTTATATTTAAGCATTTATCATCTGTTCAGTCGTATAAAAATGGAAAAATAATTTATGTTCACATATTGCGTTTTGGAGAGAGGTATAGGTTTAAGATTTCGATATTTTTAGTTCTATAAATAACTTATGTCTTGATCTTAATAATTGCTTAGCCCAGTGGATTAATTGAAGAGATTTTGACAATGCAATCTTTATTATGGTCACACACTCCAAGTACAAGTACTAGCTTTTATTGATGCATCTAGTAAAGGGTTGATACCATTATCCAGATGGAAAACAGTCATTATTTTACAAGATAATCAATCAATGCCTAAATTATTCCTGTAATCTTTTTTCCAGGGGCATAGATGTGGTCAGCATTCTAGAGAAATACCAATTCAACGAAACTTTGATAAAACCATTTAAAGGACCTGGTTTGGGTTACGTTGCTGTAGCCTACCTCATGTATAAACTGGCCACGCCCTTACGCTATACAGTCACTTTAGGAGGTACCCAGATAGCTGTGAAATACCTGCGCCAAGCAGGCTATCTCCCTCCTGTTGCACACCAGGACAAAATTAGAAACCTAATGAAAGATGGACGCCAACAATTAAAAGATAAATCCGCTGACTTAAAGGATCAATTAAAGGAAAAACATGGAGACTTAAAAGATCAGTTAAAAGAACGTAAAGATTCTTTGAAGGACAAAAAGGATGAATGGAAAGAGAAAATAAAAGATAGGTCCTCTTCGCGTAAAAATAATCCTGATTCTTGAATGCTGGCATAAACTTGAATTCTATGATTCATTTTTGAAAATCAAAGTCATTAATATAATGACTGTATAATGTATTGCCGGTTACCTTATACAGGGTCCATTTTTGGAGCCACCATTACTTGATGTTATTACCAGATAACTCAGGCATAAAGCCTTTTTTACAACCGCTATCCTCAGGATAGGTATCTTCCTCAAGCATAGGAAAGCTAGCCCAGTTGAAATGTAATAGAATATAAAACAGGGGAACCAGGGAAAAGTTGAAAGACTGTATAGGCTTATAAGATTATTATATCACAACCAAAATAATAAAAAGTGGTTACATATTGTAATAGCCACCATTTTTGTGATTGGTGTTTAGAGTTCAGCGTTGGTATTTGTTCCTTCTTTAACCATTTGCAATTACACCTGTTTTGAAGTTATTAGTCTATGTTTAGGTATTAATGGGACATGGGTGCTGGGTGCAGTATGTCCATGAAATGCCCTCATATATGTGCCAATGTCCATTAAATGTGTATGTATTGCCAAATATTCCATTGTATATCTGATTTGGTGACTGTCCAGATGAATAACTCATTCTGTTGATTTATTTTTGATTTTTACATGCAAATGTATGGATACCATGTCCATGTGTATACTGTTCATTTACTTTTCTTTTTAACTGTACAATGTATCTCTTAAATGTCAATGAAAATTACACATATTCCAAATAATCAATGCGAATGCGAATGAGCAAAGAATAAACATATGAAGTGAATATAACAAAGTGCTTTAATATAAGTATTTATTGAAGAATATTAAAGTGTTTGTTACATGTTTTAAAAAAAATATAGCTGCCCATTGCATTTTCTCTGGAGCACCGTCCTCGAAAACTTATCATAGGCGTAGTGCTATTTTCATGAGTAGTATGCCACCACAGGAACATGAGTTGAACGAAGGGAAAAACCAGCATTTAGGGGGTCTGGGGGTTCTACCCCCCCCCCAGAAAATTTTGAAATTTGGTTGTATTTGGAGTGTATTTGCAACCATCTGCGGGTGCAATGCCCATGCTTATCAAATCAGTTTTACCATGACAACATTATGATGTACAAAGTCATGTTTCCCCAATTTTATAATCAGCACAGATAATGGAAAGGCCTTGAATGAATATGTGCATATGACTGAATAAAATTGGCAGTTTAAAATACATGTATTTATACAATCATTGTTGATTGACCAATACATGTATAGTACGAGTATGGCCAGATCCCATATGCACATTGAGCAAAAAAGTGTTTTTAAAACAGTGGATTTGGATTTTATAAGTGTAGAAATGATGTAGAAATTTCATTTATTTGGTTTCATTATACATCAAAACAAACATCTTCAAAATTCATTGCCCAAAGACTGTGAAATGATGACCCTTTCTTTCAGTGCTTCCAACTCATTAATGTTTTACCCTGCATGCAGAGTCTATATATAGACGAAGCTCTCTTTTAAGAAGTGAAGTCGAACGAATGCAAAGGGTATTAATTTTTCAGAAGGTCCAATGTTTAAATCCTGTCTTACAGTAGATCAAGGTTCGAGAATATGTAGACTATAAATTGATGAAATACTTGTTGCTGATACTTTGTGATAAAATGGCACAAATTCCATCTTTACATCAGTATCAAAAATATTGCATTGGTTGAAATAAGTTAAGTGCTTAGTAAAATGCTTAGTATTTATACTAAGTACTTTGCTCCCGGGTCTGCTCTATTTCATAAATAATGTTCTAAACCGAGTTAACAGATGCTAGATTAATCAGTGGAAAAATAATTATCTAATTTATAAATCATCAGATTGCAGGGATGTGAATGTTAAGGACTTTGGATATATTCAGCAATCTCCTCGTACACTTCATCATCATTTCCCGGACTGGCACTGATGTTAATATTTGCACTAAGATCACCCGTTTGACCCGCTACTAAGGTAGAGTATTCCTGAACTGCAGCTCTCTGGTTTTCCTCATGCTCAATCTCTCTTGTGTTAACTTCACATGGAACCTCATACGATGCAGTGGATACTTTTTGTGATGGAGGTGTGTCGTCTGCTTTTGGCTCAATAGGTGGCGGTGATACTGTTGGCATGGCGACCATTGCTTCAGTCATGTCATCCTCATGTAGGCTTGTGTGGGGTAGATTCAGAACGCTTCTGCAAGAAATAATATGAGGCATATACACAGTTTTGTATCAAGAGAGGATAAAAACTCCCATAAAGTTATAAATGAAATAAGCCAAAAAATGAAAAACTAGGGGCTCAAAATGGGGAGGGACTCTCAGACCCAACAGTACATGTTAGTAAAAATGTAAATATATACAGCATCCAACAAAGCATCTCACTTGTTACACTTAGAATGATGAATCAGTCTCTAATGTTGAGTAGATTCTAGCTTGGCGAATACCAAACTACACCAGTACAGTAAAACCTGTCTTAATGAACACCTCTCTCTAGTGAACACCTGTTTCTAGTGGACACCATTCCTCGACTTCTGTAGGAATTACACTCTCTGTAATGAACACCTACCAACACCGAACCGTTTTTGCTCGGTAAGAAATGTTCAATATACACAGGTTCTACTGTATTTATCAAGAGCAGAAACAGAAAACAATGTGCGTTACTATTGCGATTTCTGAACCATACTTCTGTATGTTTATTATTGATTGTGTCCGTTCGTGAAATACTAGTTTAGTAACAATCGCAGATTAATTATAATTGTTTTATTTAGCCTCCGACTTTTTGTGAATACCGTCCAATGTTGGCGTCGTCGTAACAATTGTCGGAACAAATGTAACACTTTTGAAACCATTAAAAAGTAATACTCAATTTCTTTTACCCAAGAACAGGTAAAATTTAATTCAAGGAGTAATGAAGTTTCGGTTAGATTGACTTGAAATTCATATAATGATGAGTACAATACCTACTACAGGGTGGTCAAAAAAAATGGAAACGCTGTATTTTCCTTATATCTTTGTCAATTTAAGAAATTACTCCTTGATATTTCACACATTTGTACATCATTCAATTTCCTACCACCCTACCATATTTCATGACCATCAGACTGATAGTCACACTTTTACAGCACTTTGAATAACATGCTTCAGATTTGACCATTATCGCGCTGTAGGCAAAACAGCACAGTTGTCAATGAGCTGAATGCATTCCTCAGCAGGTATGGCCTGAATGAAACAGATGATCTCACTTTTGAGGTTCGCAATTGTCCTGAGGTCATTTTCATATACTCTATCTCTGCCATATCCCCACAGGTAGGGACATTTTAGACGATGAGTACAGGTTTCCCCACAACGCAATAGTGGCCACTGGGCATTTTCTTTAAAGTACTGTCACATTGTGACTATCAATCTGATGGTCATAAAATAAGATAGGCTGGTAGCAAATCGAATGATGTACAAAAGTCTTAAATATCAGGGAGTTATTTTTTAAAATAACAAAGATATGAGGAAAATGGTAATAGGGTTTCCATTTTTTTGATCACCCTGGTATCTAGACAGGTTTAACAAGTTTGTTCATAGTTTGGGAAGTATCTGTTCCAATATGTATGGCAACGAATTATGGAACACAGAAGGCGTCACTATGCACCTATAGGCATATTATCGCCGTGTTTATAGACGTTTTCAGATTTAGGCAATATTGGTTACCATGGCAACGAATTAGACTTGCACTTAGATGATTTTTTAGTTTATAATAATGCATGCATCCAGGCGATGGCTTTTTTGTAAATGCCTTGTTTAAGTTCATTTTATTTGTATTATAATCCATAAAACAAAAGTGCATCTATCTAAGCATTTGCCAATTTACTTACACTCTGCGGTATATCAAGAAACCGCCTATGGCAACCATCGTTAAGACGGTTAGGCAAATTACGGTCAATCCAATGATAGCAGCAGCGCCCAGGTCATCAGAGGTGGCCCCTTTCAGTGCTGCCGTACGTAATCGTGGTACGTTGTTCGCACCTGGAGACAACGTTGTATGAACCACGTGCCATCCGGCGAGTAAGTATCTGTCTCTAGATCTGATTCTGTAGCGACGGTTGGGATGGTAACCATATGCGTGTGTGGTCGAAGGCCTCCAGGTTGGTCTAATGTGCTGCCATGTGTTTCGAGATGGACTGATTGAGACCATGGTCGCGTCGTAATTCGGTTGACTCTTGGTTGGATGCAGATGTCCAGACATAGATGCAGTTATTGTTGCTGGTCGTTCCGTAGAAGACGTTGATAAAGTTATTCTGACTCCTCTATGGTTCCATGTAAGCCATTTATTACGGCCGTGGGTACTCGGGCTGTTACTTGTCGAAGACGACGCTGGTACAGCTGGTGTATGGGCTGCGTGACTTAAAGAGACAACGTATATTACATGTATCAGTCCCGTTGCCATAAGAAATGTCATCATTTCATTTGTTGCCATAACAACCGATCTTTACATTACAGCATGCTGTTTTAACGTTGTTTCGATTATACCTGTTTTAATTATGATGAAGCAGCGCAAACGCATATTAAATTCTTATTTTAAGATTTCCTTTCAGGTTGAACTTCCTGATTAGTGGTGTATCCCGATTGAGGAACTTCACATTCACCTATATTCTCACTTTACTAACATCCAGTGCTTCACTTTGTGCTTTAACATCGTTCTTATCAAAGAATTTGTAAAGATACATCGTTTTCCATTAATTACCTCAAGTATACTTTTACAAGTTTGCGTTTGTTGATTTCAATACTCAATAGTGTTTATAGATAGACTCTCAACGGCCCTCTATCTGTTTAGTTTTAACTTATACTTATTAAAGGAAGATCTGAATCGAGCTCCACCAACATAATTTATTGAGCTCAACTAATGATAAATACGCGACAAAATGAAAATGTATTAATCAAGAATTGTTTTTACAAAATGGTATTTTTTTATTTTCAAATCACGAAAGAAACTAAACTAAACTATTAATATTACCGTATGCATTCGTTTGACTTGGGTTCTTAAAAGATAGCTTCGTTATTTACTTAGCTCTGCCCTCAGAGTAAACGCATATATAAAAGGTTTTACTAATATAAAGAAAGATGGCATTTAAATCGTATAAATTCTTATCTCTGTACTCAAAGGTTATAAATAAAGTTTATGAAAATATGCAATGAGATAAGTAACCTATCGTTGCCTCTCAAAAGTAATTAATGATATAGAAGGACAAAATCGTCAACAAAAAGATGTCGTTCAGAAAGATCTAGAAAAGTAGATTGCTGCTAAAACCCAGTAACTACAAGTACAGAGTGGTCTGGGTTGGACCATCTAGTACGTACAAGCGGTTTTGGGATTGATTGTGACTGACTGTGTACCTATAGTGTTTATTATTTGCCCCTTTTCAGTTTTGTTATTGCCGTTTACTGTGACTTTACCGTACACCTGTGGCTTTTCATTGTTAAATGTAGTTTATTGAAATCCAAGACCCCAAAATTAAAAAAATAAATTATCTTTAGTGGGTCCATTATCACATCCGGCGATCAGTTTTTCATCGATCTTGAAGATCATGTGGTTTATCTTCATCTTAGGTAAAACTAGTCATCTTCACTTTCATATCTACTTCGCCAGATAGGGTCACAGAGAGTGCAAGGAAGGGGCATTTTATCGGTGGACGGTGAAACATGTCAAACCAGTCTGCCCGGGTACGTTGGCTATGATCCCTTTGTGGCTCAGACTGATAATGGACTCATAGAGGGTACTAGTAACGCGATTAATCATCAAATTATTAATCTTTATGATTATACAAAACTTAAATTACTAAATTGTTTATATTTGAATAAATCTTTATATCTCTCAATCGAGCTAATTTATACATGAGAAAAAGCAGAATCAATATAGAAGTCGCATTACAATTTGTATCAAAGTTTGAGTACACTCAAAACAATAATTGATTTTAAAGAAAATTCAATATATGCATTTATGTGTTGAATGACAGAGGTTGGTAATAATGAAAGCCATCTGTACTCGGGGACGCAGCATTAGACCAGTCACCTCAACAAATTGAAAATCACAATAAATCGGATTACACTGAGAAAGAAGAAGTAAGAAGTGGTCACATTGTTATAGTCAAGAAACGATCATGTTATTGTACGTACTAATCCATTGACCTTGATAAGCTCTTTCTTGGCATTTGTGCTATACTTAGTAAATAATCCTTTTGTTAACTGTATTGGCAGGTACTTTGAAAGTGTACTGGAATGTTTGATATTCACCGGTATAAATATTATGTAGCTTGAAATGTATAGTTCAACTTGAGTCCAAGCCAATACTTAGCCCCTCCTCTCACTTGATTTTTAAATGGGCCTTTTGGATTACCGCCCATGGTTCCTGAATTTGGAGACCCAATTGCAACAATTCACAGCTTTCCAATATTTTATACTCAATCGATCAGGGGCGTATAGACAGTGTTCATTGACCCCGGGGGACTAATATACTTTTTCGGCAATCCGTTTATTTTAGCATAACAACCTATGTAGCCTAGTTACCAGCGTCCATCCTAAGACAGGCTATGTGATGTAGCTAAGTTGGCACCCAAGTCCTGGATCAACAGATCCCAGTTATGGTTATGTACAGAACATGCATTCGCACTGAGATGTGGCTGATATGGTCATGCGTTGGCCACTGATCAAAGTAATCAAATGGCCCAGCCCGACGATCAAAACAAGGTCTGACGTCAGTGGTCACATGCCATATTTTACAACAAGCTATCAAAGAGCGCAGACACGAACACGAAGAGGCGAAATAACTGACTACTGTTGAATGAATAAGCCAGGACTTTCAACTACAAAAGGTAAGATGCATTATTGAGGTATCCTAATTCAGTAATATCGGATTTAATTAGACTGTTATAGTTCAAAATCGTGTGTAATTCGAGTTTAAATAGAGGTATATTTCGTTAAAGTCTAGCAAGATGGCGGACATAATATGTGGCGAGCCCCTCGCTGTTAGCCAATCAGAGAAGAGCAATCGTAACACTCCCATCACTGTTATTTACATCTGTGTCAAATCGACCTTGGGTGGTTGATGCAATATCCCCTCCACATTTTAATTTAGCTTTTAGGGATATTACGTTAACGAGGGCACAGATGTTAGTTTCTTGTAATGTTTTGACACACAATATGTACAATTTTACATCATTAGCCTTTCAAATTCAATATTCTAGATAGGAATATTTGTTTTTCTGATATAGTTTACAAGCTAAACGTGATTATTGACTTGAGTATATTGACAACCGGGATTGACAATGGTTGTGGAGTGAACAATTTATTAAAATGCTGATTTATTAAAATGTTATCCTTTGTATGTAAGAATAAATAAAGACAACTACAATGATGAAATTGAAAGTTCAAAATCAGACTTCATAAGTTTTCAGACTTCATATTCTTGATTTTGATCTTCAAAATTTTGACTTAATTATCATTTTTGGTCCTCCTTGATATATTTTAATTGATGATTTTGGAAATTAGACCACTTCAGCTTCTTAAAGGTTAGAAAGGGGATTTTAATTTCATTTTTAGATTTAGAATCCTTAGAAAATTTGATGCTCATCTCAATTTGACATTGATTTGATACTCATATCATTGAATTTGGAAAACTTGTTTGTTGGCCTACTTTCTGGACGACATCTCAAAATTGAGTCTATATTAAAACTACAAAAATAAACCATAAGGATAATAATAAAAATACAAAAATAAATTATATTGATACAACTTAAAACACATCTTACTTTATTAAAATATGACTGTGTATGTGTCCTTTCAACTTAAACCCGATTGAACCAATGATCCAAATTGAATTAAAAAACTGTTTTGATTTAGTATACTACTGTCCATTAATTGAAATCACCCTCTTCAAAGTAGGGACTCAAATTACAAGAGCCGTAGCACTAATAACATTTACTTAGTTTTTCATTATATCATTTGAACTTGGTGGAAAGGGTATAAAGACCAGTGTTTATAGACTAATGACACACTTCAAGGGAAAATAATAGGTCTCTCTAGCACAAATAAGAATCTAAAGTGCATGTAAAAGTAATCTATATAATTTGCTTTCATCGTGAGTTTATTTTCGTTCTCATTTACAAAACAGGTAACTTGAAGGTCAGTAAGATCATTGGCGTTCAAGAAACTTTGGCATTTACTTCAAGCGCTTCTTTTAGCCCTGGCATTGAGATAATTCGCAGTATGGGAAACAGACCCAAGAAAACATGGCCAGTATAAAGATTTGCTCTTGTAAATGAGTGAAGGATGACTTTATGTGAGATATTTCTTGTGGCTGTTCCATAGAGTGTCACTGGTGTATCAATGGTAATACAACAAGTCAGGGTTAATTATTTACGCGAGTAGATTATTAAGGTTATTTGGTTTTAAAAATCATTTATCAAACATGAAAATTTTTATTTTTTGAAAATATAATTTTAAGGGTGGTTATATATGAATGTGATAAAGGTACTTCATTAAATGTAGAATTCTAGATATTACAATTTAAATTGTACCTACAATGAGACATACAAAAATAACCATTTCTCTTACAAATTAATTTTAGTTTTTTTTAAATCTTGATTTATCAACTCATAAACTAATTTATCTAAAAGCATGTGCCCAAATTCCCAGTATTATTAAAGTATTACCAAAGCAAAATTCTTTGAAATGAATGTTTTACCCCGATAACATAAAATTGGATTTCCTGTGATGTAAGATGCTGCCATTCACCAATAACGGCAGACATAAAAATGCTTCAGCTAATATTACAGCTTTCCACCTACGTAATTTTGATTTCATTACCATGGTTGTCATGGATGACATTTTACGAGTTCTAGAGTATCAGTTTTAGGCTTTTTGCCAACTTTTACTGTATGTTAATACTTGAATGGAATAATTGGAAGCAATTACTAAGAATCTATGGAAATGTAATAAAAAGAAGAATCTCAGAACTGATAACATTTATGTCAAAATACTTGGCTGTGATTCAAAGTTCGCTACTTGTAGATAAATCCATAGAGGCAAATTTTAGTTAACCATTTTTTTTGTTTCTTTGGATTATTTTACTCCTTGGGGTTGGCATTTTCTAGTCATCCTGCATGAACCTATTGTCCTTCTTTCATCAAATCAGATCTATGGGGTGAAAGGACTTTGCTATTGCAGTATGAGTGACAAAGTAAAGATAAAAGTAACATTATTCCCATAATTTAATATAGAAAATATGTTATACTCATAGAATTTTTTAAATGAACCTTTTATTCCTCATACAATGAACTAAAGCAAAATACAAGCACCACTTCCTGTGTATAAAAGTCAATGACTGCATTCAGACATTGAAATTGTTAAAATTGTTTTTCACAATCATAACAGACTTCACTCAAGATTACACTGTGCCACTTTACAAAGTAGACCATTGAAGGGGCATTCGTATTTTGAAAATGTTAAAACAAATTGTTTTTCATAACCATAACTGACTTTACCCATTATAACACTGTGCCACTTTACAAAGTAGATCATTAAAGGGGCATTCATACTTTGAAAATGTTAAAACAAATTGTTTTTCATAACCTAACTGACTTCACTCATGAATACACTTTGTCACTTTACAAAGTATATCATTAAAGGGGCATTCATACTTTGAAAATGTTAAAACAAAATGTTTTTCATAACCATAACTGACTTCACTCATGAATACACTTTGTCACTTTACAAAGTAGACCATTAAAGGGGCATTCATACTTTGAAATTATTAAAACAAATTGTTTTTCATAACCTAACTGACTTCTCTCATGATTACACTTTGCCACTTTACAAAGTGCACCATTAAAGGGGCATTCATACTTTAAAATTGTCAAAATAAATTGTTTTTCATAAGACTTCACTCATGATAACACTGTGCCACTTTACAAAGTAGACCATTAAAGGGGCATTCGTATTTTGAAAATGTTAAAACAAATTGTTTTTCATAACCATAACTGACTTTACCCATTATAACACTGTGCCACTTTACAAAGTAGATCATTAAAGGGGCATTCATACTTTGAAAATGTTAAAACAAATTGTTTTTCATAACCTAACTGACTTCACTCATGAATACACTTTGTCACTTTACAAAGTATATCATTAAAGGGGCATTCATACTTTGAAAATGTTAAAACAAAATGTTTTTCATAACCATAACTGACTTCACTCATGAATACACTTTGTCACTTTACAAAGTAGACCATTAAAGGGGCATTCATACTTTGAAATTATTAAAACAAATTGTTTTTCATAACCTAACTGACTTCTCTCATGATTACACTTTGCCACTTTACAAAGTGCACCATTAAAGGGGCATTCATACTTTAAAATTGTCAAAATAAATTGTTTTTCATAAGACTTCACTCATGATAACACTGTGCCACTTTACAAAGTAGACCATTAAAGGGGCATGCCATATTTGAGAAGAAAACATTTATAAAAAGTTATGACTATTTTACATACAATAGCTTTTATCATCATACATCCTCCCAACTCAGAGCTCCATACAGTACTGTATGTACTACATGTATATTCCTTCCTTCTTTGGAAATTTGGAGGGAAAAAAACTCAAAAGTATATGCATATTTCCACAACTATTGACAAGTGGTAACTGGCCATTCTAAAAACATCTAACCTTATATTTAGGGGTATTCTGAGTCTCATTCATTTTCGTTATGAAATTTATATTCAACGAAATATCAGGATGTTACTTTATTTTTTAAGGAAAAGTGTTTTATTCATTACAAGTTGTTCATTCATTGAGGAGAGAAGATCATTCATTAGAGATAGTTGTTATTCATAAAAGAAAAGTGATCTAAATTGCTCCTTGACAGCTACTATTGTTCGATATGTTCAATGAAACAGTCGAAATGTTGAGACATGCGCAGACCTCTATTTAGTGATATTTTCATTTCAAATATGGCGGCCAATCCGATGTCTGACGACCCTTACAAAGAATCTAGGCAGTTTGCATTTTTACCTCCTGTGAAATAACAAGTGGAATTTAGTAGTTGTTTTGTGTTTTATTATCATTCTGCATCGTAATTCTATGTGATGTGGTGTTGAAATGTCAGCAGAAATACATATCCATACGATAATCGAGTGAATCAGATAACAGATTTTTCGAAAACCCGTCTCGTGCTAAGAGTGTAAAAACTTGTATTAACATGCTCAATGTGCACATCAATGTCAAGCTAAATCAATGTTGTGTCTAAAACAGGTACCTGATCTACTCAAAACAGCTTGTCATTCAAGTATACACGCTTAGCAAACACGGCGAAATGACCTGAATCTTGGAATTTCGTTCGAGAGCTAGTAATGTTTGCTCCGGTCTTCGTCATAAGTGTTCGTCAGACTTCACGCATGCGCAGGAGAAAAACCATCAACCAATAAGGTTAATAAATCAATTTTGCGCATGCGCCCTACAACAGTAAAGAAATTCGTATTTATAAACGAACCAGTTTGAGATAACCCGATATCAGTCGGAGAAATCTGACGATCTACGAAACTCACTTCAAAAAATCAAATGCGGACTGACGGCGTATTCTACTATGTTTGGATCTAAGATTTTCAGTATACAGGGTGTCCCGAAAGTATGGGGCCCCCCCTAGGCAGACATATACCAGTGTCGTCATAGTATGTGTCATATACCATTTTAAAGCTTATTCAAAGTTACATTAATTCGCCAAGTATCATGGTTCAACTCTCAAATGTGAAAAAATTACAGGCATTTCAAAATTTAGTGTTTGGTCAAAATTAAGTTCAATTTTACACCAAATCACTAGTCAATATGTCCTCCCGGGCCATCTTAACAGCAGCAATTCTTTTCGGGTCGGAGGGATATTGAGTTGGAAAAAGAGAACGGTGAGGGTAGAAACTCTAAGGAAACTCTTCTTAAGTCCCTTAACTGGTTTTAAAAGGGTTATAAAATTCCACACCCCTATTTGAAGGGCTTTTAAGGTCATATCTGAAAATAATTGCTGCTGTTAACATGGCCAAGGGGGGACACATTGACTAGTAATGTGGTGTAAAATTGAACTTTATTTTGACAAAACACTAACTTTTAAAATAACTTTTTCCCATTTGGGAGTTAAACCATGATACTTGGCAAATCAATGTAACTTTGGATAAGCTTTAAAATGATATATGACACATACTATAAGGACACTGGAATATGTCTGCCTAGGGGGGGGGGCCCATACTTTCGGGACACCCTGTAGATAAAGTCTTTTATGATCTTTCGAATGAGGTAAGTCTCTAGTTCGAAAGACAATCGTATCAACTTGAACAAAAGTTGAGTTTTGACGAAAAATTTTAACATGCGCAGAAGTCCCATTTTCGTTGTACCATATTGACTGGAAATAAATTAATATGACCCCTTTTACAGACTGATTCAGTCAAACTGCTTTGATATACATAAACTATAATATCTACTTATACATTCCTTTATGCCACAAGTGACTTTTTATACAAAATTTTTTTCAACAAAATTTCATCAGCAACTTGCACTAAAAAGTAATTTATCTTCAGCGTAATGTTTTAACATATGTAAAACAAGTTTAAAGCCCCTTTATAAAGTTTAATCCACTTTGGCTTGTAATTTGTAGTCTTACCCAATGTTATCAAAGTGCAATATGCGAATGCTCAAATATTGTGAATTTGTATTTGACTTACTTTTATAGACATCACACATATCAAGCAATAATTCGTGATATTAAGCGATAATTCACACCACAACTTTTATTTGAAAAATGACTGGAAATATTTGAGAAATGAAAAGCTGACAACGTTATTTCAAATTTTCAAAAATCTCTAAAAATAGTGAATGAATGATAAATACATATTTTCAAATTTTACATGGGGCCTTTAATTAAATGTCCAAGGATATTACTTATTAAAAGAGCAAATCTGAACATATACAACTTTTATTATACAGTTAAACTGGAAATGCTAAAAAACAACAAAAAACTAAATTGACTTCACATGGAATGTCAATGAATAACGAATAATGAATAAAATTGGAGTTACTTCAAATTAAATGACTTATTTCAAATTAAATGTGTCTAGGTGTCAAAACAAGGAATGAAAAATTGTTTATTCAATTGTTAATGGCATTGCACTTAAAAATGAACAATGGACATGGGTATTTTTGTCTCGTGCTACTGATTAGATGGTGGGTGGATCTTGCCATATTGATAGTAACATAGCGTTTAATTTATATTTTATATTTACAGCTACTTGGAATGACAAAATGGGACTTAGTGAGCTTAGTTCTGCTGGCCACCACCAGAGATCTCCACCTGTAGGAATCAGTTTCCAAGCGCCATCTTTCAACGCATCAAGAATGTCCTCTTTGGTGCAACTCGATAACACTGTTGATGATGGTCCAGTAGCTACTTTCCCAATCTCTAAAGAACTAGAACATCTTCAGACTTTACGTCAACTGAAGCAGCTGTCACAAGTGGGGGCGATTGGACAACTGAATAGTTTTAACCAAGCTGAGTATTCGAACATGTCTCAATTGATATTTAACAATAATGATGTACTGAAGACTCCAAATTCACACATTCACGGTAATTTTGGTGTCAGTATGAGCGATGGAAATAACAGCCAATCACACCAGCTGAATACATTCACTTCTGCTATGAACAATTTCCATCGATTGGAACGCAATGACATAATGCCACAGAATGCTTCTGACTATGGTACAACTGGGCATGGGACTATAGCAGCCACATCTGAAACACTCAGTGACTCAGCTGTTTGTGAAATTCTACTTGATATCATGAGGGATGACACTGCCAATGGTATAAACCCAAACAATACGTTCAACGATACTATAAATACAACCCCACTAGGTCAAAGCCATCAAAATTCATTTACTTTTGATAGGTCATTTTTGCCGGATGAAAATGCGCAATATTGGGAGCCTGGGGTTACCGCAGCAACGACACTGAACAACTGGGATAACCAGGAAAACATGCTCCCTGTCATTGACACAAAAAGCAGCATTGGCTGGAATAATTGGAGCCCAAAAACTACAATCGACCATAAGCCGGACTTAATGGAAAACCCAACTATTATGAGCAACGCATGTACAATAACAACGCCCACTGTAAAAAGTGAAACAAAGCCCCCCTGTTCTTCCTTAGAAGCCCTCTTAAGAGCCAAACATCCCACAAATGCAACCCTACTGCAGCAATATTTATTGAATAGGTCAAGCCAAACAAACTCGTTGAAAGAGGCCCTAACCCAATCTTGTCCCACGTCACAAGGATCATTTCAGTCTCGAGAATCCTCACAACCATCTTCCCAGACAGAAATACTGTCACAGTCACAAGCAGCAGCTTTTCAGCCCATAGTGACCACTCAATCAGAAAACTCTAATTTGAAGTTCAAAACCAGTTCAACCAATGACACATGTACCACTTCAAGTCCTTACATACAGCCAGAGATGACACAAACCGGTTTAAACCAGCCTAACATGACCCAAACTGGTTTAAACCAGCCTATACTAGTCCAGTCTAGTGTAACTCCCTCAACTTTGAGTCAAACCATTTCGAACAATGAACCTAGTTATCAACCGAGCACAAATCAACCCTTACTAGCCCAAAACAGTATAAACCAGTCAAGTGTTGTTCAAACTAGTTTGGTGCAAGCAGACAGTGGTTTGGAGAGCTCATTAGGGTTGTCAGAAGCTAGCGATCCCATTTCAAAACTCCCAACTATGATGGAACTGTTCAGCACTCTCCCAACGAAAAATAGTACATCGTGGCCCTTTGGAAACACTTCAGACACAAGTGCCACCTATTTGGACAAATTGAATAATGGACAGAGTTTGTCTGAGCCACCGTCGCGCTCAACATCCCCTATTGATGGATTTGGTAGTAATCAAGAAGCGTTTGCAACCACGTTGGAATCAATCCTGAACAGTCTAAATGCAGGAGACATTAAAAACAATGATTCTAACATGTCCAATGGTGCTTCTAGACCAAATCTACTCAAAAGAGGGAGAGAGGATGATTCATTTGAAGACCTTCTTTCTAATCTTGATGAGCCACATCATAAAAAACTGGCTCGCAGTCTCAGTGTCAATGACATTAACGATGCAGAGATTCATATAAAACAAGAAGTTGAATCAAATGATGACATCATCGAAATGAAGCCAGAAATTAATCTTGATGATTTCCCAGAAGAAACTGAACTGAATAATCAGTGTGGGGTGGGAAAGGATGAGATTCAATTCATTAAAACTGAAAAAGATACCAAGGACCTCAAAACTGGAATGTTGCCTGTGAAAACTGAACATGATCATCAGCTGTACAACAATATGTGTATACCCTATATCAAGCAAGAGCCACTCTATATCAAGCAAGAGCCACTCTCTTCAGTTCAATTGATAAACAAACCAGTTGCCATGACAACCAACACAGTTAACATAGTTACCACATCTTCACAATGTAAAACAATTAAATTGGAACCCTTAACCCGTACCTCCCCGGTGAATAAACAAGCAATACCCGTGACATCCATTGCAGCCAAGAACACAATTAAGAACTTGCCATCGATAATATCCCAAGTTGGGAATGTAGCCCAAACTCTCCCAGCGGTAACCCTTCCAAATGCAACAAATCTCGTACAAATAATCGTCATTAACACATCAGATATGAAACGGGATGGCAAGTCACTGACGAAGATTGCCCCGGCGCCAGATGGTCCAAGGACAATGACTGATATCCATCAAGAAGACCAGAAACGTTGGAGAAAGTACCCCTGCCCAAAATGTGACAAGAGCTACCTGAAGAGTTGCCACCTTAAAGCACATTTGAGGATACACACAGGTAACTATTCTCTTGTGTTATATCAAACACACATCATCATTTCAATCAATGTTACCTAAAAAAGAAAAAAGCTGCTAAGGGATGTTGTCCAAATAGCAAAATGTAGGTAATGGCATGAAATGCTGATTTTTGACAAAATCAAAAAAAAATTAACATCTCATTATGGGGGGGGGGGCATTTAACATATAATTGATAGTTGGACACATTCCTTACTTTTCAAGTAATTAATGTAATATAGAAGCCAATAAACCATACAAACGAATAATAACAATGATAAAAGTTAAAATTTTTGAGTCCATCGCTTGCATTCACTCAAAAAGCAAGGCACAAGAGTTCAAGGAATATACAATGGTAAATACAAAAAAGTAAGACAGGAATAACAGTAATTAAATAATACTTAACTTTGCAGGAGAGAAGCCATACGTTTGCACCTGGGGTGAAGGTTGCGACAAAAAATTCGCTCGTTCTGATGAACTGTCACGTCACGTCAGGAAACATACTGGCGAAAGGAACTTTTGTTGCGTGCACTGCGGTCGAACATTTCAACGTAGCGATCATCTTTCAAAACACAAACTTCGTCGCCATAACAATGATGTTAAAAAACAACCCGTTCCTTGATGAAGATGAGGGATAGTGCATTATGGGTAGATAAAAGTATTTCTGAAATGCAATAATTGTAAATATTAATAATCATGTACATCAAGATTATAACCGTGTAATGCTTAAATGTATGATAATACTTATTTACGAGTAAGGAGTAAGGCCCCTACAATAAATGTTTGGATATATAACGGTGTCAAGTTGATTATATCAAAATCTCCTTGATCAACTCTTTCTTTTTTCGGAAAAATGTTTCCATTTTTTCTCATTCTGACAGATATTTTAGAAATTTTGATCAAAGAAAGTCATTTAAAAAATGATCATGTTATACTATTTCTTACTGAAAAGATATTTAATTTGTTTAAAATTTTTGCTGAAATAATTCTCAATGTTCCATCTGACCTAGATATGATACTATAGCAATGAGATTCAACTTTGGCCATAGTATGAAAATGGTGAAAATGTCACATGCCAAATTCATTTATCTGCAATACTGTCGACAGCTAGTCTTAAACTTGTAATAAAAAATGTAGGCTAGTAGGTGAATCAATATGTAACTAAGAAATATTTATCATAGTGACATAGATATACAGTAAAACCTGTCTAATCCGATTGCCACTGGGAACTATCAAAAGTGTTCTGAATAGCAAGTGTTCACATTTCAAGGTTTCTTAATATGTGAGCCAATTGGATGTAGCAAAACTGGGACTTAAAAAAGTGTTCCCATTGAGAAGTGTTAATGAATTAGAGAGGTGTTCTGATATGCAGCTTTTAAAAAATCCTAGCTCACTCAAACATAACCAAACCCGTCTGGCCCAGATATCTACTCCCGAAGTCTACGACGTCAGGAGTAGATAACTGGGCCAGACAGGTTTGGTTAACTCAAACAAAGATTTTACACAATCTTATCAATGAGCACCATGCCTAGTGTAAACTAATACGTCAGTAGTCTGGTAGTGTCACCTCTATAATAATTCAAAGAGGACTGACTCAATGGATGTGTATGGTAGGATGAAAATGAATACAGTGAAACCAGTAAAGTGGAACTCTTCAGAATCCCAAGATCAACTGACTTAATGTTAAATGAATCTCTCTAAGTGGAACACCTCCCAAGTGGAACACATTTTAGAGTCCCAAGATCAACTGACTTAATGTTAAATGAATCTCTCTAAGTGGAACACCTCCCAGGTTGAACACATTTTAGAGTCCCAAGATCAACTGACTTAATGTTAAATGAATCTCTCTAAGTGGAACACCTCCCAAGTGGAACACATTTTAGAGGTACCAATGGTATTCCACTTAGACAGGTTTTACTGTAGTGTTCTTGTCATCCGGTACTGTTAGATTGCTTGAGGGGTTTTTATCATGAAGTAAAACACAAATGTTTGCTCAAAAAATGTGAAATTATACTAAAATATCCAACTTTGTGATAACATTACATTCATTTGTAGTTGTTGTAAAATTGATTTACAAATGCAACAAACTATCATACCGTATTTTATCTTATATTAGGTATTACCAAAAAAAAATTGTAGATAAGAATGTAATTCATGATCAAGGTTAGCTATAAATACTATGGTATCTTTCGAGTGTTACCTTAAGTATTTCCTTTTTACAGTGCAGATGTACTCAACTAAATTCAAAACACTAAAAGTCAAAAATGCAAAATTTTTGTAGGAATATGAATGTATGATCAGTATTTTTTATTGCAATGTGGTACATTTGGTTGCTTATTTTTAAAAATTTCATTGACTCACAAATAGTGATTTTGTCTGAATTTGCAAGATTTTTATTGTAACTTTCTCAAGGTTGATGACCGACGAGCCCGTCATTCAGAGGTTACACATGTTTTGGCATACTTTCAATATAGGTTCACTCCATATATGGTATTAATAAACACACGTCACTCTGATATTTTGTGAAGTGAATAGTGTCTTTTCATATTAAGCTAAAATATGATGATGATTGATGACAGGTTTAGTTAACATTTAAACCAAAAACATGTCTATATATCAGTATATTGACATAAAATTAACAAGATATAAAAAGATGGACATGTGCAAGCCTATTTATCTTTTTTTAAGTAAAACAAGAGTATCCCCATGTAAAACTTGTAAATATCATATTTGTAAATATTATATATACATATATTGCTGTGGTGTTACATAGGCATATTATACTATTGTTATTGTTTCACATTGAAATTGTTATTATACATATCTGGGTCCAGTTGTTCAAAATAAAGTACATTTTAAGCAACTGGCCCCAATATTGTATTAAATTGTACGACTGATTGTACAATACCATTACCCTAGTTGTACTATAAATGACTTATAAAATGCTATACATATACTGCTAATGCTTATACGTCTATGTATATAAGAAGATCGAAGGGGTTTTCAGTATTGAAATATGACAAATGTCTCCGATTCAAATTAAAATGTACAAACTATTAACAGTTGCATTAGCTTATATGATTATTGTAAGAAAAAATGGTTATCTCGTAGATTTAGATAATCTCCCATACATTTAGTGTTACTCTCTCTGGCATTTTGTTTCTCAATAACAAGTCTGGGAAACAGAATGGTCAGTGGGGGGGGGGGGGGGGGTTAAGTTTCAAGTTTATAAATTTAACTAAAATCTGCTTTATACATTCCTGTATTCACGATGTATTATTTGTTTCAAGTAGAATCTGAACAATCATGAATGAGTGTTAAAAAAGTTTAGTCATCAATGCCTTCTTGAACATTTACATGTGTATTGCCTAGAGGTCAAAGCAAAACATATTTATCAAGGCAGTTTGTACTGTCACTAATGTTAAGCTGGTAGAACGTGCTATTACCGTATTCTCTCTAAAGAGCGCACATGGAGCTTTTATGTTGAATATGGTCTCAGGAAAACATTAAGGCCAAACAAAAATATATGTCTGTTTCCTGCTCCATGTATTTTCAGATTAGGGTAGGTAGGTAGGAGGATTATTTTATTTTTCATTAAAATTTTACTCAATTTTTTTTAGGGTAGGTCAGTCAGAAAAATATTTTATCTTATGTTTTTTGTCATCTCTTCATTTTGTCATTTGCTCTTAACTGCCATGAGACCTTAATTCATCATGCAGTCTATAATCATTTGATCCATACTTACTTAAAACCTTCAGATATACTAAATAAACAACTTGGTCAGGGTTCGAACTTAACTTTCTCGCCTGGTATTGAAAATTGTTACGTGAGATTTTTTCTAGGTAACTAAATACCAAAGCAAGGTAGTTGTTATTATCGCTTGAAATTGTTATTATCGCGGCACTAGGCCTATATAATAATAAACAAGTCTATTGATCTGTTGATCTATTATCAATTTTATTCCATCATAACATTCGAAACTTCTGGATAAAGGCCTTCATGGACATCAAATATCAGTATATTTAGCACTGGATCAGCAGAGGTTACAAAGTTGTCATCATATTAATATATGCCCCAAAAATATAATTTTTCTGACTCAAAAATAAACAGAATCAGCTTTAGAAGACCTGAGAAGAATATTTTTAATTCAAACAATTCAGAGAAAACTTGTCTCTGTGAGAACATAACATTTTCATCTGGTACATTGGAATTCCCTCTCCCAGAGTATCATTGATGCCACATCAGTTTCCCACTTCAAAACCCTCCTGGACAAGGCATGGTACTCAGATCTTTACAAATAGCCACTAGTGAGCAATAATCAGTTCCCTACCCTAAATTCAGTTTTAATTTTAATAGATCAGATGGGAGAACATTACAGGGTATAAAGCCTCCACCCCTCCTAAACTTGATGATGACGATGAGTCATGTGATCAGATCAAACTATATTAGACCAATCATGTTGTAAAAACATTCAAATTCAAATTTCCCACTAATAAACATTCCTAAGTGAAAGGTCAGGCTGATTTATGCAAATAGCTGTTGTGTTTTCGGGTTTCCCTCCCCAAGATTTTATTTTTCTTATTTCAAATCTGCATGGTAAAATGGGAATTGCAAATTTTATTGAAGGGGGTGAAACCCGAAACCAATTTAGTACTTAGTGTTATAGATGTCTCCCTAGCAATTGCTAGACCCCTCTGGGAGTTGATTGCGGGCCTCTATTTTGAAGAGCAAAAATGGCGAACTTTTCAAGAAAATAAACAATATTTCCTGTGTTTCAAGTGTTTTGGGGGCCCTAACGATAATATTACTGCAAATGTTCCAGAGTATGAGGAATATGGACACCTGGGCCTGATGTGAGTAAACATTTCAGAAGGAAATGTATCGTTTCAATCGAGTAGGGCCAGAGATAGAATATTTTATTTTTCAGTGTACTTAAAAATGTCTTAGGGTCGGGGGTTCAAACTAGGGTCGGTCGGGGTTCCGGAAACGGACATATATTTTTGTTTGGCCTAAGTTTAATGTATAAGTTTCACATTATTATTTCCACAACAAGATATTGATTGACGATTACATATAATGCAGAGAAAGAAATCTAGAAGCAGTGTAGAGTATGTAAACCTCAGTGATAACAACTAAACAGATTAATGGATTAAATTAAAAAAAAATTTGTATGTGCGCTGATTGGAATCTCTCAATATCTTACCCTTTTAAATTTCAATTTCGAAACTGCACTGTGCACTTACTAAAGAGTATACGGTATTTGTGAATCCGAAAAGGTTTTATATTTTATTATTAAGGAGGAATTCACATTATGTGATTTTAGGTTAGAGATACCACTGCAGTTTTCATCATGTTAGATCATGACCTAAATATTTAGGAGCTCAAGCTAGCTGGGTGCCAACCAAATTAGCAACTCTTAAATTAGTTGTTCTTAATTAATAAACATCTGTATCAATTATACATTATTTAATACAAGGGGGTTATTGTATAAAGTTGTTTATATGGAAGGGTATTAATATATCACTGAAATGTAAGGGAGATAAAACAAGGAAGGTTAGCTCCCATGATTCAATTCCCACACAATATCTAATCAGAGGAGTCCAGGTGGAGTTTCTGTCACTATAAATATATCAATATAATTTGAATCTTGTGATCATTCCAATGGTATTTAAATTAATTAATTAATTAATTATACAAAAACCAAGAAATCTGAATCAAGAAATGCAAATGTTGTCTTTGTTTACCGATTCACAATATTTTGTATGGTAGAAATATGTGTAATTATGGTAAAAATTTGAAAATATGGTGGAAATATATAAAACAATATGGTAGAAATATTCCTTGTCTCATAGAGCTTAAAACAAGTATTATTTATTGTTTAACATTATTGTTAAAAGATGGTTGATTTCATTTCAACAATTTTATTTGGATGAGAAAAGACATAAAATTCAAGTAATTTCACATAAATAGTACAATGCATAAAAATACAGTGGAAAAGTAATGAATATTTTACAACTTTACAAGTTCATAAGATGGAAGAAAGCCATAGTTCAAAGCTGACTTCATAATTACAGTCTCCTTCTTTTAAATGACAATCTATATCTTTTATATGACATATACTAGGATGAAATATGAGTTCATACGCTTGTGTCTTTTTGCTCCGATTATTTTCAAAAGATTCAAGGGCTGAAGTATAAATATTTATTTCAGGTTCAAGACTTTTCCACTGTATGTTTTTGTAACATGCAAAAAGTTCCCATTGACAATCAACGGATAAAAATTCGTTTTCATAAAGAGCTGTGTCCCACTCATGAATTGAGTAGGGTAGGGTTATTCTCTAAATTGAGCACATTATACTGTACTTGCATTTCGTTCTAGGACAACAAAAGCTAGTCTCTGATTCTGTGACAATTTAGTAAAACACTCTGTTGCTGAATCAAGTAGAGCTAGCATCAGATTCAGAATCAGATTGCTGATTGATAAAGCCAGATTTTGAACCTATAGATTTCACACTGACAACTCTGTCTATCTTCAATAACTGCTGTACACTTGTTAAAATATTATTCAATAAATGTATTTTACTATAAAGAGATTCCTTGACTTGTGTGTTGTTTTCAGACACTTGTTTAATTTCACCAGTTTTTCCATCCAAGTATATTAGATCATTGCTCCTCATGGACCCCATCACTAAATGCTGCAACTTGATAAAATTATTCCTTGTATCTTTAACTGAGTAGCTATTCCTATGCAATAGCCTCGGTGTACAGAGCAATCCTTCAGCAATAATCTGACAAGCGGTTTTAAGATAACAGTCTCCATCATTTGAACTTATATGAGCAATATAATCCATGAGATGATAATGAACCAGAAACTCAAATGCTCCACCTCCTGGGAGACTATACACTTTGAGCAATTCCTCAAACTGTGGTTGAGAATTTTCCGAGAAGTATACAGCCTCATTCTGGGTTGAACTACAGTCTGTATTTGCAGATGAAAACACAGTTTCCCGACTGACAGTGTTTTTGAGATCATGCTTTGGGTTAGGGTTATTTATTGTTGTCTGGCACTCAGGAGTTGGTAAGTGTTTATCGAACAAATCTTGACATTCACCAGGATTTCTCGAATACTGACTAAAGTTTTTTTGATTATTACCAAGATCTGTTTCAGAGTGATCAATATTTTGTAACCACATCTGTATAGTTTTTACTCCCCCAGCCGCAATTGTAGAATACTGTTTGGAAAGTCCCTTGGTAGGTCCATATAACACTAGGGTGTGTGGCTGGAATCTGCTGGAATGTTGAAAGAATGGCACTAAGTTTACATACTGTTTACCACCGATTGTCAACATCTTAATAGTTTGGGCAATACCAATGAATTTAATATGTTCACGTGCTGTATGTTCATTCAAAGAGTTTTCTTTGGCTTGATGTGACTCATTAGTTTTGTCTATTGTCTCATCAAGTATGTCTCTAAAGTCGTTTATGGCAGAAATGCCAGTGGCAGTAGTAATAAAGTCTAAATCTTCCTTTTGAAGATACTGAACCACAGCTATTCCACGATCATTACACAGCTGTTTCATAGTATCACACACTTTCCCTGTGTACAGTAGAACATCAATATTTTTCTGCTGCAACTTGAACAAAACTTTTTCCATCAATCGCTTCTTCCATGAGTAAGCCATTGTGAGATTTAACTCACTGTTGATTTGAAAGATGGCACTAGTAGTATCAGTTGAATTCCCAATGTTGAAATCACAATCCAATATCACATATGAAATATTCTTGATTTTCATTGGCAATGTTGTAACAAAATTCCTATCAATAAGGATACCTGGAATGATTATTGAGTCCAACACATGTCCACCTGGTTCATCTATACAGAAATAACTGAAATGATCTGAAAGTTTTTCCAAAGTTTCCTTCAAGTTTTCAACACTGGGAGAGCTGTTAAAAATCCAATCTGCTGTCAGATCAGTCAGTTCTGATGCTTTCACTCTAGATTCCTTGGAACTGATGCCAGTATGTACTAAGCACTTAGCTTCCGCAATGATAACATCTTTTTTATTTGTCTCAATTTCTAACTTTGTGGCATGGAATAAGATTTTCGGTATTATGCGATTTGGAATAATATCATATTGAATATGATGTAATGCAACTGCGAGTTTGATCCTAGTTTCATTACAGTGAATATCTGATGTATCTACGGTGAGTTCAGATTTCTCTATTCTCTGGAGCATATCACGAAGTGTAAGAATAAATGTCTTGGAGCCTTCGCCCGTGAAGCCATGGTGTGATGTCACAGATGCCAGGATGAAGCGTAAGATTGGGTGAGAGGGATGTATAGATCTTAATATTGTCATTCCATCACTTGTAACCAGCAGCTGACCTGGAAGTATGAACGATTCAATTTAATGAATTGATAAAATGTAAATTGTTGAATGTATGTATTGTATATTTATTTTTTCAAACATAGAATTTTGGCTCCAATCAGCACACACATGATTTTCATATTCTGATATCCATCATGTAGTCTATAAATAATATAAATTGTCATGCATGGTTCAGTGTGGAAGAGATCATAAGAGAAAACCTGGGCACAGGTGGACAATGTGACACCCAAAATATAGCACAAAATATATGCTTTTTGAGTAAATCAGTTCACTTCATATAAGATATGTCTAAAAGAAAAGGCTTGAATAATCTGTCATTGTTGGCAAAATTATTCCAAAAATTGAGGTATTATTTTGGACCACCCTTTACCATAACGATGATCCAAAGAACGATATTGACTGAGCACATCATGTATTTACACACTTATTTGATTAAGAAATTGGTCAAAAAATCCTCAAATTTCCAAACTGGGTTCAAGTCAATTTTAACTGGATAAAAGAAAAGTTATTCCAACATAAAGCAAAACTAAGTTTTATTTTTTACCTGTTTGTGTGCAGATCATCACTTGGAGGGCATTTGGGCCAAAACTTTTCTCCAAAAGCTGACATACTTCTTCAAGCACTCCACAACAGCTACTGATTGTCACTGACATTCCCTTAATCAATCAGGGGATACGACCAAATGGTTGTTATATTGAACTGATTTTTCATATATCATTCATAGCCTATTTGGATTGCTGTTGATGCAGGAGTTCCATACAGCCTGAAAGCAACACAAAACAATGCATTCTTTAATGATAAAACCATGAAAGCTCTTGATAAAACATATAACAACAAAATGGGAGGAAATTCAGAATATTAATGGCTTTTTTTGCCACAAGAAGTACTTTTTCATTTTCACTCATCTTTGGTACTCTTAATTTAAATGTCATATACTCATACATCAAGGTTACATAAATGACATATATATCATGGGTCATGTGGATGATTTTATGAAAAATACATCCCTGGTGACTAAGAAAATTTCACTCTGGATGTTGCTGGAGACTATCAAATAGATATCATGGGGAAAAGCTGGATATTAAAGAGTTTAACTTTGTCCATTGTCGAATAATCTATTAAAACTTTGGGAGCTTTCAAACACTCCAAAGAATCATCCTAGTTTTCAACAATTCACCTCAGATAACATTTACAGAATGACATTCAATCACATATGTATTGATTGTCTGCTCTCAAATTCAATATGGAGCAGTTTTGAAGAATGTAACATCATGAGACAATGTAATCAACTAAACTTATAAGGCATGTAATATGGCAAGGTAAGCTTGACACCGCTGCCATCTTTTTCTGAGAAAGCAACTCATAAGCACTTTTTAGTGGAGAAGTATCTTTCAGATGTATTATCAAAAATACATTTTTTTATGTTATGAACTAGACTAACTGTATGTATATTCATCATTCTTTCTCTGGAAACAACCCATTCCTCTTGGAATAACAACACATTTCTATTTACTCAAACAGAAGGTGAGAACAGAATTTCCTCACTTTTGAGGATTTTTGTTACTATTATCGAGTAGTCCAACATTGCATGGCATCATGCATAAACTGTATGAGAGTAATTTGTAGCATTTGAACATTTTGAGATATACTATTTTTTCAATGACTAAAATATTTTTCAGTTTCTGTCCGACGGTCGAAAAATCAATTTTTAGACAAAGTTCAAATCCCTCAATCGAATCATTTGGTCTACTTACTCATATTTACATGACTTATTTTTTTAGGTCAAATGTGTGCCTAGTCAGTAGGCAGATTCTCGAAATATGATCCAAATTCCAAATGCAGTAAGAAACTCAGTCATTTTCTTGAGAAAAGTTTCTTCTCACCCTCAGTTCAAGTGACGTCAGATTCCAAGAATTTGCTAGATTTCCATGAATTGTTAATTCAATTGTTAATAACGATTTTTATGTTTCTCGAAAGTTAACGATTCATGATGACGTCATGATTTTTAACGATTCGTTATCCATGATTGATTATACGAGTACAAATGGGGGTCTCGTTATTCCATTAATGATGCGGTGTCCATAGAAATAAATCCACGATTTGCTATTAACGATACGTTTCAAGAAGCAGCCTCCAGATTCAAATGTGATAATCCACTTTACTATTCTAAGCATATGTAATTTCACATATTGTAATAAATATAATTAACAATCTCAAGTATGATGGTCAAGTTTACAAAATATAATGACTTGTCATGTCATGTAATTTCTTGTGAATCACCCACCATTTTGAAATTTAGAGGTAAGAAGAAGAAAATGTAATTAGACATAATTCTACTCAGCTCTCTGACGAAAGGTATGAGGTGTAGATAAGTCATCGGTCAAATTTATTATAAATGGGGGAAAAACTTAAGAATAAGGTCAAATGAGCTGAAAAATATTTTAAGAAGAAAGACATGTACCGACCCTTCTGCACATCTGTCAGGGAGCTGTAGTGTAACAAGCCAGTAACCAGACTTGAAAGGGAGTGTGCTAAATTCAATGACCAGTGGCGGGTATCGAATCCAGGAACTTCCAATCGCAAAGGCAGACACTCTGCCCCTGAGTCATAAGGGCAGACAGATGAACATGGAGTTAATTTGGTGTAGCGGGACGTATTCTTTGGGTTGAGCATGGGGATATGATATTGTAAGTTGTATTTATCTTAGATAATTTCGAGCACTTCCCAATTCAACGAGTTTGCTTCAAGGCGTTACATTTGGAAACAATATCCAAATTTAAAAAAAAGACAAATGTTAACAAATTGTGCAAGGCTAAAGCTGACTTGAATCTGTATATTCATTTGGGATATCAAAACTAAAAAATCATGGATTTGTAAATTATTTTCAATTTTTTGGGCGATAATAGGTATAAATACTAAAATGCAATTGTGTAAATTATTTTTTTCCATTTTTTCAAAGATCCTATCATTTGAAATGTGTATATCTTACCTATTCATGTTTTCCCCGGTTCCAACTCCAACAATAATCGATGAGTATATGCGTTTTATAGGAAAATTTACTTTGGAATTTTCGCGGGGCCGAAATATTAATCCGCATATTTTGGAATTATTTCTTCTAAAAGTACGATATTGGGTTTTGATAGGATAAACAAATCAAACATTATTTGAATAATTACTGAAATGACCATCAGAAATTGTCAAAACTATCCGAAACTGTTACCAAAAGAACGATCTACTTTCGCCCATGTGCTTCCGTTTCGACCTACTTTCTCACTTCCGTAAACAAAAACTTCAAAATCTTTTGAAAATTGATTATCTCTTTAGGCGAAATCTGTAATATGAGCGAAGATATAGCGATACACAATTTTACAGGGCGGTGCATGGAAACGCAGGTCCATTTCCACGTTATGAAAATGAAAGACAGTTTTATGGTTTGGATAGGAGACTCACCGAAACTTGACAATTTCTCAATGGCAATGCAGACAAAGTTTGTAAGTAATTTGATTTGTAATTGTATTATTTTTTGTTACTTCATCAATTGTTACTTCAATTGTTACTTCATCAATTGTTTAGTTAATGTTTATAACCTGTTGACATTCAAAAATGTGACTCTGCGCTAAGGAGGGGTTGTGTTTGTGGGTTCTGCACATTATCTCGAAACACAGGTAGACTGTATCCTTCGTGTAAATAAATTCAGACCGAATATTATATTCGGTCTGTTGGATACATGTACATAATAGAAACACAGGCCCAGAAACAAGAGTTAACTCCCACTCACTACTGATACAGTATACAGTGAGTGGGGGGTGAACTCTTGCTCCTGGGCCTGTGAGTGTATTAATGTCATTGGGCAATTAAACGAACATCTAAGGCCATTGGTAGGCACCAATGGACATCTGATTTAGCAACACGCCAATGGTTTGATTTTGGATCCGCCATAACTTACAATTGCTCGTAAGACATTTTTCATCCTAGGCACAGGTTTTCTCGGAATTGTAAGTGATGATCATACCAAAAACGAACCCCAGGGTCATTGCAGTATCATTTTCATATATTCCAGGAGAAATCCCCAATAACAACGAGTGTGATGGGAGACAGCAGTGATCCTACCTCAGAAGCCATAGCACAGAAATTAGGCATGTAAAACTTCATTCATTCTTTCCGGCTGTCAAATTAAGGAATTTACAGTATATAGCATTGATATACATTGCACACATATATAATATGTACACACTATTTTTGGCAATACATTAATCTACAAAAAAACAAAGAGCAGCACTCTCCACAAATTTTGTATGATCTTGATTTAAGGGAAACTAAGGCCAAATATTTTTTGTGCTGTTATATCTTATTTCCACTTATTGCCAACGTTTAGGCCAATTTTGATCCAATACTTAGGACAGTGACCAAATTTAGTCAAATCGCCACTCACACAGCTTACTTTGACTTTATAGACATATAAGAAAAAATGCAAGATACAACATAGAATGGATAGTCAAAATTAAAAGTTTATCTCATTTTTATCTACATTTTCAGCCAAGAGAAGCCATAAACAGACATTTGTCAGCTATAACCTATCAACAGAGGCTGCATTAGTTCCCCTTGTAGAGCAGAGACTATTTGAGGAAATGAAGATTCACCCGGAGTACTTCTGACAAAATCATATGAACATGATAGGCTATGAGCATTATGTATTTGAACTGTGTAATAGGATTTTATAAATGTACAGGCACATCGTAAATAGTCTGTTACTGAACAATGACATAAGAATTTGAAGTATAAACTCTATGCAGATTGACAACCAGTCTGAGCTGGTGTGTTTGCACCAAGGACTTGATGTAAGATATTTAATGACAATTGGTCACTTCGATATAACTTTAGTGTTATATCAAATAACAAATGATATACCATTGGAAAGAAGACTTTTATTGATATCTATAATGATATTTATTTACAAGACCATCCATACAGTTGGTGGAGATGTAGGCTGTACAAATGTCCCACATATCGCAACAAGCATCATAAGCCATTAATGAGATATAAAGCTACGGTCATCTGTATTTTTCAATTAAAGATCCTATTAGCATATTTCTCTTCAATAAAGTATTATAAATTACTCGAGTCAAACTTGAATGGCAGGCTCATATTTTAGAAACATTTTGAGCATAAATCATAATACAGATGTAAATGTACATGTACAATGAATTCTTATATATGATAGGTTAAGGGTGATTACTTTGATCATCTAGGTAAATGTGTAGGTCAAATGTTACAAGTACAAGATTGTACGTATATATAATATTAGAAAGTATTTGTCATTTGAAGCTATGGTCATTATTAGAGATAGTTGTCTTGTTAAGAACAAGCACAGCTTCTCAAGGTTTAGTTTGTGCAAAGCCCTACTTACGGAAGAAAGTGCTATATAAGAAAGTCATTGTCATACAGTCATTGTCTGATTGTTACAGATAGTTCTCTTGAAAATAAGTACAGCTTCTAAGTTTAGTTTATGCAAGTCCCTTCTTACGGAGGAACTCAGAATTACCATATTGTGAATCATCTGCAGCATTTCCATTTGCTCCAAGTTTTTCGTATGTGTTTGTTGCATTTGCAGGGTTTCCATTTTGTACAGGGTTCTCACATGCAGCATCAACGCTGGTCATATCTACTCCATCATTTTCAATGGTTTTGGCTAGCTGGTCTGCTTGTTTCTTTGGTCTCCTTCTCAGCATTATACACACTGTCACGATCACACCTATCGCAATAGCAAGTGCAATTCCCAATGCAATCATGGCCAATCTTAAAATATAATTTTCCTGTTCATATTGTTGCAACTTCTGTGACGATGTTGCACTTGTATCACTTGTGGCTATGGTTGAAGGTGCCTTGGATGTTTCAATAGGTGGCTCAAAGGTAGATGCCATTGTGGATAATGAGGGGGATGCTGAGTATGTGTCAGCCGTAGAGACCAAAGGTGTTGTAGAAGACACAGGTATATCTCTATTTGGATCATGTTGGAGTACATACACATCAAAACTACTTCCTGTGTATGTCCCTGTGGTAGTGTACTTTAACTCTAAGTCACCATTTGGGAGTCGATCGCAAAATCTGAGGTCGCATGTGACAGTTGTTGAGTAACTGTAATAGTTAATGACTGGAGCACCATGATCGCAAGCATACAACATGCACTGTCTCAAGTCTTTAGCTTCATGAATTATGATTGACCTGTCACAGCTAGACTTCAAGCACTGGCTTCTCAATTGTTTAATGACAAAGATTGATGAGTTACAATTTGGCGTACCTGGATATGGTGACATAAGCCATCTAGTGGAAGATTTAGTAACACACGCTCTGTTTCCTGCATATGTTGTGAGCCAAGCAGTTCCTTCATGATTCTGAGGGCAAGTATAAAGTGATTTTGTTGCATTGCTTGATGTTTGTTTTATCATGTTAGACCCAGTGGAGCAATAGTCAAGATCCTTATTTGAAGTCAAATCGATTTGTCCTCTAGAATAACATCCCTCTGGATGAGGTATTTCTGTTTCAAGCCAGTGTTCGCTATTGGGTCCAGATAACTTAGTGTGCTCCAAAGCATACACTGACACTGCTGTACTGGAAGCAAATAGGAAATTGTAATCCTTGGCTGAGCTTGTCCACTTACAGTGTTTGGTTTCACATCTCAAAGGTGTTTCATCTGGGTAAAAGTTAAAGACATTCGCTTTGTCCTCACATGCCAAAGTCATACATTCTCGTAAATCTTGACCTGTCCATGTTCTTATCAGGGGACATTGTGATTTAACATTATTTTTCCACGTGCGTCTCATGAAGTATGAGTTATGACATCTTGGTGTGTAGGGATGAGGCTTCACATATGTTTTGCCAGTGTATGAAGAAGATTCATACCATTTATAATCCCAGTCAGTGTTGTTTATGTTAGAGTCACAAATGCCAATGCGACAATCATTGTTAGGCCGAAAGTAAAGCCAATTTGCATCTACTCCATTTGTTTCACTGAAGCACTGTTCTTCATATAGGCTTGTGAAACGAAAGTATTGTTGACACTGTGGAACAGCTCTTGGAACATATGATGAATAGGGCAGCCTGGTCAAGAGAAACTCTCCTACAATGAAAAATTTTAAACAGAAAATTATGTACTGAAGCAAATAAATAGCTATTAAAACTGTGCAATTTTAATAAATTATAACTGATCCATATAGTTTTATTATTGATTGTTTCGAAAATACCTTTACAAGTTGCTGCATCAGAAACTATCACAGAAGACCCAAATACTGCAGAGAAGAAGAAATGGACGAGTGCATTCATTTTGAACAATTCATTCCATACAAATTTTCTTCTAAAATGTTTTCTAGAAATAATTGCCTTATGTGCACAGCATTCAGTAAACTTGATAGCAATCTATTTAAATGTGCTTCAACTTGTGAATAATACAATTGAATACATGTGAATAATTTTATTTTCAATGACATAAAGGAGGAAATTTTACTTTGAAGAAGGAAATAAACAAATTGTAATTTGACATGTAAAATACTTGAATTGTTTAAAGAGCTTTAAACAAATACACAATACGAGTTGTGAAATGTAGTCTCACTTTCACATAACATTTATGTGATTGCATGTTCGGAATCCATTGTATAAACTTTGTATCTTTGTATTGGCCCTGAAGGAACAAATAAACATGATTTTATATTTCAAATAAATATGATTTTTAATTTTAAATAACAGACCCTTGTAAATGGATGATTGGTAAGTGTAGGATATTTCATCATTCTTGCCTGTACCTGAATAATGGACATTGCCATTTTAGGGCACTGAGCAGCTAGACCTGTGGAGAACTTTCTTTACAAAATAATATTTTGACCCCAGGTATGACAAAAATTGGGAGAATGATTATTATGACACTCCCCGCCATACATTTGGCAAGTGATCTAAAAGGAGACTGGATTGCTAAATGTATGGGGGAGTGTATCAAAATGAAAATGAGTCAGAAAAATATTTTGCCCACGATAAATAACCCCATATTAACATTAATACTTGTAAATGCCAGAATGTAATTTCAGGGAGAAAATCATGTGTGATTTATTTCTAACTAGATAACAGCAACTCCGCGGAGTAGCAAATCCCAACGAACAAAATATCAATTACCGAATTCCAATCAATTATACTCATTACTTTGGTTGAAAATGAAAAAATTAGATTTTAGAATTGCGAATTCCTGCAAAGCAGCCATTTTGAATTTTCTGAGGTACAAATCTGAAAAATAATACCATAATTGTGATCTACTCCAAAATTCCTTCAATTTGAGTATAATATAGCCATACTTTGATGGGATCGAAAAATTATTGCGAAATCGTACATTAGACGGCCATTTTGAATTTTAAGAGGCTCGAATCAGAAAAAAGATACAATATTTGCAATCTACTCTTAATTGCCTTTCATTTGAGTATAATAAAGCTATACTTCAGAAAGATCTAAAAATTAGCGAAAATTTCTGTTTTCCTCCACCATACATGACCCCTGGGGGTCAGGATGAAAAACACGGAATATATGTGAAATAGATAAATGTTGTGAATACACTACCAAAATTTCAAACAATAATATTAATTACTTTGGTTTAGAATGAAAAATTTATGAGTTTTGTGAAAAAGTCCCGTCATTTTTAAAGCGGTGGCCATCTTGAAAAAAAATTTTTGTTGCGTAAATTATTCACCAATATACATCTTTCCACTAAATATGAAGAAAATCTGTCAACTAGTATTTGAGTTATCTTCCAGACAGACGGAAGGACGGACTGACTGACTGACTGACTGACGGACTGACTGATGGACTGACTGACAGACGGACAGATGGAGGGCTTCACTATATCCCTAACGAACTTTGTTCGTTGGGATAAAAATCCATAATATTGGTACATCATCAATATCAGGCCCGGGGGGATTCTTTCAAAATCATGCAGTTTTTCACCATTCTAAGCACTTTTTAAGTGATTTTGGCCATTTTTGGACCAAAATTGTCACAAGTGAACCCCCCTTGAATTTTTCAAAAAGTGAACCCCCCCTTGGCAAATCCTGGCTACGGGCATGAATATCATATCAGAAATGAACACATGAATGTTTGTCTCACTACATAGAACCTGCATTAGTGGAATGGCCTTTGGACCCAAAGTGCTCCACTTGATTCACACAATGGTTTATTAACAAAAAAAGTCAATGGTCATGGGACATAAATACTTTCACTTGTGAGGTGCTCTACTTGACAATTTTTATTGTATTTCCTCAAATAAGGTATAAGTTTAGGCAAAAGACGAGGAATGACATGTAGATGATTAAAAAAAATTTTAGACAATTTTGCCAGCTCTTTTTAAATCACTGATTCTTTCTTAAGTTGTTTGTTTTTATGATCAGTGAGATAAAGTTTTTTGTTGTGCACTTGTTAGTTAGCATGTGGTTCCAGGTAACATATTGTCATAATGCAAATACAATGGCACTTCTTCATTATTTATACTTGTTTCAATATAGCTAAATATTATGATCACCGCATTATCTTTCATGCCTCGGTCACATTTGCTCCATGGCTAGGCCCCCTTGCAGCTCCGTTGGTGATTGTCAAAAGCCTGACTGTGGACTCCTCTGGACCAGAGAACTTGCAAACTCTGTGATTTGGATGAAGTTGAAAATGAAATTCATTTTCTGATAAATGTCCACACTATAAGCTCCTAAGGGATACCTTCTATAGAGAGATTGTGCAAGAGCAATTGCCATATATAGACTTGAATAATGCAAATTCACTTTTGACATTTATTAGCCTAATGCGTGCCAAGAAGATTCAAAAAACTCTAGCAGCTCTTATTCATAATATGTATTCAAAAAGGCATTTTGACTATGGCAGATTATAGGAGTTACATTTGTGAAGTCCAGACTTGGTTAAAACTGATACTTTTTAGAATTAAAGATATAACTGGGCAGCAGGTGTGTGTCCCCAATCTGTTATAGTCATTTTCCAGCACTTGACTACAAAATTTATTGTATCAATACAGTTTATTTATGCATGCATATTCATTTATTGTGATAATGGCCATTAATAGAAAATATTTGTCAAAGCATTTAAAGATGGCAGCACTTGAATACTACTCTATCTAAGAGTGCTCTATTAAGTCAACTTACTCTAGTCAATATTCAATTACAATTAAATATACATTTAATGGTGTCTCCTAAGCCGATGCCGGCTGGTGGGTTTTTAAAAAAAAGTATTTATTATATGATATTGAATGTAGTTTTTAAACCTGTGACACAGAAATAAAATATTTTAAACTTAAACTGTTGCAGGGCCACCCTTTCATAGAGTAGCTACAAGCCCCTGTTACCCCTCCCCCTACTTGACTAGTCAGGTATGAAAACAGGGGAGCTGTGACTTGGCGAAGGGCAAAAAGGCTTGAAGCTAGACTACGAGTAACACTGTCACTTTAAAGGTCATACTGCAGCAACAGGATTTGTCAACATATTCAAAATATGCCACCATAGTGATATGTGACTGCTCCAGTATGAAACTGGAAACTCCACTGCAGCCTTATGATTAATGTCAACCTCAGAAATTGTGAAAAGTGCACAGCCACCATAGATAATGTGACTGGGGCATCTGAGATCAGTGACATGTAGAACTAGAAATGCAACAAAAATTACAAGTTCATATTTGCATCAGTTTATTACAAAAGTCATGCTTTTGTATACAAATAAATATACACAAATCATGATTTCGTATACAAATAAAGAAAACTGCATGGTTACTCCAAGTTAATTTGTTTGTTCATGGCATGGTACTATATTCCACATTAGATCATTTTAATGAATAAGTATAAGTGTCCATCACAACATTCTTTGCTTGAGATGCATGAGAAAAGTATTTCTGATTACACATATAGATGCTTGATGAGCAATTTAGACATATTTCATCCCTTTTAAAGTAACATTTGATGATTTGCAATTTTCTTCTTTTTTATTCCTAGAATTTATTTTACAAATACATATACACTACATAAACATTGTACACTAGTAGTGGCTTTTCTGAAGGCATTATCAGCCACTTGATTTGCAATATTCTGACTTATTCAATAAATATTTTTTAAGCAACTAGTAGTTTTTAAAAATCAATCATGAGGGTAAAGATTATCAAAATCTAGTACCATATATTGAAATTTTGCAGAACTATATCAAACTGTAATCTTTTAATATACTTTTTAAGTACATTTACATGTACATATTCTTTATGACATCACCAGCAGAGTTTGCTGGTCCTCTTGCCAATATGTCTCAGATATGTACCCATTGTGTATGACAATGGGAGTGTCCTCCCTTTTGAAATGTTCATTTGCAGTCTATAAGGATTGCTGCATGACGTTTGAGTTTCAGGTAACATGTTTCAGATGTTTCTACGAAATATCCACTGTAGTCAGGCTATTTGAGTTGTAAAGGCATCTGTAAATACACAAAGGTAGTATACCATTTAAGGTAAATAATGAATATCAAAATTTTACCACATTTACTGTGAAATTCATAGGATATCATGTCAAAATAGAAATAGCATTGTTGTAACTACATGTAGTGAAAAAATCATATTTTGGCAAAATTTCACTACCATTAACAGATATATAGCATTATTATGCACCTCATTAAAATACTCAAATCTGATTGGTTCTTAGTTGCTTGTAATTTGGCAATACTCTGCTCTTTTCTGAAAACTGCCAGATATTTTTTTAATATCTGACCCTTTTGAGAAAAAGGGTCGGATATTTTTTTCAATGTTTTTGCAACATTCCCACTTCAGAGTTTTATTTCTTAATAACTTGAGTACTACTTAAAGCTTACATCTGAAACTGGCGGAAAATAGAAGAAAAAATGCACTTAATCAATCACAATTACCCTTATCATTCAAAAGTTACATATAATTCTGCGAGAACGTCTCGAATAAATAAAAATTAAATTCCCAGGGCAAATATTTTCGTCCAGTGTAGCGAATAAACTGGCTGGAAGTCGTCTGAGTTTTGAAAGAAAAAATAAATAAATGTCAAATTAATGTCAACTAAACAACAGTTTAAGCCTGTACTCCAGTAAGTACTCCACTTAACTTTGATTGGGAGGTGCATAATAAAACAAATACTGGATGATCAGAAGCTGGATATGGCCAGAATACCTATCCTCGAAAAAATATTGGGCTCGGCTGCCGCCTCGCCCAATATTTTTTCTCGAATAGATATTCTGCCATATCCAGCTCCTGATCATCCAGTATTTGTTTATTACATACAAACATATAGCAGTGCAGTGTATCCAGGTATCTGGTGGTTAAGAGATGTATGCTACTTGACTCAAAACGAGGCTGACTGTAGAAACAATGGCATAGGATGTGACATATTGTGAATAAGGCCTCAGCTGTTTGGATTAGAGGTTAGAAGTCATGAATATTGATATTACTGCATGCTCTCATTACACTAGCCTTGCCTAAGCCTTTTTATTTAATTTTTTCAATACATGTATAAAAGAAAATACCAACTGAGGCAAGTCTGGCAAGGCTATTGTTACATTAACTCATGCAGATTTTATATTTTTTTGTGGATTAAAATCATATCATTCATGAATCATAGGCTTGGGACATTCTTTTTGTAAATAATGTTTTTGTTGTATATCTGGGACAATTATACCAAAGCTGGCATGCTAATCCAAGTATTTATTTAAGATTTATTTTAACTTACTGCTCTATAGCTGTAACATTATCGGGGAGGAGTCCACAGTCCTTCATACTCAGTGTTGTCAAACTACAATCCGTCTGAAACAATTAACACATGTGAAAAGTAAAAATAGGAAATACAGATGGTATATTATCATATGTAAACATTTAATGAGTTAATGAGAATGATATACTAAATTTCACTAATGTTATGAATGGTTTAAAAGATTCCGTAGTTTGATGAAATTTTACTAGTTACGAAAATATACATAATCTAAAATAAAGCAAAAATAAAGTAAATAGACATGCAGATAATACTCAAATGTATTTTATAAAAATATCATTCTTATAGTCTACATGTAATTAGCACATCAGCACTGACCTGTTCTACATAGCGCTGCAAGGACAGCACTAACTGTGGGACATCTGAGTTGTCTATAGTGCTGTCCAGGGTCAGTGAGTCGAGCATTAGGGGGAGGCATTGTAATAGAGATGCAACACCTTCATGACCTAGACTGTTTGAGGCCATGTTCAGTTGTTTTAAATGTGCACCTGGAATACATGATATCATTTAGAATAGCACAGTCAATGAAAAGTGACCACATGGTGTTTAGATGTAAATCTGAAATTCAGATATATAGTTAAACCTGTATATCTGAACACCTCTCTTATCTGAACATCTCCGTGTGAATGCCTTTTTGAGTCCCATGTCCCATTTTTAATCTGTCATAGATAAACATATTAAAGAAACCCTTAAAATGTGAACATTTGCCAATCTAAACATTTTTAGCAGGTCTCAGTGGCATTCCCATTACACAATTGTTCTGTATATGCCGTGAATTACATGTCTTTGGAAGGCAACAGATAGATACATGGCAGTGTCAAAACCACCACTGTACAGTATATATACAAAGGTCATAATTCTAACTGGCCTGATTTGCATTCATGTTAGACAGGTGTTACTGTACGTTCTATTTAATTTGTTTCATTAAGGGTTTAGATGAAACAGCATCTACCCTGATTTATCTCTTTAATGAGTGTATAGGGAATTCCAAAAGGCTAATAGGACCATGTCTTACCTTTGAATGCAGTCTTCAACAGCTCCTCCTTCTGTATGAAGAATGTTGGTGTGATCTCACACATCTCTAGGCTCAAGCTGGACAATAGAGGTAAGTGCTCTAGTATCCCAGCTATTGTAGTAAGACTCGTGTCTCCAAGAGGGTTGAAACTCAAGTCTAAACTCCCAAGTAACTGAAATATTCATTAAGAAGTTGAAGAACATTTTAATACCAAAAACAAGTTCCATTTCTACACCAGTCTTACACTTAATAAAAACCACAAAATAGCATACAGGTACTATATAACTACATCGCGAACTTAGTCAAATCAAGTTTAAAGAAGTCATAAATGCTGCCCATCTGCCAAGCTGACAACAAATTTATCCCTTTTCAAGTGCAGTACAAGGCATTAGCATGCAAAATGTCACCACATGTCATTTGTTACAGATGCTGAATGCGGAACACCAACTGCCGAACACCAACATCCTAACACTGTCCGCCAAGCTGATGACAATATCACACCTTTTTTAGGTACGATAAAATTGTTGGAGACTATAACAATATGTCACCACTTCTGGTTGTGATATAAATATTGTGTATTTCACACACTATCTTCTGGTACTTTTATTGGATGGATGTCCATTATTACCTGCAAAGGTGGAGATTCCTCAGACAGCACATCCTTCAAGTAGCCAAGTCCTTCGTTAGTGATATCATTACAAGCAATACTAAGAGTAGTAAGATTGGGGAGAGTCTTCAATGCAGCACTAAGCTCCTTTAAGCCACTGTTTTCTAACTTATTACCTGTGAAAGAAATATGTGGTTTTCATCAACACTTTATACAAGGTACAGTAAAACCTGTGTAACTGGAACACCATTGGACTTCAAGTAGTAAGATTGGGGAGAGTCTTCAATGCAGCTCTAAGCTTGACACATATTATACAAGGTACATTAAAAGCTGTGTGTGTGGGACACCTTTGGGACTTCAAGACAGTGTTCCATTTGAGAGGTGTTCTACTTACAGAGGTTCATTTTACATTAGATTAATAGGTAACTGAACTTTGAAGTGTTCCACATATGGGAGTGTTCCACTAACAAGTCTTCCTGTAGTGTATAATTCTATAAATAGAGGCTCTTTTTATTCCTGCTTATTCCAACCCCTTTCCACTTTATTTTTCCATTTGATATATTGCAGTGATTTTTTCTCAGCAGCAGTCATGTTTACCCTAACCTTATCAATAAGTGTAACGACCCTCTGAGCAGGATGGATCAGATGGTTTTGAACTAATGAGAAGGCACCACTGAGACGCACTGATATGTTTATGTAACTTTATTTCCAATTATTCTTAAGCAGCGTCTTTAATGGAAGGCTGATGCAACTCATTTAAACATGAATAGCAGTATCTGCTCTCTAATCATATTCATATTTAAATGCAATGGCTATAAAATGACAATCAAACCATCAGCTGACAGCCAACAATTTAATTCACCAACGCTAGCTGAGGTTCTGATTGACAAGTACATGTATAAAAAGGTTTATCAGAAATTGAAAGAGTATGATTGCTCTTGCAAAGGGTATAGTTATCTTCTATAGTCCACCAGCTTTATATTTACCCTTTTGATTCTACATACCTGCAAAGTTGAGTTCCTTCAATGCTATCTGTCTCTGTGTAACTCTGACTATGGCCTGCATTTGGCTGGAAGGTAGCGCATAGTTGCCCAGGTTCAACACATTTGTCGTTTTTCCCAAGATTGTCTTAATATTCTGATAGGACTCTGAAAAAAGTTGAAACAGTGCAATGATTCAGAATTTTTTTAAAAGGCACCCCACTTCAAAAGCACATCACTAAAATTCTACCAAATAGTAAGATGAAGTATCACCTTCAAAGCAGGGCTTCAACAGTGCATCATATGTACAAAAGAACTACTGACAGGGGCATAACCAGGATTTCGATAGCAGGTATGCGAGGCTGAAGGCCAACCAAAACAAGGGGCTTTACTTTTTCATTTTTTACAACGATTTATTTTTTGCTCCGTCATTTAGGGTATGCAACTGCATATGCCTGGTTACGCGCCTGACTGAGACAGAAAACATATGCAAACCAATTCTATTGACCGCTCAGAAATATGTATCTCAGCTTATGTACGAACATTTAAGACTGTATGTAGTTCATGAAGATAACTTACTAATACCAAGTGTTGCACAGACTTGTACATAACTGTCATGTAAAGGGGGAACTTCCCAGTCAGTAACATCTGCTATCAGCTGAAGCACAAAAGGAAAACATTCATTTTTAATCAACATCAAACCAAAACATTGATTTGGATTTGTAGTCTCCAACTTTGAGAAACTTAGATAGCACAGTTGTGTGACCTAGTTTGATGACCTTTGACCTTGAATATTTTACTTAGTCAGAGCTCAGTAAGGTATTTTGTGATTAAGCTGACCAAAATTTACATCCAAAAATCAATTTGAAAAATCAACTTTTTTGACCTTTCGAAGGTCACTGAAGGTCTAGTAAATGTCAAATCCTAAACTAATGTCAGATTTGAACTCCTTGCAACTTGTAGATGATTTTCAAAAAAAAATTTGGTCAAATTGAAGCAAGTTGAAAAATAACTTATTTTTACTGTTTTTTGACGTCATATATCTCAAAAACGGTAAAAATCAGATGCTGACATATATTGAGCAATATGTAGGGAATGCTTAAATCTAGTAATAATGTAATTCATTGCAAGAAATGATCAAGTATAAGGCAAACTTTGAGAAACTTGTCAATCACAAAACCTGCCATTGACTTTATACATGAGAAAGTCTTACTTTTTGTCAAACTTTATAGAGTAAACACCAAAAACTGTAATTCCAAGAGCTTTGAAATCTTCAGAGGACATAAGTTGCATATAAAGCAACTACTGTACTACAAGTTATTTGAAAGTTTTTCTTCAACAAAGTGTCCAGTATTTTCAGAAAATTTGACTTTTTGACGTCAAAATCGGCAATTTCTCGGAAACCGGGCGAACTTGGGAAATGGCGATGATAGGTCAAAAAGGCATTATGGATATGCATAAAATGAATGTGGTTATGACTCAATCCGAATAGCAGTTTTAATTTGTGTGGCCAATGTTGATGGACGGACCAACGGACGGACGGACCAACGGATGAACGCCTGGTCGATCCCATAGGCTCACTGTGTGAGCCAAAAATCATTTCACCACCATCACATTTTAATCGAGTGTTAAACGTTTCAGAATTCAAATTCTATCACCGTTAAACTATATCTGCTTTAAATGGGCTTATAAGCCTTTTGCAGATTATTGATGTAGATGTCACCAACCGGTAGTATTTTGGGGGATTAGTATGCTATGAATATTTGGTGATTTTTTTGTTAAACATTTTTTACCATCATCCATTTTAATCTAGTATTAAACATGAGAGAGAGCTGAAATGTAAATATTTAACACACCTGGTCGTCATGTGATAGGACAAAGCATACAGGGTCCTCCGGGGCAAATATGGCGCCATCTATTGACTTCAGACTCAGTATTGGTTTGACGCCTACTTCTCTGTTGTAACGTCTTGCTGCTTCTTGCGCCAACCAATCAATTGTCTTGCTGTCATCTCTTAAAAAAATATGAGATGATCTCAATCTAAAATTTCAATATTTCAATAACTGTCCCAGGGTTCTCACCAGTAAATCCAAATATCTTTAACTGTATTTTAATGAGAAAGGTTAAAAGATAATAGGAGTATGAATTTCAAACTCCCAGTTCAAAGTTAATATCTAATGTTACAATTTCACAGTGATTTTAGTAATGTCATATATATTGGAACCAGATGGACATCTTAAACAGTCTATCAGACACATTAGGTATGGTACTAACACTATTGTGATATATTCCTTCTGAAAAGTGGAACATTGGGAATGTATTGAGACATCAACATAAGATCTCCTAATTCATACCGGGAGATAACAAAATATTTCACAAATGACTAAATCAACCTCAAATAAAGCTTACCCCTGTGGAACTGGAATCATGAATTTCTTGCCTCGGATTTCAACTTTTAAACGTATCATTGATGGCATTGGGGATTTATACTGCATAGGTGGCACCACTGATGGTGCATTCGATGCCAGGATGGAATGTTGTAAAGGCTGAGTCAACACAACTGGAGGTTTTTGTGTTCTCTCTGTGTATGCTGTCATTTTTAATTGCTTCCTTTTAGCTTTTACATTTGATGTATTCTCTCGTTTTGACTGATAATCCATTTCCTCTATGTCATTGTTTAATAAATCATTGATAACATTGACATCTTGTAGATCGATTTCATTATTTTCATTTACTGCATTAGTGTTTTCTTTAGATTCCTCATCTGAATTTTCATCAGCAATGATTTGGTCATCAAAGGTTTCATGTGGTTCAAATGTAGGGCTAGCCCTTGGTGCTCTACTAGATGATACCATTGAGTTATTTGACACAGATTTCGAGGACTGAGGTTTATGTTCTCTGGTTGAAGATGTGGAGAAAACCCCATCAATGTCTAGTTTTCGCTTTTTAGTCTCAGGCCCGAGATCATCAATCAGCCAATCATCTTGCACATCGTCCTCAGAAATCAGTGCATTAAATTTCTGATTGGTAGAAAATTTGGGTTTAGCAGTCGATTTGGCCACCTGAGTTAAACTTCGCCTACTTGAGCTTTTTAAAGCATCTATTGCATTTTTATAATCATTCCTGGCATTGGATGCTTCAATAACAGGATTCTCTATTGCACTGTCAATTGAATGTGTATTAAAAGGAGGATGCTCATTTTCACTATCTGATTCACTCTCCTCATCTGGAGTTACTGGAATGTTCTCTCTTGATTTCCCTTTCCTCTTTCTGAAAGTAGAGATATAATTGTGTAATTTAATTCATTATTTTCATACAAAGTGACTCAACTCACAACTTTAAATGAATAAATTGGATCTCAAAAAATAGAACATCCTATAATCTGAGCTAGATGACCAATTTTTCCAAACTCTAGTTTACAGGAAAGACGATTTGTAAGTCTTTTATTGTATGGTACACGTTACAGGCCATCATGGTTTCTTATCATTTTAGGGTAGTTTTACACAAGGACCATTGGTGGTGGTCGAGCCACTTTAAAATTTCTACAGTATACATTGCTAGTATAGAGATGGATTATATTCTTAAGTTTTAGGCTGATGGCCATAATAGTATTGGAAAAATTAAATTAATAGGCAGAAAATGCAATCTTAATGATTTTTTAGTCTCACTTATTTTATATTCTAGCTTCAAGCAAAAAATGACAGCTTTGAAACATCAATATAGTACAAGCACATGTACATTGAATAATATTCATTACTTCAATTATACACAGTGAAGAAGAGAATTTACTGCTAATTCAAATAGAAGATTTGCTAATAAAATTGAAGCCCACTTCAGAAACAGAAATCTTGTATGAAGTGAATGAAGTATTTTTATTTAACTATTTTTAAAAGAAGTAGGCTAAATATACATTTTATTTACACATTAGCTAACACCTTCCTTTTTGACATTGCATTATAAAAGTTCTACACTCTTCTATTGAAAACTACATATTTTTTTGTGCTATTCTTCTTGTGCACATGTATACGGAATTATCAAAATGAGCATGTTGATGATATCATGTATGATTGAACTAATAACTTAATATATAAGTGAATGCAGATGTTTTAATATGTTATGACGCAGGTGAAGATCGTAATAGATCTGACAATGCCATTGCATTCATTCAATATAATTAATCAAAAATTATGCTAATTATTTCAAACATCATCATACATTTATTGGAAACAATCCTTTAGATATAAACATGTAAAAGATTCAGAACAACGTTAATAGTAATCAGCTACCTGAAGATACCTGACTTAAGTGAACACCAATAAATGAAAAACTGATCAATAAATGAAGACGAGATATTTTACACGGCGCATAGATAGATACATATAAGGAAGTCTCATTCAAAAGAACAACAAAACTGGATTAAATATATTTTGAACATGAACTTTATACCCACAGATGAAAACAAAGGAAGATGTGATGCAAATGAATAATAAAACTAAATGAATATCTAAAGATAAGTCAATATTATAAAAGATTTCATCATTGACACTTTAATCTAATCAATATCTCACTTTGAGAATACAGGAACAAACTTTGAACTTTGGAATCTATAAGTGATCAATTTAATATAAGTTAATCTGTAACATACTGATACTTAAAACAAATGGAATTGACTATTTTTATCACAAACTCTTGGACTTCATAAGTATTATGAGATCTATGCATTTGTAAATGAAGTTCAAACTACTATGATTAACATTTTCAAGATACATGAATAACTGAAAAATATACTGGATTATAAAAATGTCAAGTAAAATCTAAATACAAGTACATAGGGAAATCATATAAAATCTGATAATTGAACGCTGCAACCTATTCACAACTGAATACTAACATTGAGGCAATCTATGGAAAACTACTTGGAAAACAGATGAGTACGTATATAAGAAGACATGAAGTGATTAATCGGAAGCACATTGTGAATTACATTTACATGTCATTCTGATACACTATAGACGTCATACAGACTGAATTAATACATAAAGTATTGGATTGAGTATATACGATAGATTAAAGAAAGACCAATTAATAAAAAAAAAAAAAACCACGAGGAAAGAAAACTGAAGCAAGAACAATGAGAATGAAGAAAGTTACCATAGTTTTGTTGTTAATTGTGGCTAAAATCACAGCATTCTTCATTTTTGGGAGGCTCTTCAATATCCAAAGGTTTCTTAGTGTTGTGACAATTTGGCAATCTGAACCACAAATCACAATCAGACACAAACCTGACCACATCATAATTAAACAAAATAAATATGCTCCACTGACCACAGTTGAAAGTCATGGTGTAAAACATTTGAAAGTACTTGCTGGTGTTGAAAGTGTCAAAACCACAAGTGAAAATGAAATAAAACAGATCTTTTGGTATGGAGACTTTTTTGGAAGCCCTCATCCACTTGTAAAAGAGCCACAGGATTTTCTAAACTTCTGTCCAGAAGTGCAATGTACAGTGACCAGTAAACCTGAACTTTACAATAAAAGCGATGCAGTCTTATTTCATTTACCTGATATAAATAGGTACAAAGCACCACAAAAACTACCCAATCAAGCATGGATATTGATGTCCCACGAATCTCCGCATTCATATCCAGGAAAAATTGCTGACGATTTTCGAGACAAGTTCAATTGGACGGCATCTTATATGCATTCAAGTGACATATACATGCCATATTTCTCATATGGTAAAATTCCTGACAATGAGATTAAGCAGAATAATTTACCTAATTACTTTTCCAAAAAAGAGAGGAAGATTCTCTGGTTTGTCAGCAACTGTGTGACAAAGAGTAAAAGAATGTTAATCACAAAGGAACTAAAAAAGCTTGGATGGACTATCGACATTTTTGGAGCATGTGGTGTGGCTTCCCCTTGTGGTAAAGGCTCGGAGTGTGAGAAAAAGCAAGTAGATAAATATATGTTTTATCTCTCATTTGAAAATAGTTTATGTTTGGATTACGCCACAGAGAAACCAGGAAAAGCTTTAGCAATGAATATAGTCCCTATTGTATATGGGTACTCAAACTATTCCAACTTTATCCCACCAAAATCATTTATCGATGTCAGTGATTTTTCCTCGATCAAAGCCCTAAGTGACCACCTTAACAAAGTGGCCAGCTCAAGGGACTTATACAACAGCTATTTCAAATGGAAAGAACAGTATAGGGTGGTCTACAAAAGCTGGCCATGTGATATATGTAGACTTTTGCATAATGGTTATCACAGGCACTACAGTGATATCAACGATTGGTGGAATGTTGATAAATTGTGTAAACAACCAAACATTGTTCTTCATTAATGAAATTCAGCATTTTATAGTTTAGAATCTTATAAGATGTGGGCTCAAACTACAGGTATTCTGTATTTTAAATTGTTTTCGGGTAACATTAAAATATTCCTCAAATTGATCGAGGACATACCCCTATGTAGGTTACATAGTAGCTTAACTATAGATATCCTTTATTTTCAATTGTTTTGGGTAACAAGTAAATATTCCTCAAATTAGAAGGTGGGCTCAAACTACAGTAGGTTACATGGTAGCTTAACTATAGATATTCTTTATTTTCAATTGTTTTGGGTAACATGTTGTATATATTCCACAAATAAGAAACATTTAATTGTTTAGGGTAACATGCAGTAACATACATAGTAGTATAGTTTTGGGTAACAAGTAAATATTCCTCAAATTAGAAGGTGGGCTCAAACTACAGTAGGTTACATGGTAGCTTAACTATAGATATTCTTTATTTTCAATTGTTTTGGGTAACATGTTGTATATATTCCACAAATAAGAAACATTTAATTGTTTAGGGTAACATGCAGTAACATACATAGTAGTATTCTGTATTTAAATTGTTTTGGGTAACATGTAAATATTCCTCAAATAAATGAACACAAAAACTGTGCTGTTAATTGGGTTCAATAATAAACTTAAAGTCTTGCGTAAGATGAGATATAAAGTGTTTTTATTCCAAACACAAATATTATGACATGTCCGACATCTTAGATCTAGCAGCCTATCGACTATTGGTTAAAACACATCACGTGGTACAAAAGTAGGTCACTAAGCATGTGGCCTGATAAACAATAGATATTGATGAGTGAATATATCAGCTAACACTACAAAAACTATTCATGTTTTGGTAGTTGAAAAACAAAACAAATGAGGGATGGGATATTAAAAAAAATATCTACTAAAAATGAGTACAGATCAGCTTTTAAACAAATCAAGGGGTGAGGTCAAATATGACAATTTTGGCTCAAAATGACTCGAGAGGTGCTAACAATGATTTTGAAAGGGGGAAGCTACAGGCCTGATTTTATCAAAATAATTAGAAGGGATACAAAGTGCAAAATGTTTCTTCTAAAAATCATACCAATGTATGTATGTATCTGATCAAATGTAGCAGTTGCTGAAATTCATTATAGAACTGAAAAAGGGTTCTTCCATCAATTTTTTGACAAATAACCCAAAAATCAAAGGAATCTCGAAACTAAGTCAGAACTGTTGGACTTTGTATAAAATATATGGAATCATGAAAGAAGACATATTGTAAAATTGTGACAATAATTGAAACTTCTCTCAATTTATTCTCTCCCTTTAAGGAATGAAGCTGTGGGTATTTTGTTTTAAATCAGAGATCCAATTTTCTCTTTATTATTGCATAAACTAATTTACCTTGAGATGGCAATATCTGCAGGGGTAACCCTAGTATTGGTGTGTAGAGTGGCTCCTAATATATCAGCATCATCTTCGTCCAAACTGGAGTCACTAGCAACATCAGGACTGTCATTTATGAATGCTCTGGTATTTCTCTGAGTTGCTCTTGATTTCTCTGGTCTTTTATAAGGGCTCTCAGGCTGAATTTCTGCAGTTGAACTGGATGGGAATTCAGATGTGATTTTGTTTGTATTTCCTATAAAAATGTAAATACTTGTAAACATATCATCATATTAATCAGACATCATTGGAATAAAATGCACAATCAAGCAATAAGTGTATGAATAGATTTTGACAAAATACATATTGGGCTGATTGTCTATTTTCAAATGTTAAAATTTAAAATCAACGAATACATATCAGGTCTAAAACCCCACATATCGAATAAACTCTACCTTGCATGATACTCCTAAGCTGTCTTTCTACACTTCTAACTTCTGCCATTTCATCTTTGGTTAAACAGTCTACAGATCTCTGTCTGTATGCTTTGAGTGAGTCTAGTGCATTTGACCCCTAGAATAAAGAAACAACAATATCTCAGATCAGTCTATAGATTTGTATAATTTGAGTGAGTCTAGTGCATTTGACCCCTAGAATAAAGAAACAATATCTCAGATCAATCATAGATTTGTATGATTTGAGTGAGTTTAGTGAATTTGACCCCTAGAATAAAGAAACAATATCTCAGATCAATCATAGATTTGTATGATTTGAGTGAGTCTAGTGCATTTGACCCCTTGAATAAAGAAACAATATCTCAGATCAGTCTATAGATTTATATGCTTTGAGTGAGTAGTGAATTTGACCCTTGAATAGAGAAATAATATCTCAGATCACAGTCTATAGATTTCTCTCTGTATGCTTTGAGTAAGTCTGATTACTGGATCCCTAAATAAGTACAGTTTGCATAGTTGTTTATTTGTCAATTAAATCGATTTTAAATGTACAGGCAACTGACACCCATACGGGTAGTAATATATCAGTTGGAATAGTCTACATGCAAAGAAATCTATCTGAATGTTCCAAATGAGCATAAAGTATATGACCCCAAGAATTAATATCTTTGTTCAAGTACCACTCAATGTGAAATCTTTTTTCTGTTCAATTTTAATCTGCCATAGATCACAAATCTCATAATGTGAAAACCTGCCAAGCCAAACACTTTAGGTTAGTTCAAGTGGTGTTCATAATAGACAGTTTTTACAGTACATAAATATGAACATAAATGAACAGCCATTGTAAACCAACCTCATCATCCTTCATGTGCACATTGGCTCCACTGTTAACCAGCACTGTGATGACTTCTAAATTGCCTGCACTAGCAGCATCCAATAGTGGAGTGACACCTTGACACTTATCCCCTCCACGATCATTTATGTTGGCTCCTTTATAAATAACATATTGTCTTTTTGAGTCAACCTTTATATTGAGTAAGCTCATAGTCTTCAACTGAGACATGTTCTTTTTAACTTATGTTATCTGAAGAGGGCCAGAATAAGAACAGAGGAAAATGGTCTTTTTAGATAATGCATGTTTTGAAAAGAATGAAGTTCGGATTGATAAGTAATAACATATTATATTTCCTAAAAATTTATGCAATTTTCTTCATTCTGCCCAATTAACCTTTTGACTTCCAGCCATGCTTAAAATATGTTTGAAATCTTGAGCATTTTTCATTTTCTGACATTTAACCAGATACACATGTGACCCAAAAGTTGACAAGTTTTTATCTCTACATATTCTAAAACATAATTCCATAGAATGGATTTAAATGTCAAAGCTAGGGCAATTTTTATGAAAAGTTTAGACACTATCTCATCACTCTGAATAATTTAAAAAAGAGGTTAAATATAAAGTAAATATTTCAAACTGAGATATATAGATAAGTATGTACACATATATAGTTTTCTTCTTGTGCCTACCATCTTTCTGAATTTTAAGGATAATCATTATTCTTACCATGTTGTATCAGATATTCAACAATGTCTGTAAAACCATGATTGGCTGCTTCATGTAGAGGAATCCAACCACAATAGTCCCTTGGGTTTACCAAGTGTCCCTGTGGAATCAAACAATTGAAATTATCTTAGTCAAAGTCCTAGAAAAGCATTCTATCTTTGGCTTATATTGTTACAATAACTAGGCCTATAATGATAAACTTGTGCACTAGAAACAAACAGGGTGTCTCTCTTTACAGAAATTGTATTGTAATTGTAGATACTTTATGGACACCTTGTACTTTCATTTTTTCATATACTACATGTACTTCAATTGTAAGATTGTTAATAAATACATTATGAGGCTATTAACATGGTCAAATTAGCATTGACCGCTTACAAGGTTACTTAAAGAGGACAATGATACTTTCCTAAAAAAGCATGGAAATGGGCCAGAATAGCAATTTTTTCAAAAATGTTTCCTGGAATCCATCACTTTATGTGATAATTTTCAAAACTGTGATTTGAAATTTAAACCTGGTTTATACAATTAAATGCAATCCATCATGAGGAATATGATGTTTATAGATTTGGACTCAAGTCAAAACATAACTAATACAGATATATAAGTAATACATTTGAGTAATAATATTTATTTCAGAAAAATAAGTAAAAGGGGATCATCATCACCCCTGTACACGTTATAACAGTTGACATCAACCATAAGAATAGTTTAACATTTCTATATTTAACAAGGAATGCATAACACATATTTGAATTTGAAGCGAGTATCAATACCACAACCCAAGCCTGAAACAATTCTGAAAGGTCCCTGCATACAGAAACACTGTCCAGCACTTAGGAGTCCTTGCTACATCTTATAAGTATTGTCAATTTCCTGGCTGTTAGTCAGTTCTGTTTCATCATTCATACTTTCAAATATTTGGGTATCAATGGCTTTATCATGCTTCAATGATGGCCTCGTGACATTCATTGCTTTGAAAGTTTCCTCAAGGACTTTCATCTGATTAGCATCCTTTTCAGTGACATCCTTTGCATTTATATCTTTCTTTTTGACTTTGTCTACATTGGCAAGCTCTTCATTAACTTTATTATTTTTCTTTGCTTCTGCATTGTCATCATCATTATCAACATCATTGTTGTCACCTTCCCCAGTCTGAGTTGCTTTTTGATTTTTCGAGTCATCGTCTGTGCCTGTCTCATCTTTGACAACAGCTCCAGCTATTTTCTCAGCCACATTAGCACCAACTACACCAGCTGCAGTTCCAGCAGCACCTCCTACCAAAACAGAAGTACTAACTGCAAGACCTGCTGCTCCTGCGGATTGCGCTGAAAGCAAAATTCATAGAGCTGAACATACGGTAGCTGTAAAAGTGGGCCAAAGATCCAATTTATTGCCCTCACTCGATCTGGCAAAATTTCAAGGATAAATAATTTTGAATTTCAAGGTATTTGGAAATTGCATTTGATCGACCATTCTGAATAAATGACTAATTTTGAAAAAATCTCTGAGTTTACTTCATACAAAATGACAATATATGTACTGTATATAAATCCATTATGTTAACAAAGCAAAAACATCGAATTTTGGAAAAAATGGTGGCAATTTTGACTTCTAAGGTCATATTGAAAGTTCCATTTTACAGAGCTAATAACTTTTATTCCACATTCTTTTTAGGCTTAGACTTTTTTCGAGAATTGATATTTTTAGGAGAAAAAGCTTATGTCTAAGTTTATTGATTGTGTAATAAGCCTACAGTTATTGACCCTTTAAACAGAGTTTGTAGACAATGTAAAACAATTTCATTTCAAACATAGCCAAAGCTGGTAAAGGGGCATTCAAGCTAGAGCCCAAACACTGCTTTTTTATAGAATAAAGACCCTTTATTGACCCTTTAAACAGAGTTTGTAGACAATGTTAAACAATTTCATTTCAAACATAGCCAAAGCTGGTAAAGGGGCATTCAGGCTATAGCCCGAACATTGCGTTTTTATAGAATAATAAAATGGCACCCAATATTTTGGAGTCGTAACAAAAATCATATGCACAAAAGATTTCAACCAAATCCACCAACCAGTATTTGAGTTATGGATAATTACATTTTTACAAAAATTGTGCCCAGTTTGAAATGAGTAGAGGTTCTATTCCAATGAGGCATTAGGCTATAAGTAGACTGATGGACAAAATGAACAGACTAGAAATTGGCAACTCCATGGAGTAGCAAATCCCAACTAACACTATATACATGAACCTGTATTTATCACAATGTACTATTTACCATCTACTCTTCCATTGAATATATAATAGGCAGATATTAAAAACACGCACATTAGAGGTATATCAGAAGTTCCACTGGTTTGGGCATTTGGGTGACAGTTTAAGTGTTTCAAATAATAAAGACAATATATTTGAGATTTAATGAAGTACGATGTAATCATACTTTAAAGAAATCTGGAAGTACAGCGAATTACTGCAAGGCAGCCATTTTGAATTTTCAGAGGCACAATTCAGAAAAACAATATTATCTGTGATCTGCTCTAAATTTGAGAATAATATAGCCATACTTTGAAGAGATCAATAAATTATTGCAAAATCCCATATAAGGCAGCCATATTGAATTTTACAAGGCCCAAATAAAAAAAATGATACAATATTTGGAATCTACACTAAATCGCCTTACATTTGAGTATTATTAAGATTAACTTCAGAAAGATCTCAAAATTAACGCAAATTTCTCATTTTCCTGACCCCTCATACACAGTTCTTGGGGGTCAGGGTGAAAAAGATAGATGTCGTGAATAATCTACCGAAATGTCAAACAATAACATTTATTACTTTGCTTTAAAATGAAAAACTCAAGATTTTCAAGAAAAGACCCCGACTTTTTTAAAGCGGTGGCCATCTTAAAAACATTTGTTGCATACAACTATTCACAGATAGTCATCTTTCCACCAAATATGAAGAAAATCTGTCAACTTGTAATCGAGTTATCTTCTCGACAAACGGATGGAAGGCTTCACTATATCCCTACCAAACTTTGTTCCTGGAATAATAAGCAGTATCTCTTAACCCCCACTAGAACTTGTGAAGGGTAGAATATTATCTTATGTTGTTTATACAGGTGTATATGTATCTTATGTATGTATTATTATGTATTTGTATCTATGTTCCTCCAACCTACCTGCAGCCACCGCCCCAGCACCAATACCAGCAGTTGCAGAAAATGACATAGCACTGGCAGCAAATGATCCTGCAGCTATCCCAGCAGATGTAAAACCTAGAAAAGCATTATAAATCCTGTATTAAGTTATGGTATACGGTAATTAGCATTCTTATGCAATAAATTAAAAGTTGTGGTATACTGTAATTGACATTCTTATGCAATAAATAAAAATGTAATCATAAAAAGGAATGATTGAACAGGAGGACTAAAATGGAGAATGTACAACTTCTAAATTGATTATATTGACTGCAATTTTTCAAATACGACCCTGGATTTTTTTAAAGAACTGAACCCCCATGGCAAAAGCTGACAACGGGCCTGGCCTGGACCCTACAGTAATTGTGTACCTGTAATGTTAACTTTTTCAGGTATAGAAAATGATTAATAAAGTAAGATATACCCATTGCAGGGAGAACCAATGGTGCTGCAGCAACAGCTCCTATTGCTCCAACCAAGCCTACTCCAAGTCCACCTGCTATTTTAGCACCTTTGATAAACTTCTCTGCAACAAAAATATAAAGTTATACCCTAAATAAAATATATCATTTACATATGAACGGCTATCTTAAGTGTGACTAAGTGATATAAAACCATTCTATCATTTTTTGGATTTTTAACCAAGTTCTTCCAAGTGTTACTGTACTATAATCCAGACATTGGATTGTTCTATAGAAGCACTATGCCTATTTAAGAAGAAATATACTATTCAAAGATTATTTTGTGTGAATATCTAAGGGGAAAAATAACCTGCGTAGAAAACAACACTAGAAGTTCAAATATAAAACAAACATAAAACATAAAGGAAATAAACATAAATATCATTAGAACCATTTGCATACTTTTCACCAAGGTGTTTTTAAATTACTTTTGAATAAATAGATGGAACATATGGTTTGACACTTAGACCAAAGATGAATGACTGATGTAATATGAATGCATCTCTATTTTTCATTTGACCTTGCAAAAAATTGACATATGAAGTTGACATATAAAAAATATTTTTGATACTTTATTGTAAGCTCCAATGTGGCATGTTTGAGCTGCCTATGTCTGTTTCTTTTTCATGAGAGATTTTCAAAAATAAAATTTTAGCCCCCCCCTATTCAATTTCAAGACCCTCCTCTTTTCAACAATGAAGTAAAAGGTGTTATTAAAAAAACTAGATTCAAGGACTACTTTGAATGATCCCCCCATTGAATAAATATTTTATTGCCTCATTCAGGCTAGAACAATATTATTGTACCTTACAATGTACTGGAGAAATTCAGTGAACAATAGTAGACTGAATATAGAATTTTAGTTCAATAGTATTATCACAGGAGTAGCGCTCTTTTTATGAGAAGTACACCACCAAGGGTACATGAGTTGAACCAAGTGAAAAAGAGCATTCAGGGGCTCTGGAAATTTTGAAATTTGGTTGTATTTGGAGTGTATTTGCAACCATCTGGTACGCCTATGCATACCAGGCTTACCAGGCACTATGCCAATGATCATACCATTAACAATGCATTTTTTAACTATTTATTTTTCTTTAGCTTTATAGTATTATATAGGTCCATACTTACTTTTTTTCTCCTCATCCATGTTTCTGGTTCTGTATTCTTTTTATCCCAAGCTTTGCAGTTTCTCCTGTACTGTTTATTTTACTGTATATTTCCAATGCTGGGAAGTTCTATTTATAGTGCAGCAGTTTATTGATTGGTCTAAAATACTACTTCTGAGAAGTCATTATCAATGTTGCTGTTATGTTATAGTGATAAAATTCCCCATTGTGACTGAGCACATTTATCAGTAAGTATGCATGTACTTTAATCACTATCTGATAATTATCACAAAGTTGTTATGACCTGTACAGCAAACTAAAAACATTAGAGGATTTGCCAGACAGACAGCTTTTATTGTAATTTTGTTAAAGTCCTGTTTTTAATGTGATACAAGATTTGCATATATTTAAGGTAGATCTAGATCTGCATTAATACTCATGATTATAATTACCAATATTAATGAAATATAATATTTTTTCAAATAATTTATGTGGATGTTTACATAAGACTACATGCAGCTTCAAATTTTTTTGTTTTCTTTTTCTGAAGTTTCTTGAATACTGTACTCCAACTAATATATGAAATTTCATGGTTATAACTTTTTGATAATTTTAAATTTTTACGTGGCTATTAATTTTAGTGGAATTGTGGCTTCTCAAACATGTTCAAGCTTCTTTTTAAATTTCTTTGATTGAAATTGGAGAAAACAATTCCTTAGTTCTTTTATCGCCCAGCAGAGGACGAAAATATTGTCAACATATAGTAAAATAAATTACTGGTTTTTGCAACTATCATACTTTGCTAATTACAGGGTGGGCCAAAAAAAACACCACTTTCTTTCAAGACACTACAACTTTTTTATTTTCCAACCTGCATACCCCAAATTTTGCAGTTATACAAGTGCCAGGGGTTCTTAGTAATAATATAATGTTACAAGTCCTTCAACTTGGATTATATTTGATTTAAAAGAGGAGTTCAACTGGTCCACCACCCTATTTGATGATATATTTTAGTTTTAATCGCCTTGCTGATATAGCAGTATCAATGAAATGTAAGCTAAGTTTTTTTCAATCTGTCTTAATTGTCAGCTTTAGTTGAGCAATTTTCTTGATTGGGTGCCTTCATACAATCTCCTGGAGACCTTCCCATACCCTTTACTCACTGGGGTTTGCCAATTAGCTTGGCTGTCATCAGGCCGTATCAGTTCAGGAACATTTATACGGCCAACACTACATCACATGCATATCAACACCACATGTTTAAGTGAGACGCTGGTGACATATTCTATTCAAGTAAAAGTGTTCAATGATCCATGGCTAGATTACAACCTCAAGTTTCATTTGATATGCAAATTATGATTTTGTATAAAAAATTAAAAAAGTTATAGCATTTTGAAAAAAAAGTGTTTTTTTGGCCCACCCTGTATAACTATTGGCACATCGCGGCTAACATATTTCGTGAATTTTCAAAAACTTGCGAAAAGCACAAAAGTATAGTAGCACACGAAAATTACCGGAGTATTCAAACAGTGTTTTTTAAAACACTTATTTATATAATCCGTAAAATTCAGCGTATTTATTTCCCAATGGTCCATGTGCAGTATGGCAAGTGATTTTAGACAGTCATATCTTTCACCATGAGTATTTTCTGGGAATAAATACAGTGGTTTTCATTAAAATAATATGTTCCCTTTCACGTGAAGTGCCCATGATGATAAAATACCTATCAAACAATTCGAAAATTTTATGAACATGTCAACAATTTTTTCAGAATGTTGAACCTATTTACTCAAAAGAGGATCTCCTTTTTCTGATTTTTATTGCAGGAGAAAATGGGTCTAAAACTTCTTCAAAAGTAGAATGGTATTGAAAGTCTAGTTTTTGAGATATCAATTTGATGATTTTGAAAATAAGATTTGTCAATTCGAAGCAAATTGAAAAAATACTTTTTGACCTTTTTTTAACCTTGAAAAGGTCATTGAAGGTCAAATCTTTTTTGACCTTGAGAATGTCTATAGTCCGATTTGATCTTTTGAGAACTTGTAGATGATTTTGAAAAAAAATTGGTCAATTTGAAGCAAGTTGAAAAACGACCTTTTTGACCTTTTTCAACCTAGAGAATGTCATTGAAGGTCAAATCTCAAATCTAAAGGCAGATTTGAACTTCTTATAACTTGTAGATATTTTTGAAAAAAAAGATTGGTCAATTTGATGCAAGTTGAAAAGATACCTTTTTGACCTTAAAAAAGGTCATTGAAGGTCAAATCTTAAATATAAAGTCAGATTTGAACTTCTGAAAACTTGTAGTAGATTTTGGAAAAACTGAAGTCAGTATGAACAGTATTTGTTAAGTTATTGGAAGTTGTAAGAATTTGTGACGTCAACCGCCAACCACCAACCGCCGTCAAAAAAACCGGAGACCATAACAATATGTCACCACTTTTTGTTGATGACATAAAAAACTTTGATTTGACCTATATTTTGACCTTGACTTACCTATACCTCGTATAAACTAATTTCCCGGCAGTTCCAAGTCAGTACATTTCAAAATCTAATAGCATTGATACTTTTGACAACAGACAACCATTTCAGTCTGAGCTCTTCCATGTTGGCTATAAGTGCATCAATTTCATGTGATTTGTATTTAGTTGGGATTAAAAAAAATCACAAAAAATCTCTCGTGATACAGACTCTTAAAGCTTAAAAGAATTCTTTACCTGTTCCACAAGAGCTTTCACACGTTTCATATTTCCTTCAATGCAGGCCTTGTGGAGCGGGGTCTCCCCTTTCTCATTCTTTTTCATCAACATTGCAGACTTGCGGGAAAATCTTGGTCGGTTGTCAGGTAATGGCTCATCACGCTCCTCATTGTCACTGCTGCCATCTATAAGCAAATATTCAAACTTTGGTGGTGCACTTCAAACGAACGGTGTGAATAATTTGCTTGTTTTCGTAAAGTACTTCAGGGTTTTTGACTGAGTGATCCATAACTCGTACAAAAGGCTGTAGTGTGTACTTGTATAACAATGTATGAGTACACATAAAAAACAAAGGGCTCCTTCAAGGAAGGGTTTCTGGGTCTGTCTTCCGGGATTAATTATATAAATAAATAAATAACTTCCGTACCCAAGAGGTATTGCTCTCCTTCATTGGTGGTACAATAAGCATTGCTCTACCTCTCGTATAATGTATTTTATTGTACAATACACCTCTGATTTAAATAGAGTTACAACAATGAAGTTACATGTAAAAACTACAAATAAAGATACACAATATTTTAGTGAATAGTGCTTTATTCTTTGTCAAATATGAATCCTTGACCATACCAGGATGCAAATCCTTCAATGTAATCAAGAGGAGGGAAAACCCCATGATTCAATTGATGAGATACGATTTCCTCCCTCGCGCACCTCCTTTCCCGTAAGTATGTATATTTATACTTCCCTCCATCTTGGTTTTCAAAGTTTTCAAATTGACCTAGTTTTAAACCAATCAACACTGTCACTTACCACTATCAGATATGTCATCAAGGTCAATATCAGATTCCACAACATCATTATTCAAGATGTCCTCTGAGCATTCGTCCATTGCATCAACATCATCATCTGAATCAATGTCATGTTTCTGTTTGATTTTCTCCATCTTACGTACTGTAAGGTTAAATTCCTCTTTGTGGTTATGGGTCTGCTGTAAACTGGACAGCCCCTTTAATGTTCTGATCTGTGGATGAAATAGAACACAATGTATGATGGTAGATCACAATCATGTGATCTGTGGATGAAATAGAACCCAATGTATGATGGTAGATCACAATCATGTGATCTGTGGATGAAATAGAACACAATGTATGATGGTAGATCACAATCATGTGATCTGTGGATGAAATAGAACACAATGTTATGATGGAAATCATTGAAGTTCTAACTGAGACAAATTTCATATTTATACACATACATACTGTATATATGTGAAGCATCATATTTGAACTTTAGTACATTCTAGCGCAGTGACATAACACGTGTGTATGATATCATGATAAACTCACCTGCAGTTTGTAATGTTCTGCTCTATTTGCACATTCTAGCGCAGTGACATAAGATTTGTGTATGACATCATGATAAACTCACCTGCAGTTTGTAATGTTCTGCTCTATTTGCACATTCTAGCGCAGTGACATAAGATTTGTGTATGACATCATGATAAACTCACCTGCAGTTTGTAATGTTCTGCTCTATTTGCACATTCTAGCGCAGTGACATAAGATTTGTGTATGACATCATGATAAACTCACCTGCAGTTTGTAATGTTCTGCTCTATTTGCACATTCTAGCGAAGTGACATTAGATTTGTGTATGACATCATGATAAACTTACCTGTAGTTTGTAATGTTCTGCTCTATTTGCACATTCTAGCGCAGTGACATAAGATTTGTGTATGACATCATAATCCACTTTTTGTCCCTCTTGACACTCAGCTATAGACAACCAAGTCCTGCAAGCCTACAATATACAAATGTCTTCTCACCAGCTAGATAATAAATGTGAATGTCATGCACTATGCGTACAGAGCTGTTAACAATGTACCAGAATAAGTAAAAATAAACGACAGGTTTTGATTGAACGAAAATATCAGAAACTAAAATAGATATAAAGCTAACCAAAAATATATAAAATTTTTATCACATATTACAAGTACATGTAAACAAAACATTACTTAAAGTACTATTTGCAGTTATATCGCAAATGCAATTGTATTATGAAGGCAATCATGACATATATACCTGACTTGGTTCTTTCTTGCGACAATCCAACTCTTTAGTGAAATACTCTATCGCTTCCTGGTACTGTTTGTTGTCGAGGTAGGTCTGAGCCAGTGAGATGTAAATAGGGATTTTATCTCTTTCTGGTTTCTCTAACTTCTCCGCATACTCCAACTGAAAGTATAGTAAACCTTGCAAAGTGGAACAACTCCATTAGGGGAACAACTTCATATAATGAGCAGATTGAGAAATTAGAATAAGATCTTGACAAAGTTTAGATTTGCACACCAAAATGTTGTGTCACAATTCTCTTTGACTCAATTTTTTTGACTAGAGAAACAAGTGATCCTTTATGTAACTAACACATTTCGAAAAGAAAATGTTCATGTACATATGCATTCCAATCAAAACAGTGAAGAACTCCTTCTTACCATTTTCTGATAGCTTTTCAGAGCATGGGTGAAAAGTTTCATATCTGCTAGTGTGTCTCCCTGTTTCTCATAGAGCTTCATAAGTTTCCCATATTCTGTTGTAGAACAATTTCCGATAGCTTTGTTCAGCTTTTGTGACCTTATCACTGAAATAAAAATCAGTATTAATCGGGTTATAATTTAAAATTAATAAAAAGATTGAGGTTCAATAGCATCCTCCTAAGCAGGTGTCCAGAAAAAAGGAAGATTATATTCTGGATTTTGAAGCCCTGCGTACGGAGGATGGTTCAATAGCTTCCAAAAAAAGCTTTGTATACTTTATTTTCTCTCCTCATTCTGCATACTTTATCTCTCCAACCCGTTCAACATGTTTTCAAAAGATGCCAAACTTATGTAACCATTAGAAGCAATATTTTCTGTTCAGCATTCAGATCTAAAATTATGTGAACAACTGTGTGTCTTCAAAGGAAAATATGAAAAATATGACCTTTTAGCTTAAATAACATGGGCTTTCTATGAAACCTGATATGGCTTTCAAACTTAACTAACAATGACCTTTTAACTAAGCCCCAAGCAGCCTTTCAACTAAACCTGACATGGCTTTTCAACTTAACCTGACACGGACTATCAACTGATATTGACATGGCCTTTCAACTTAACCTGACACAGTCTTTTAAACCTGGCATGAGCTTTCTATGAAACCTGGCATGGCCTCTCAACTAAGCTTGACATGACCTTTTAGCTTAAATGACACGGGCTTTCTATGAAACCTGAAATGGCTTTCAAACTTAACTAGCCATGGCCTTTTAACTAAGCCCGAAGCAGCCTTTCAACTAAACCTCAGACATGGCTTTTCAACTTAACCTGACAGCTATGGCCTTTACACTAAATCTGACATGACCTTTCAACTAAAATTCTCATGGCCTTTCAACATAACCTGACACGTTAACACAACCTTTTCACTAACCTGCTTTGAGAGCAGTTTCATTCCTCTCGCGCTCCTCACTGGTCGGGGCACCAATCTTACTGGCTTGTTTCAAACACTTCAAGGCAGAACTATATACACCAAGCTCCAATTGACACTACAATGAAAACGTCAATACTTAAAAATAAAATAAATTATCAGTTAATATAGCGATCACATATCATTTCAATACATTTCTTCAGATATTGTGAACCAAAACATAATGACTGGTCATCTTATGAATCATGACAGCTCATAATTTGAAACAAAACAGCTTTTTGCTGAAACAGAAATTTAATTTTTTTAATTTTTTTATTCTTTTTTTTTTTTTATTATTACTTTTTTTTAATCATAGATCATTTGAAAGCAGTTACATTAACATATACAATATACATAATATCATAGGAGTCACACAATTTTCCACCATATTCTTTTTTTTTAATTTAATTTTAAAAGAACTATTTTTTGCTTACCAGAGCTTTATAATACAAAACGTCACTCTGTACATATTTGTCCTTCAGCTTACTACAACATTGCAGGGCTTGGTCAGCGTGGTGTATAGCTTTGATGAAGTTACCTTTAGCTTTAAATATACCCGACATACTGAAGTGACATCTATAGAGGTCCTCGTGTAGTTTATTCTTCCTGCAAGTAGAAAAAAAAATTGGATAATTCAAAATCAGCCCTTGCGGTAACATAGTTTGTCTTTCAGTGTATGAGCTGCACGTGCACTCCTACATTTTGATTATCCAATGAATTAGCAATGAATTTTATGAAATACAGTTTACAAAGGGGAGATCAGGAAGGTAGGAATATCTAAATATTGAACTTGAAAATAATTTATTCAGTTTACCACTGCACTTCAAGTAGGATTTAATATTCACCAAACTTACAACTTATTTTGTCAACATGTTCTCATCCCTTCACCAATTATTCGCAAATCGAGAATGACGTTAATTCTGAACTCTGGTAGCAATACTACATGTCTGTGTTGGGGGAGGGGGGTGCGTATATGAATATCCTGTATATACCAATTCTAAAATAGAATGATAGTCAATGAAAAATTTGGCTAAATCATCATTTTCATCTTCAGTAACATCAGCATCACTACTATACCTAACCCCTAGAAATGCATAATATACTCTGTTTGTCTAATTGTATTGTTTAGTATATTTTTGAAAGTACCTTATTTACATTACCACTGCACCTTAAGCGCATGCCACTTTAGACTAAATGTATTTGAGAAATGTTCTTTTATTTTCAGGTTCTGAAGTTGTGTGAGTAAATGAACAATGGAGATCATCACAGGATTTCATGAAAAATTGAAAGAATACACGTTTGTGTTTGAGTATGTTGTAAACATTGTTCATATCAGTACTAGTTTATTGATATTGGTGCCGATCAACTGCATTATCTTCACACAGAAACAATTTCAATGCATGCCGCCAAACAAAACTATGGAACGTCATATCCTAGATAGACTCGAGAATCGTTGCTATGAAGATTATTCCCCTTTGCCCCTGCCCATCTATTGGAATATTCAGTTAGCAATGGTCTGCATCACTGTGATAATCTATTACATTTGTTCATATTGGGTTGTTGAGCATAAAGAAATGGGTCCTAAGGTACGAAAAGGTATTGCTATTGGATACCTAATTCAAACCCTGATTCAGATATGTATCGAAGTTGTCTTCATAGCTGTCATGAATTCAATGTATGGGTTTCATATCCCCAGTGAATACCTATGTCAACAGAAGGATGTTCCAAATGAAGATATAAGATGCGAAGTCCTTCTAGTAGATGCGAAGCTCGCTGTTCTGTGTATTATGTTTATTCGTTTTCTACTGGTCATAATTCTACATATCATAGACTTCTCCAGGACAGTTGCACACATGTGCAACTGTGTTGTGTGCAACTGTGTGAGTGACAAGCTTAAGATTGATGACCTCCTTCCAATACTCAAGAGAAAAGGTACATGTTTCATTTGTCTTTATATTTCCTTTCTCTATTTTCTCAAATTCTTGTAAGTTCATGTACATTCAAAATTATTAGATGAAAGAACAATGTCATGAGATTTCTAAAATTATCCAGTACATTTCTTTTTGTTTGAACATTCTGATAATTCTTCAGAAAATTTTGATATGATGTGGCGATCCAGGGTGAAAGTTATCAAATTGCAATACCCTATTAAATCCAGAGCTATAAAACTTATTTCATTTTTCTATTACTTTTGAAAAGTAAGTTTTTTATTTCATATGGATATAAAATTTTGATGGATTTACAAGTAATGAATTATAGACATTATACCCAGTAATGGCATTTTAATGTATCTTTGTTGCACATTTCTTTGTTGGTACATAATAGACTAGATGCGAAAAGAAATAATCTTGATTTAAGTCATAAAATTACATGTAAAAATACATCTAGAAATATGGGTATCGAAAATTGTTTATCAACTTTGAAAGTTTAATTTTTTTTGAAAATGTGACTTCTAGTTTGGGGAGATTCCCCATAGACCCTAATGTTCTAAAATCACAAAATGTTAAATATCTTTTCTTGTAAATACAGATAATATTTTCTTTTACTGGACATATATTTTAATTTGCATAACTATAAGACACATAAGGGTGATACAATAAAACTGATGAATAATGGAACTGATGCTATCTGACCCGAATGAGCCACCTGGTGGGAAAACTGGTTACTACCAATTGTTAAAGATGCCCAATGACAACCACAGGACACCATGTAACCATCAAACACCAACCACCAAACAAATACATTTTTGGGTGCTATATACACAATAAGTCCTCATATATAATGCTTATCAAGATACTCATATTTGAGATTCACAAATCAGTCAAATAGATTCATTAAATAGTATATAATATAATAATATACTATAATGTGCATTTTACACTGAATTATTTTTGAATTATTTTTTACTTTAGAACAAGAAGTCGAAGATGATGTCGAGAGCAATGAACAACAAGTGCCCCTTGCTGGTGAGTCAAAAGTTATTCTGACAAAGTTTGATCCTTCAAATCTCAATTTAAAAGTTTAAGATTTGAAAAGTCAGTTATATTAAAGTAGTTATCTTCTTATTGGCTTAAAACAGATAAATGTGCTTTTTGTTCCTTAAATAATTTTCCAAACAGACAAGCTCATTCCTTAGATACCCAGCTTCTTTACATAAACTCAATATGCATGCTACCAATTAATTAAAAGATCATGATACTACTTAGATGGCAAATGATATTCACAAGCATTTTGCCCCATAGTTCCCTTAAAGCATCAAATCTCCACTATTCTCCCAAGTTTGAAGGCTTTGGGACATGACCAAAGTGAATGTCACACTTGTTTCAATTTAGGTCCATCGCAAAGTCCAGAGGCAACATCTACGGCAGAAAGAGCTGACCCGGGATTAAACACTCCAGCAGGTAAGTTAATATCTTACTAAATCAAAAGTATATAAGTACTGGTAACCATCCCATGGAAGTCTCTTATATATTCTTGGATCTAATGATCCACATATGGTTTAGAAAGTTGAACTTATTATTTTCAGTCAAACTCCATCAGTAATCATAATATAGGCATAGAGTGACACATTGAAATATCTTGCCCCATATTAAGCAATAAGCATCATATTTCCTCTTTTCTTTCAAGTTAGCAATGTAATCAAAGTGAGTCACACTTGCAAAATAAATAGAAATGATCTTTTAAATTCAGCTCCATTGCAATGTACTGAGCCAGAAACAGATGACGGAGGATATGTTCTGGGAGGTAGGCCAATGTCTTACTAAATTAATTTTTAAGGATGTAAGCTAATGGTATTCAGAGGTGACATGGCTGTCAAGCTTGTACCATAACTTGGAATATTGTGTGATGTCAATTAGTTCCTAGTTTTTGTAACCTCATATGCTATTCAGTTCAGACGCATATAAGAATACAACTGACAAATTCCACTGGCGAATAAGAAAGAGCCAAGATCGTGATTGACAACATATCAAGAATTAAACTACTGAATGATACTTATAAGCAATATATATGGGTGAAGTTGACCTTTAGGCATTTCTCTAACTATAAAGGGCCATAGAAGGTTAAACTGAAGATTTAAAGATTTCAATTAATTTAGATGAAGATAGCCCTCGGGAACAAATTGCATCAGCAGCAGCATCAGTTACTGTCAGTAACTGCAAAAATGTCCAGGCTGGCAACTCAAATCAGATGAACATCAACACAGACCAACATGATAATGCAGCTGGCCCAAGGAAACAAAATACACCAGCTAATGTCAATAAAGAAGCACAGGTAAACAAATCCAATGAGTATGAGTATAATACTGGAATATTTCAAGGTAGAAATATGAGAGCTCGAATGGCTATTGTTATAACAGAGACAATTATCTAAGCATGAGTAACTTGCACAAAAGATAGTGTTTATTGCACAATTTGTGCAAGTTTTACTCTATTTTGTTTTTGTTTATAATGTTGATTGATTAATATGTATATGAACAGTGAACAAAGAATCTTATCTTTCAGCCTTTACCCCCAAATGTGACTATTCATGATAGCGAAAATGTCCAGCTTGGCCATGGGAATGTGATAAATATTTGGTGAAAGTTATGTTGCAATAACAGGTACACTTGCTTTGAAAACACCTATAAAGTCACAAAAGTGTTCACTGTAGGTTGGTGTTCACTAAACTGTTTCATACAGATGCCAATTGAGAATGTTCCCTGAAATGAGGTTTACTATAGACATATTTTTACTTGAATGAGGTCTGAACTACATCAGGTTTTATGGAGTGCCTGTTTGATTTATCATGAACTGTTATGTTGGGAAAATTGGCGTCTTGTATCAAAAAGGATATGAACACTTTATAGACAGATTTTTACTTGAATGAGATCTGAACTAGGACAGGTTTTACTGTATCTGGGAATTGAGGCAGCTATGGAGTGATAAAAATGAGTCAAATCTATAAAGGCCCATGCTAAAAAGTGTTCATATGATTTTTGATACAAGATTCCAATTTTACCAACAGTCAATGATAATTCAAAAAGGCACTGTCTCAAGATATTCCTCAATTTAGACAATCAGCGCATTCATTTCAATCATTTGTACGGGTGATTTCAGCATGCTGTCGTTGGCAGATGTGTAAGACTGTAGATTATTTCATTGTCTTAACTTGTAATTCATATTTCAGGGGATTCACCTGAATGAGCAAGGAATATTTGGAACTATCTTGAACATTTTCAAGGAAACAAAAATATGCCTAAAGAAATGGTGAAAGAGGTGAATCTGAAGCAACCACTATACCATACAACCTAGACAGACAGACAAAAACTAGGTTAAAACTTCATTGTATATAGAGGTCTTTACATTCTGACAAACATGGTTTTAAAAGCTGAAGAAATGTTACAGGGTTTATAAACAATGGCTACAGATAGTTTTTAGAACATTTTTCACTTATATTATTCAAGTAACATGTCTTCTAATGCTGTATGCATTTACATGTACCACAAGCATAACATTGCATAGTTACAGTTTAAAAGGACAGTACAGTATTATAAAATGATATCATATCATTATCATTGTAGACAAATCATTAGTAGATACTATACAAGTAGTTTAGTTTGCCAAATGGCCAGTTGATCGTATAAGTTCACTTGCACATGTAGGGATTTCATAAGAATTTCTGACAGGCAAAATGAATGAAAATATCATGCTATTCTTTTGGAAATACATGTAATAATTTACTTCAGAGAAACAGTTTAAAAATTCTGAAAAACATCAGGTGATTTTAGTGAACACAATCATATCATGGGCTATCTAAGTGCTAATGAAATCCCTGACATGGCTGAGTCACATTTTCAAAAGTGGCAGTTATGGACCAGTTTTTGTTTTGTACCGTATCTTTAGCATTTTATACTTTTATATATGATCTGGCTTTATGACAAATATATTATCTTTATAACTCATTAAGACTCTATCTTTTGTGCCAATAATGAGATATAAATGGCTATAATGCGTATTACCACACTGCATCTCTAGACAGAAAACAAACCTGACAATCTAGGCATTTGATCAACCAGATATTCAATAATGACAAAATGTCACATTTGATCAACCAGATATTCAATAATGACAAAATGTCACATTTGATCAACCAGATATTCAATAATGACAAAGTGTCACATTTGATCAACCAGATATTCAATAATGACAAAATGTCACATATGATCAACCAGATATTCAATAATGACAAAATGTCACCACCCGGTGACTCAAAGTATTAAAGAATGAAAACTTATCTAAGCACACATGGGCAAAATAGAAAACTTGAAGTCCAAAGGAAGAAGTCATTTAGCCTCCCCAACAGCCTCAGCTTAGCCTATAATGCCAGTAAGGCGATTGGCAAGCTATTATTTATGAAAATATTTATATGATGAAAATTGTTAATCTATAAAAAAAACAGCTTCACAAAAATTTTACAGAACCTTTTCGGTCACTTTTACAAAACTGAAAATTAAGTCCAACGGTAGAAGTACCTTATTTAGCCTAAACGCCTGGCCTAATTTTTATCCTAACAGAGTTTTTGTCCCATAATTTATTGAAATGGAGACACTAATTACTGAAAAAACCTATAACATAACTGTGGCCTGTGGACTCACAGTAAAAAAACTTCATCTAAGTATGAAATATTACAGGGTGAGTGAGATAAAACTGTATTGTAACCTCAAAATGCATGATCATTGTGACAAAAGTTATATGTAGAACCAAAATTGATTGGCAGTCAAGAGAAAATAACTAGACAAAACATGGACAAAATTGGGCCAACGGTATTTGAGTTATCGTCTGGACAGACGGAGGGATGTACATATATATGTACATATATATGTACATACGTACGGCCAGAGGTGTTCCCTATATCCTTCCAAGCTTTGTTCGGCAATAAAAATTAGCTAAAGACCACTCCACAGAGTAGCAAACAGCAAATCCCTAGAAACAAAAAATTATTCATATATGTTTACCTAAAATATGACACTTTAATATTTCAGCATAACATAGCCATACTTTAAAAAGAGGTCTCCATTCCATAATGAGAATTCTCACTGTTTTAGATTTTCTAAAGCACAATTAAGATAAATGATACAATAATTGTGATCTACACTAAAATTAAATATCTTTGATTTGAGTATAATACAGCCATACACTTTAGCAAAATAATACAATATTTGTCTGCTGTAAAATAGTTTTCATTTGAGTATAATTAAGTCATAAATCAGACAGATCTAAGATTAATGAGTATTTCTGTTTTTCCACCCCACACACGCCCAGCCTCTGAGAGTTTGGGTAAAAAAATGGAATATATATACAAAGAAGATTTTCATAACAAATTCATACCATTTTGCATGCAGGTCATCAATTATAATTAATCATATCCGAATGTTAAGGCAATACACCCTTGCCGAAATCCTTATTTTATAAGAAGAACTAAGTTGATTGAGTCTCAATGAGTAAATTCATTTAGGACAGAATTGCTAGAATCCATTTTCAATAGTAAAAATAGGGGTTCTTAAACAGAACATCAACTCATTGCTGGCCAAAGCTATTTTGGAGATTTTCTGCTGGTGACTGGCTATTTTGATGAAAAATTAAGCAAAATTGCATGTTTTCATATAGGCATAAAATGGACTGTATCAACACCTTCTGCGCTATGTTTTATGCCATTGTGAGGCCAATGAAAATATATCTCAATTGCACCCAACAATGTTCCCCTAGTGACCCCTACAATATTTGGTAAGATTATTGGTACAGATTGTGTGACAATTATTGCACAGCACCCTGAGATATCTCAGGGTTGGTCAGATGATTATGATGTCATAGATGAAATAACTCAGGGTAGGTCAGATGATTATGACGTCATAGACAAAATATCTCGGGGTTGGTTAGCAATGAGATTTTGGTTAGCCCTACTTTCCTGCATGCAAGAAACAGAGGAGTTTAAATGCTTATACTTTTAAATGCCTATAAGAAGCCTTTTGCACAAAATCTAAATTTCTATGAAATGCTTTAAAATGGAAAGAAGCATATTATTGTTTATCTTACAAGTGACTACCACATTTCCAAGAAATAAGTGCAAAAAAGTCTAATGACATATTTGCTTGGCCTGTTGTGTCAAAAACATTTAAGTACACAAGATATTATCACAAGGAAAATATTTTGCATTATTTCCATCAACGGCAGTTAGTATTGTATAATAATGGACTTCTATGAGGTTTATGTTACAGAATTGCTGTTATGTGTTGCTATGGAGACTAATTTATGTGACCTCTCAGCATCCTCTGTTAACAAGCTTCTGTACCTAAGTATTATCATATTTCACTTCCTTGTTGGTAAATATAAGCATTATGTGGTGCATATTGTTTCTTGCTAAAAAAGTATTGAATTGTTAGGAAGACATAATTTAAATGGTTGGATAACTTTCGACAAAGTATAACTTATCAACAAAGGACCATCAAACAAGGTAAAGAATTATCTAAAAATTTAATCATACTCAATCAGATTAAAACTTTGCTAAATGACTCATAATTATTGGGGTTTCCAGTTGAAATTCAACCTATCAAATTCCCTATTTGATTCATCATAGAGATCCTTGTTTCTTACAATTTTAGACATGGTCTTCCCAACACGTGACGTATTCTTCATTGTTGTTCCAAGATAGCACAGCACTAATACGAAATAACTTAAACACTTTAATTGTTTCATTCAAGTGAAACAATAGAAAGAAATGGCTTCATACTCAAGCAATAATTTCCAAAACAGGCAACATGAAGAAGGTAAGATTATGATACTTAATTTAATATATAGTAATTAGGTAGATAAAAAAATGGTCTAAAAAATTTTAGAGTTGATTTCATGGTTTAAAACCTTCTCTGATGATTCTATTTTCGAATTCAGCACACAGGTCGACCTATTGAACCTTGAAAAGTTGAAAAATTGAAAGGTGTTCACCACAACTTTCAGCTCATCCTTATTACAATAGACCCGAAGTGAATTTTCGAGTTGAGTAAATTGTGATAATGTTGTTTTTATGAAGCGGGGAAGTCAAAACATTACAAATAGAAATCATAGTAAGGATTTGAAGATCATTAAGAAGCATTTAAAATCGAATCTACAGCAAAATTTGAAATAATTAAAATATTCCACACGGACGGGGAGAAAACACTTCCGGTTTTATAATCCATGATTTTATTGATCAAAAAATATTTTTTGATTTTTTGTGATATCTGCTGAAATATGGTATGTAAACTTGTGTTGTCTGTTAAATTTCAAAATAGGTAGGGTAAAGAATATGTAAAAGTCGTTTGATCTTGTCCCAGAAGCAATATTTTGTTATCTTTATCGCCCAGAATTCCTTTAAACTGATAAATGTTTTGGTGCTATGAGCAATTGTGTTTTCAGCGAAATTTCAAAAATGGCCTAAAATGTGCTGAGGATGAATTCAATTATGCATTTTCAATACATGCATATGCTTTATGAAGACATGATGACTGATAAAAGTGGATATTATGATTTCAGAATGCATGAGCAGGCAGCTTGTCGTGATAAGATCACTGAGTCTTGTTGTTGACCCACTGAGACAGTATGTCATCAAAATGCTCGAGGACAACTTAAAGAAATATGCACCACACATACAAACAGTGAAACCAGCAAAAAATCTTCGAAAAGCCTTAGAGAAGGATTTTAAGAAAACCAACTTAAGTGAAGCAAAGATAAAAAACTTGATAGCAGTTCATGGATCAAAATTTCGTTTTGATGCCTTCACATATGCTCATTTCTTCCTACCAGAACATGACACGAAAAATGGAAAATCATTCAATGAGATTGATGACCCAAAGGTGTACTTAGATATTCTCATAAATGTACCCCATGTAGATACATATAACATAGTTGGCTATGCAAAGACACTCGCTGAATTCAGGAACACCACAAACAATAATGAATTCATAAAGTGCACTGATGAAGCTACATCAACATTCTTTCATGTACTGAAGAAGCTCACACAACAGATTGTAGATGGAGCTAAAGCAGATGAAATCGTAAGAGATATTGAAAAGTGGGAAGGTAGAAGTAAGTAACAATTTCATATTGATACACTTTGTAACTTGGTTAACTGTGGTGAGTAAACTACAGTATGAATGTATTGATAAATACTTTCCAAAACCACCTTACTTGAATTACATAGTAAATTGCTGAGACATGTGGGAAAAATATAGTGTCAGGAAAATTTTGATAGGTAAAAGTATAAACATTTTGTGAAATTATAATAAAATATGATACAGTAGTAGTTCCCACAACTAAAAAGTATAACGAAAGGACCCAGAAGCAACATTTGATAAACAGAACAAAAGAAATCTCTACAAATCATATTAATAGTTTAAAATAGTTTATTTAAGTGTCACACGTATACAATTTACACTAAAAAAAAACAATTAAAATATACATACACATGTAGAGGTAAAAGAATAATATGTACACGTCCAGCCGTTGCCGACTTATGAGACACTGAATAAAATTTACAATAAAAATAATTTACGTCGTTTAAACATACAATATACTAGCTTTGCTAGCATGTAAACATTGCAATCACACATAATTAAACAATATTTTGCTAAATTTGTTGAATTTTCAAAAGAAGGATGCAATGATGACATGTAAGTGAAAACATCATATCTTAAATCATTATACAATGGACAATCTATTAGAAAGTGTATTTCATTTTCAACTTCCTGCATATCACACATTAAACAGATTCTGTCATGAAGGTCTAATTTGGGATTATATCTTCCAGTTTCTACCCTCAGAGGTAATACACCACACCTAAGTTTTGCCAGAGCTTGTCTGTAAATCCTAGGTAAATACATCTCAACATATTCCTCGGTATGAAAACGAGATTTATGGAGTCTATAACTTCTAAGTTTATTACCATTTTCTTTGTTTTTATTGTCATTCCATAAGTTTATATGCCAATCAATTTGATGTTTATCGATAAGTTTCTTTTGAAAACTTTTAATCTTGGCCTTAGTACCATGGATTTGTGTACATTCTTTATCAGTGAAATCTGTTAAGCCATTTTGATCAAAAATCTTAATGACCTGGTATTCCCAGGATTTTCTTACATTTTTGGACCAAGTAAATATCTTTTTAGTAACACGGGAATTATTCATATTTGTAAGTCTACACCACTGACGAAAGGTTTCCTTAAGTTGAACGCTATAAAATGAAGGCCATCCAATATCGCCATTTACAGCATCATTTGGTGTGTACTTTCCAACACCTAGGAAGAAACGGGCTGCCTTATTTTGAACATTATTTAGCAGTCCACGTGGTTTATCTCCCCAAATACCAGATCCATATGTCATAATTGGTAAAACAAGTGAATTATAAAGTTTTGTGAAAACATCAAAGGTAAAACCTCCCTTATGGTAAAATTTAGCAATAATGACTCCAAGAGCTCTGCTAGCAGAGGCTGCTAATGTTTCAATTGCCTTTTTAAAAGTAAGGTGCTCATCTAAATACAAACCTAGGTATTGGTATTCATTTACAGAGGATATTGTGTTCAATCCACAGAGAAAAACAAATTTTGATTGTACAATATTTTTGGGGCGAAAATGTAAAACCTGGGTTTTTTCAGTATTGATTTGAATTCGCCAATTATTGCACCATTCATTTAATTTATCTAACATTGTCTGAAGATCAAACTCATTTGCAGCAATTAAAGCGATGTCATCAGCATATAAGAGTAAACTAATATTTTCATTCAAACCATATTTTACACCAAGCCCTAAATTTTTAATCTCAGTGGCTAAAGAGTTAATATATATTGAAAAAAGACTCGGTGAAATTTTACACCCTTGTTTCACACCCTTTGAAACGGGAAACCAATTTGTTAAAGTACCATTTATTCTCACCGCACATTGCACATTTTCATAAAGTGAGACTATGGCATGATATATACGACCTTTAATGCCCATTCTATTCAATTTTACAAACAGACATTGTCTGTTAATATTATCAAAGGCTTTAGAAAAATCTACGAAACAAACAAAAGTTGACAGTTTAGATAATTGTCTGTTATGAACAATAGAATATAATGAGTAAAGATGGTCCTGGCAGCTTCGTTCCTTGCGAAAGCCGTTTTGTTCATCAACAAGTTTACCATTTTTCTCAATCCAGTCAGTCAAGCGTGAGTTTATAATGTCGCAATAAACCTTACAAGGTATCGAGATCAAGGTTATTCCGCGGCTATTTAAAGGAACTCGACATTCTTTGTTACCAGATTTTGGAATTGGGTTAATTATCCCCATGTTCCATTGTTCTGGAACAATGGAGTGAGTGAATGAGTATGCGATAATCAAATGAAGTAATGTCATACACGCCCGGTTTTTTATAACCTCAGCAGGTATTCGATCAAAACCAGCGGCTTTTCTCAGTTTAGCATTTTTTATGCTTGACATGACCTCCTGTAAAGAAATATCTTTGTTTAAATCAGGGTTTACGTCCTTGGACTCATCGGTATTCATTGAGTTGTACTCAGTTTGAATAGAGTGAAAAAACTCAGAGTTGTAATTGGGATTATCTTTTTGATTGTACAGTTTCTGAAACTCTACTTCCCATTGGTTCAAAATTGTGTTTTTATCGGTTGACATTTGACCATCACTGTCGATAACCTGCATAGGAATACTGTTTTGCCTATTTTCAGATATGCCTATTTTACCAATTTGTTTCCAGAAAGACTTTTGATCGTATTTATCATTACACATGTTCATTAATTCCATTTCTTCCTTACGTTGATAATTACGTTTATATTTTCTATTTAAACGATCAAAATATCAAAATATGTAAATTTTCTCAAAAGCACTAATGTTTTTTTTGTAGCAAAAGTGGTGTAGGTCTAGTGAATATGAACAATTATTATCCTTACAGAGTTAACCTTCATGCCTCAAAACCTCAAGAAATTAGAAGACAACCAAATGATTAAAGAAGTCATTGATGCATGGCAACCCATAAGAGAAAATGATGGAGAGATGTCTGAGATGAATGAGAAGATAGTTCAGCTACAGGAATGTGTAGATCAGAAACTGAGAGAACATGATTCAAAACTTGATGAACATGATTTAAAACTTGGTGAACACGATTCGAATATCGCAACACTATATTCCTTGACTGCTGAACATGCTTCAAAGTTTGATGAATTACAACGTACATGTAGTCCAATAACTACATGTGAGACTATCAGTGAGGAGTCAGAAAATATAGATGTCGCTGCAATTAAGTTGGAAAAAGGTAAATTCAACTTAAATTTTCATCAAGTTAAAATCACATCATAGGCAGTACAAAAGTGCAACAAAGAAGATGGAGTGTAAAATATTAGAAGCAATGTCTTTCAAAAAGCATGCCAATTGCCTGATGTTAACGATCGTAATCTTATTGAATGATAAAATGAAAACATTATCTAATCATGAAATAATGAGCAGAAATATTGTAAAATTTTGACACTTCTTCAGGAAGTAACTCTCAACTTATCTCTATGATATTATAAGTTATCAAATGATGTGAAGTGCAATACAGGATATATTCTGCTCGAGAAATTCTGTATTGGAACGAGACGAAGTCGAGTGCCAATACAGAATATCAAGACAATATATCCTGTATTGCACTTAAAATCATTCAATAACGTTTTTATCGTGTGATCCTCTGTATTGTTACTGAGATTGTCTCCTCCGTACCAATATTTTGTGTATTGCAATGGAGATGATCAACGGGACAATCTCAGTAGCAATACAGATTGGCACAGCACAAGAACTGACCAATCAGAGGGCTTCATTTTACAGATCATACGACATCATAAATAGATGTACACTTTTATCCCTGAATTCGCTCAAATCCTTTGACATTTTTAAGGTAAAAGACAAAAGTCAGATTTCAATTAATTTGCAGACTTAGGTGATGTTGGAGCTGCCCCAAAGGAACAAACAGCTAAATTCAGTACTCATCATGATGAAACAAAGGTAATCAAAAATAATTTTGGAACAGATGTGGCAAACGTGTGGTAACCTACACTATTTGATCACAAATCGATGATTATGTAAGCAGCATAAGTTGTTGCAACTTGCATATTTCAACAAAGCCAAATTGTGACAATATACAGACGATTATAGCATAAGTTGTTGCAACTTGCAGATAATTTCAACTAAGCCAAATTGTGGCAATATACAGATGATTATAGCAAAGGTTGTTGCCACTTGCAGATAAAAAATATTAACTAAGCCCAAATTGTGGCAACGTGCAGAAGATTATGTAAGCACAATTTGTTGCAACTTGCAGATAATCAACTAACGAGCCAAAGTTGTAGAAACTTGTAGATGGTTATGTAAGCACAAGTTGTGGCAACTTGTAGATAATCAACAAACTTGCCAAAGTTGTTGCAACTTGCAGATAATCAACCAACTAGCCAAAGTTGTTGCAACTTGCAGATAATTAACCAACTAGACAAAGTTGTTGCAACTTGCAGATAAATAACCAACTAGACAAAGTTGTTGCAACTTGCAGATAATTAACCAACTAGACAAAGTTGTTGCAACTTGCAGATAAATAACCAACTAGACAAAGTTGTTGCAACTTGCAGATAATTAACCAACTAGACAAAGTTGTTGCAACTTGCAGATAAATAACCAACTAGACAAAGTTGTTGCAACTTGCAGATAAATAACCAACTAGCCAAAGTTGTGGAAACTTGTAGATAATTAACCAACTAGCCAAAGTTGTTGCAACTTGCAGATAATCAACCAACTAGACAAAGTTGTTGCACCTTGCAGATAATTAATAAACTAGCCAAAGTTGTGGAAACTTGCAGATAATTAACTAACTAGCCAAAGTTGATGCAACTAGCAGATAATTAACTAACTAGCCAACGTTGCTGCAACTTCCAGATAATTAAAAAGCTAAGCAGAAGTTGTGGGAACTAGAGTGATTATGTAAAAACAAAGATAAGAACTTGCATATACAATGTTAGCTTTTTAATTTTAGCCAAGACCAGTGACTCTTTCTAGCTGCAGGATTGGCGACAACTGCGAGATGAACATTGGGTCAGGTGGAGGATCAGCCCATGTTGCAGTTACAGGTACTGTGGCAAGATATACTGATGTACTAATGTCTTTGGTTCTACAAATATTGATATTTCACCAAACACTAAATTCTCATCTTTGATCTCAAAATGTGTTTTTGAACATTATTTTTGTTTAAAAGATAGTTATAATCAATGAAAGATATTTATATATTTTTTTCTCTGAAAATACTAGTTTGAAAAAGGTGGTATAAATACATATAATTCAATAATATTAAATTGAATACAGTTGTAGTTAAAAACAGTTGTACCACATATAACAGTCTAAATAAATAATCATTTCATATTTCAGCCAATACTCCAATTGGACATAAACACAAGAAGATATGTGCTAAAAATATTGGTAAAAACTGGCGGGAATTTGGAAGACATGAGGAAGTCAATTTTACAGAGGGTCAGATGGATAATATTGAAGCAGATACAAATACACAATATGAGAGAATCTACAAGTTAATACACGATTGGCATTCTAAACTAGGATCAAAAGCCAACACACCTTTACTTGCTACAATCCTGGAAGAAATTGACATGAGAGATGTAGCCGAAAAAGTATTGCTGGCATAGATACTGTATAAAGGTTATGTGTACTGGGAAGTTTTGGATAGAGGAAATATTCAGAGGGAAATATGCGCATCTATCGAAAGATCCTGTTTAAAAAGCGACCATATATAATAACATATCCATCCAATGCCTACTGAGACTCTTGATACATCCTATTTTTTAAAGATTCCAAATTTTTTCAAAAACATATTTTTAATAGATAGATAGTATGAACCATCATGATACAGTATGTGAATATTTAATTCAATTGAAGGTTCAACCTGTTTATAATGTTCAGTATTATACTGACTTTTTCATATCAGCCCTTCAGGATCTCACTCTGTGTTTTCATTAATGAACAAAAAATTATTTCGGTGATTCAAAAAAAGTTATCATTTCACATTTTTATCTTTTGTTTTACTTCATTTTGAACAATACAAAATATCTATATAGTTGCCTTAGCAGCATTATGAGACAAAAAAGGCATTAACATGCAAAATGTCACCACCTGCTATTTGTTATACTGAACACTGACCATCAAACAATGTCCATAAAAAAGTTGGAAACTATAACAATATATCAACATTTGTGGTGGTGGCAAAAGTGAACCATAGTGTTGACCCTATGAAATGAAAAAATCACAAATTGAAAAATGTCACCACCTAGTTGCTCACAATATTATGAGTTCAATCTTAAGTAAAATTTGAATATCTGAGAACTTGTAGATGAATTTGAAAAAAGAAATTGGTCAATTTGAAGTGAGTTGAAAAATACCTTTTTTGACCCTGAGAAAATCATTGAAGGTGAAATCTCAAATCTAAAGTCAGATTTGAACTTCTAAGTTCTTGTAGATGATTTTGGAAAAAGAAATTAGTCAATTTGAAGAAAGATAAAGACCTTGAGAAGGTCATTGAAGGTCAAAACTTTTTTGACCTTGAGAATGTCATTGAAGGTCAAATCTATAGCCAGATTTCAACTTCTAATAACTTGTAGATGATTTTGAAAAAAGTCAGTCTAAACAGTATTTGTTAAGTTATTAGAAGTTGGAAGAATTTGTTACAGATGCCGATCGCCAACCACCAACCGCCGTCAAAAATACAGATACTATAACAATGTCACCACTTTTTGGTGGTGACATAGGAATGTTTTACCAGAAATTATCAGTACTAAAAGCATAGGTATGATTTTGCAGTCAAACTGATGTGACTTACTTCGGTCCAAAGCCTTCTCTATATTCCGGCTTTGAGTAGAAAGATTGAGCTGCCTTGGTATTGTAAATATTGTAAATCATTGTGTCACACGCACAGTAAATACGGCATAATAATATGAAATATACCTCTATGTATAGATTTGAGAAACATCAGCACACATCTCCATCTGAATCTATTGTTATATTTGATTTCTTTAAGCGAGAATAATTTCAAAGTTTCCTCCATTTATTCACGTCCAGAACCGGAAGCCATTTTTAGCTATAGCGAGTAAATTTCACCATGTGTCGAACTCCGAAAAGAAATTTTGAAATATCTAAATCCAGACAAGCAACCCTTCATCCTTAATATAATTAATATTCTTAAAAATATTTATAAAATTTATTAAAAATGATTTCTAGGTGCATGTAGCAATTTTTACATACGAAATACGAGTACATACGAAATCAATGAAGTTACATCTAGCTGTAAGTTAGAGACTCGAGTAAGATGTGACAATGTAAAAAATGCAGAAATTGGTCAAAATAAACATCACTTGAATGCCAAAATTAGAATATTCATTAAATTAAATAGTGTCAAATCACCACAGGTCAAAGAATGTTATTATTGTAGTAACACAATCTTTGTTTTTGACTTCCTTGTAGTTTCTGAGATTAGATGTGTGGTCCAGTCACTATAAAGTTCATTATGACAACAAATCATCTCAAGGTACACACTTGGATTTCAAATCAGCATCAAACTGATATGCAAGATTTGTAAAGCATATCAGTTTATTAAAACTATGTCATAACTTGAACGATCAAATTATAGTTGCTATGGAAACCAGGTTGTGTTGCCTTGGTTGTAACACGACACCTTGCATTGCTTGGTGCCCTTTATCTCCCACCAAGCTTTTTATCAAGAATTAATACATGTTCATGCTGACATTTCTTAACTTTTGAATGTTAACGTAATGCCCCTCAATGTGAAGTTCAATAAACACATAACACAACAGTTATTCTTTATGTTATCGGCATTCAGAAATTCAGTCACGATGACCTATATAGGTATTCGATGTTTGTAATGAGTTTATCATAGTGAGCCTCTAATTTTGGTATGCGTACTAAATGGAAACTGCAATGACTCATAGCTGGAACTTGGAAATCCCAGTCAAAATTCAACCAATCAAATTCATTGTTTCATTCATGTTTTTGAGTCACATGACTTAAAAAACAAATCAGGATCCTTCTTTCAAGTTTAGAACATTCTAGGATATTGCTCAGACTATCAATACTTGATAGTTAAAGTGGTACATTGTGAGATTAGTAACAAAGATGGCACAGAGTATGGATGTCCAAAGTGAGAAATATAAAGAAGGTAAGGAAGCTGACTACTCAATAACTTAGTAAATATTTATTACTTGTTTATCATCTTGACTAGCTGGAAGACAAACAAGACTGTTTTTAGAGGTCAAACCTTACATACAGAAGAATGAGAAATATGCAATCCTGAATGATTTTCTGCCGAATGTTCTCTCCATATGTAACTTATATTGTATATTTATCAAAAGTTATTATGATTTCAGAATGCAAGAGCAGGCAAACTGTTGTGAGAAAATCCCTCGAGCTTATAGCAGACCCACTGAGACAGCGTGTTATCAAAATGCTCCAGGACAACTTAAAGAAATATACACCACCCTCGAAGTGTACCAAAAGAGGAAACTATATTCGAGAAGCTATTGAGAAAGATTATAGAAATATTAAAATCAAATTAAGTGAATCTAGTGTGGCACAATTGGTGACAATTCAAAAATCAAAATTTACTCATAGTGTCTTCACCTATGGCAGTCTCTTCCTGACAGATTACGACATGAAAAAAGCTACATCATTTCAAGAAATTGATGACCCAAAGGTGTATTTGGACCTTCTAATAAATGTCCCAAATGTAGAAACATATCACATGGTCGACAATGCAAAGAAACTTTCTGCATTTTGGGAGTATACTAATAAAAATAAGTTCCAAAAGTTTACAGAAGGAGCTACTTCAATATTCTTTGATACATTGAAGAAGCTAATCCAACAGATTGTACCTGGAGCTAAATCAGATGAAATTATTGGAGATATAGAGAAGTGGGAAGGCAAAAGTAAGTAATAACAATTTCATATTAAAAGGGCATCATGAAGACAGTTTTCAAATTGTGATTCAAATTCGTTAAAGTTACTATCAACTCATTTCTAGTCTCTTTGCACCTTTAAAAATACTTTAAAATGTTTTCACTTAAATATCATGTTTGAAATCGAATAATATCACCGGCATTCTCAGGAATGGTACACTCTGAAAATTTTCTTCATATAATCATCCCAACAAACAGAGTTTATGCCTTCAGTTTAAAATTTCTGTTGATTTTGAGATATCTTCGAAGTATGGCTTTATTATTCAAATCAAATAGGTATTGTCCTGAGATGACATATTGAATAATTTCAGAAATCTTGAGATATCCACAATGTATGAATTTTGGCAAATTGAAGGCTTATCTAAGAATAATAGACAAATATCCTCTCTTTACATATTACCCTTTTCATGAATATTAGTGAGAGCTAAGTAAACTTGAACGTTTGAAAAAATGATACAATGTACATTGTTCATTGGGATTTGCTCCATCATGGAGGTACCATTTTCTCATTTTAACAGCATGGTATTATGAAGGAATATTTGGAATCTAGTATAAACTTATCCATATTCTCCTTTTATAGAATCATCCTTCATGCCTGAAAATCTCAAATCGGGAGAAGATGAGCAGAATAAAGAAGTAATTGAAATCTGCAAACCCCCAAGCAGCAATAACCTTGATGATGATTCAAAGCTTGAAAATGGTTCGCAACTCGAGGAGCCTGATTCAAAGACCGACGAAGTTGATTCAAAACTTGAAGAACTGGTACTCAATTCAATAACTCCATCTTCAAGCAGTAGTGAGCAGTCAACAAATATAGATATTTCTACAAGAGTATCCAAACCAGCACCCAAGGTGAATGTAAATGGTAAGTTACTCCATTATTCAAGACTTGCACATTATATATATATATATATGAGTTAGTTATTTTCAAAAGGTGGAGTGAAGTAATAGTACCTAGTTTGGTCAATAGAGGGAACATTAATCTGTCCCCGGGAGGATTTTCCCCGGGAATGTAACTATACGCTTTGTACCTTCCAATCCCATCGTGCATGTCCTACTTTGAATATTTATAATTTCTGATTGGTGAATGTATACCTGGGAATACACCTAATTATTTTTTGCCTTTGTACAAATCTATATGAAAGAAAATGTAATCAAGCTGAGTAGTTTGTGCGGCTAGTTAGCTTATAACAATCGAAACAAATATAGACGCCAATACTTGAGTTATGGATAAGTGGTCGGTTTGAAAACACACATTTTGTAAACATTTGTTATGTGAATATATAGGGATAAGGATTGACAAACCATAAAACTGTAAAATTTAAAACGCTTGCTTGCTCTGCGTGGATAGTGAACTTTATAAATGAATTCACTGGACAGTCCAGCCGGTGAAATATTGTTCCCTGTCATGCAAATGATGGATTTAACACGAGTTTGAGCTAGTTCATTCTGCCACTGTACGCCCGTCGGATATAACATTTTTACCAATACAGTCAAAAATCTCCTCCGTTTTTATTTGAATTGAGAGATCACATTCAAATTGTATTATTTCCACTTCTATTTGTATTCAATTATCCTATTTCTATTCCATGCTAAATGGGAAATAAAGAGATGTAATAATGATAACTGAATATGATCATGGGCAGCTGGATGCCCATTATATAATGTTGAGTTAACCCAAGGATGAAGAGTTAATCAATTTGAAAATATAATATTTTACATATTGTACATTTTGAATGCATGTTGATATTAAACCATGGTTTCCGTGATGACCTTTCAATCGCGATTCGCGATCACCGTACTGTGTCAACTTGAAGTGTGTATTTTCCCCAGATACGAAGGCAAATGCAGGGTGTCCTTGCGGCAAACGTTCGTTCCAGTTTCTGCGATCTGCTGCCGATGTCACCTGTCGTATGACAAACGACAAATGTGACTTAGGTTTAACATAGGATATTTTACAACTTAATGTGATTGTTTATAAATAGATTATCCTACACTTAGTGTACTAAATGTATAATAACATTAAAAAATAAATTTGATATTTATTGGCAAAATGAATATCCGGAGGATATCGTAACGATATACTCCGGGCGGAGGATATCGTGACGATATACTCCGGAAAACCCAACATGCGGAGGATATTGTGACGATATACTCCGCTTGTTGATTTCCCGCCAAATTGATGATTTGCGATCACCGAATGGATCCTGTCTTTTAGTGACGTCACAATTAGGTCACACAGCTTTAGATGCTTGATTTTGAGAGATTATCTTCTATATTTCGTGCTTTATTGATTTATTTTTCACGAAAGCGTTCTATTTGACTAGATCAACATTCATGCTAAGCACATACCAAGTCTAAGGTCTTACTGACATGATTTAGATAGCGGTTTAGCGCCCCCCGATTTTGACAAAAACGGGGGGCGCTTATAGGCATCGATGTTTAGTATGAATTTCACCCAAACTTCGCATATATAGACATACTCATGATCTAGTCAAATAGGCATACCTGGTAAATATCCGACCCATGGTTTTTATATAAGAAACGACAATATTTTTAGCCCAAATCTGCCACGTGTCCGCCATTTCGTGATTCCATCATGTCTAATATCATTTCTATATGACGTCATACCAATAAGACGAAATACGTGACAACAGTATCCATAAACAAAATTCCTGAATTCTGATCGCAAAAGGTCAATTGACTCTATTTTGGCATGGAATTCATTTTGCAATGATATTATGACGTGTCGCAAAAAGGTGGCGCATTTGTTTTTTAGGGGTATCGCGTGAATGTAACTTTGATTCCCCGGATTATAAAATAATATTCTAATTAAAGTTGTATATCATTTTAAAGCTGTTTCGATGAAGTTTTTAGATCAACTACACTCCGTTCACAATTCTCGCACGTTCTTTTTTAAAAAAGATTTTTTTAACAAAACATCTGGCAAATATTCCCTGTTGACACGTTACATTTTGAATTATTTTTCGTCTTTAAACGCTCATAACTCAAACAATATATGACTATTATACTTATTTTTCATCTTGATAAAGGTAGATAGAAGTTTTATTTCAAAGGATGATTTTAGTAAGCGTCCCATATTGTGACGTCATAGAGTTTGAAAAATAGAATCTGTTGACAGCGACCTTTTCTGCTCATTTTTTTGTTCCTTCAACTTTTCAGGTGTACATTAAACAAAAAATACGAGATCAATTTTTAATAAATCATACATGATTATTTTGCTCCTAAGCTCTAGTTTATTAATAAATAGTTGATTTTGTTCGCAAAAGTATGTGTTTTCTGTTGTATGTGGAAAAGTGGAGGACGAAAGGTTTTCAAAATTCATCAAAATATGGCTAATTTACGCCATTCGCCTATTTTCAAGCACAGCAACACGTATATTTATTTCACCTAAAATATCAATTGATTCGTGTTTTATGATGCTCCTAGCCCATTAACAATATATATATGATATCAGAGTTATTCGTCTAAAATGTTTTGAGATAGAGAGGTAAATGTGGAGGACGAAAGGATTTTCATTTGTGTACATTTTTCTCAAAAACGTCACATTCTACCATGTTAAAAGCGAGGATCCTCTGGATTACGCCACAAAATGTGTAACAATGCGTGCGCGAGCTTTTTGCGATACATCTATACATTTAGTACACTCCTTGTAAGTGTAGGATAATAAGAACATCCTATGATTTTTTTCAGAATATCATTTTAATCTACTCGGTGATATTGATATATGCACTCGTTCGCTTCGCTCTCTCGTGCAGATATCAATATCACCTCGTAGATAAAAATGATATTCCTCAAAATCATAGGATATCCTATAATTATTCGTAATTTACTAACGTGTCTCAAACATCTACCAGCGTCGTTTTGACTCCAGTTGCAAAAACAATATGTGGTGAATAAGTGATTAAGTTTTATTTTGACATGATACGCTATGAATATGACGGTAATAATGAAATAATAACAATGCATTACGTTAGGATAGATCGGGGGATAGATTTTTGTGGAAATCGTTCCTATAATCCTTGAACATATATTACCTTTACCTTAGTAGCGAGATACTTAAATGATTGTTGAACGTATTTGACATAGAACGTATTTGACATACTTGTTAAACATGCAAATCACGAACAAAGAACGTTGTTTTATTGCAAAATAAAGAAACATGTATTTAAAATACAAAATAACATTAAGATAAAACAGTCTTATACAAAAAGCGATATAATGCAAAAAACAATATCGTAAAATGGTACAACATAACGCAATCCTGTGCATTTGACTTGAACAATCAGTAGTACTACATTGCGATACATTCCCCCGGGTACATACCTTACATAATAGCGATAATATGCGCTAATATTAATGCAAACAAATGCCTATCACTAATGACTAGCCCTCAAAGGTTTGGTATGTATTTTCGTTGCATGATTTATATGTTATCGTTACTGATGAAAGATTTTATTTTGTGCTTTTCTAATAAGTGATGCACAATTATCTTCCAAACTAATAGAGGGAATTGTATTTTAACGTAATGCGATGCAAAATTAAAAAAACAAAAATTAATATTATTGTACACTCTAGTCAATATGACACAATACATTACAGTTTGGTGAAACGGCACTTCTGCATTTTCGTCATATTTTTGCTCGTATTTTGCACATTTGTACACCATTCAATTTGCTACCAGTCTAGCAGTGTACCGTATTTCATGACCATCAGACTAATAATCATAATTATGTTACAGCACTATGTCGCCCAACCTTTTCAACGACCCGACTTCATTCATCAGCACGCGTGGCCTGATGATATGATCTCCGTTCTGAGGTTATCAATTGTCCTGAGTTCAAGCTTGTATACTCTATTTTTTGTTTAAAGTGCTGTAACATTATGACTATTAGTTTGATGGTCGTGAAATATAATAGGCCGGTAGGAATTTGAATGGTGTACACAAAATATGAGTGAGCAACTTGCTAAGGTGTGAGGAAAACAGTGTCGGGGTTACCGTTTACAACCACCTTTTATAAAACGATGGTACACTCCCCTCCATAAGTTTGGCAACCTTTGCTCCCCCATTGAACAACGTGTTAAAGCCTCTTTACCTTTTTATTTACTTAATCTGCGAAGAAAATACATATTATCGATGGAAAAGTAATTTGAGCTTATTTCCGATTCCTCCAAATTTTCTTAATTTTTTCCTCAATTATAATAGGTCGAAAATTAATGATTTTGATGACTTTTTGAAGATCGACATGTCGCAAGTCATACGAGAAAAAAACAGTCATCCGAGTCCTTGCAAAAATATACAAGTTAGGTAGGCAACTGAATTAGCAACTTATTTTACAAAAATTGGTACGTTTCTTCAGGTTCAACAAAGTTATAGGTGTTTAAAGTCAAAATTGTTTTTTCAAAACATCTCCTATTGAAATAACACAAGAGGCGAAAAATGATTTTCAAAAATGACTTTGACGCTCTGCAACTTTTGTATTCATCAAGTAAAACCAAGACTTAGTGAATGAAAATATTAGAGAATTCTATTTTCTATGTAAAAATATTTTAATCTTTTACTTAATTGATATCTGATTTGCCCCGAACCCACAATTTTCCATTGGTTTACATGGGAATGACGATTTTCAAAAATTCATCTTTATCACCAATTTTCGACCTATTGTAATTGAAGGAAAAACTTTTGGAGATTTGGAGATATTGGAAATAAAGTCATATTACGTTTTCATCAATAGTAATAAGTATTTTCATCGCAAGTTAAGTAAAGATGCTTTAACACGTAGTTCAATGGGGGAGCTAAGGATGCTAAGTTTATGGAGAATAGTGTATCTCGTTCAGTTACAA